GCCCGATGAAAGGAGTGTCCTAGAACGGTTTTTTGGGCACATAAAAGAGGCTAAACCGACTGTTATCGCTACATATAACGGTGATTTCTTCGATTGGCCGTTTGTTGAAGCGAGAGCAAGTGTCCTTGGAATCGATCTGTATACGGAGATTGGCTTTCGCAAAAACAGTGAGGACATTTATCAGAGCGATCACTGTGTGCATATGGATTGCTTTGCTTGGGTCAACCGTGATAGTTACCTCCCCCAGGGAAGTCGTGGCTTAAAGGCTGTCACTGTTGCAAAGCTCGGTTATGACCCGGATGAACTCGACCCGGAACTCATGACCCCGTACGCAAGTGAACGCCCTCAAACACTAGCTGAATATTCGGTGTCCGATGCCGTCGCCACATATTATTTATATATGAAATACGTCCATCCTTTCATCTTCTCGCTTTGTACCATTGTCCCCCTTAATCCCGATGACACGCTGCGGAAAGGAACAGGTACACTTTGTGAGATGCTGCTGATGGTTCAAGCATATCAAGGCGAAATCGTTCTGCCTAACAAGCACAAAGAACCCCCCGAAGCTTTCTATGAAGGCCACCTGCTGGAGTCAGAGACATATGTGGGTGGTCACGTAGAAAGTATCGAAGCTGGTGTGTTTCGAAGTGATATCCCTGTTACATTCAAGATCGATCCTACTGCCATCGATGAACTGCTTCGCGATTTGGACGCGGCTCTGAAATTCAGCATTGAGGTGGAAGAGAAAAAGTCATTGGATGATGTCGTCAACTACGAGGAAGTCAAGGGACAGATCTCTAAGCTTTTGATCGCTCTGAAAGAAAATCCAAACAGGGACGAGAATCCTTTCATCTATCATTTAGATGTTGCTTCCATGTACCCAAATATCATCACCACAAATCGATTGCAACCAGATGCCATGATCCAGGAATCCAACTGTGCTGCCTGCGACTTCAACCGACCTGGCAAAACCTGTGATAGGCGAATGCCGTGGGCCTGGAGAGGCGAATTCCTCCCTGCTAAACGTGATGAATATAACATGGTTCGGCAAGCGGTTGCAAACGAAAGATTTCCGGGCAAGACGAAAAACAGTCCGATGAGGTTGTTTGGCGATATGAGCGCTGAAGAACAGTCTGCCATAGTCAAAAAGAGGCTTCAAGACTACAGTAAGAAGATTTACCACAAAATTCACGACAGCAAGACAATGGTCCGAGAGGCTATTATCTGTCAACGAGAGAATCCCTTCTACGTGAACACGGTCCGCAACTTCCGAGATCGCCGATACGATTTCAAAGGCAAACAGAAAGTTTGGAAAAACAAGACAGATTCCCTCAAATCATCAGGTGCTTCGGCGGTGGACATTGAAGAAGCAAAAAAGATGATTATTTTGTTCGACTCGCTACAGCTTGCCCATAAAGTCATCCTAAACAGTTTCTACGGTTATGTCATGAGAAAAGGGTCTCGATGGTATTCACTAGAGATGGCTGGCGTGACGTGTCTGACAGGTGCTCGAATCATTCAGATGGCAAGAGAGCTAGTTGAACGTATCGGTCGTCCACTGGAGCTTGACACAGACGGTATCTGGTGTATGCTTCCTGGGTCCTTCCCCGAGAACTTTTCTTTCACTCTGAAGAATGGGAAGAAGCTGGGGATTTCTTATCCATGTGTTATGCTGAATCACCTTGTTCATGGAAGTTATACTAATCACCAGTACCAGACCCTTGCCGATCCAAAGACTTTTAGATACGAGACGCATAGCGACAACTCCATTTTCTTCGAGGTTGATGGGCCATATAAAGCAATGATTCTGCCAACCTCTAAAGAGGAGGATAAGAACTTGAAGAAGCGCTATGCTGTTTTCAATCATGATGGGTCTTTGGCTGAACTGAAAGGGTTCGAAGTGAAGCGGAGAGGAGAGTTGAAACTGATTAAGATTTTCCAGACTCAAATCTTCAAATTCTTCTTAGAAGGAACGTCGCTTGAAGAAACTTATGCTGCTGTGGCCCGAGTGGCTGACAGATGGCTGGATGTGCTATATGAGCATGGAACTACATTAGCCGATGAGGAATTGATCGAACTCATTTCCGAGAACAGGAGCATGACGAAGACCCTGGAAGAATACGGTAGCCAAAAGTCCACCTCTATCACTACGGCACGCCGTCTAGCAGAGTTTTTGGGAGAGCAAATGGTCAAAGACAAAGGTCTCAACTGCAAATACATCATATCTGCAAGGCCAAGGAATACACCTGTTACGGAGCGAGCTATTCCAGTAGCGATCTTCTCGGCTGAAGAAAGTGTGAAACGGTTCTTCTTGCGAAAGTGGCTGAAAGATGACCCTGGCGACTGTGACCCTCGAACTGTGATTGATTGGGATTATTATCTGGAGCGATTGGGATCTGTCGTGCAAAAACTTATCACAATCCCTGCTGCTCTCCAGAAGGTCCGCAACCCAGTGCCTCGAGTCGCTCACCCAGATTGGCTGCAGAGGCGGATCAATGTGAAGGATGATAAGTTTAAGCAAATCAAGATGACGGACGTATTTGCGAAGAGCGAGAAAAACCCACTGACAGACATCTCGACGAACATACTCGACCATCGTGTGCAACATGCCGGTGATATAGGTGAGGTAATTGCAAGCTCAACTGAGAAGTTGAAGTCCTCCCCAAACAGTAAGACATCGCAGAAAAGAAAGCTTCCCGAAGGTCCAACGAAAACTTCTCTCGACCCTTTTGCTAGCCTGCCATCAAGGATGCCGCCAATGGCAGATGATTATGTCGGATTCTTGAAATATCAAAAGCAAAAGTGGAAAATCCAAAAGCAAGCACGCATCCGCCGCCGCCAACTTTTCGGCGAAAGGACGAATATTGCTAATGACTCTTTGAGCCACCTTTTCAGAAACCAGGCCGAGCTTCTTTATATCAGCACCTGGCAAGTTTTGCAGCTGACTGAAACGACAAGGCCAGGCATCGTTCGAGCTTTTGTCTTGATTGATAAAAAGGTTCATACTATCACAGTCAAGGTTCCCCGGCAGATGTACATCAATCTGAAACGAGACTCTCTCCCTGATGTTGATGTTCCAGATTGTGAGGTCGAGAAAGTGAATCACACTTTGCCGAACGGACATCCTTCCGTGCATTTGTTCAAATTAACTTTGTCTGAGGAGACCTATTTGCGTGAGGCTGACAAGATGGATACACTTCTACAGCATCCAAGCATCGAAGGTGTCTATGAGAAGAGCATTCCTTTGAATGTTCGTGCTATCTTGAAACTTGGTAGTATATGTACTTTTGATGAGGAACAGCGAGGTGTTCTGGGAGAAGGATTAGATAGTGGATTTGATCTGTCGACTTTATGTCGTACATCATCAGACCAGCCTTACCTCATAGACTCGCCGCTAGTCTATCACTACCTATACCATGTCGCTTCTGGTGATAGACAGATTTTCGCCCTGTTCTCAACAACTAAAAGTGAGGCACATGTTGTTATCTTGAACCGCACGAGGGACGTCCAGGGCCTTCCGAACATCGACAAAATATATACGGATCTCCTCATGCGGAGGAAGCAGAACATGGCCGGAGATGAGCCTCAAAATGCATTCGAGTATCAGGAGAAGATACACTTCCGAACCACGCAAGTCACGACCAGAAGAAAGGCATATCTAGAGGTCGGCGACTTGATCAAGAAATTCAGAAGCGAAGAAACCCAGCCAACGGTTCTTGTAATACAATCGCAGCAAAGAAGTCGCCTATGCCACGACATCCCCATGCTGAGGGAGTATCCAATTATGTCAGTGAAACCGGAAGTATCTGATATGGATCTTCCCCCTCTAGGCTGGCAGGCATTCATTGCAAGACGACTTGTCACACACTACCTGTATCTCTCGGCTTGGATTCAGCATTTGACTATGCTAGCAAGATACGGCGACGTTCCCCTCTGCAACTTGGAAAGTGACGACCCCCGGTATCTTATTGACATATCATATGCCAGGCGCCTTCAACAGAACAATGTCGTCCTCTGGTGGTCTTCCAGTCCAAGGCCTGATCATGCAGGGTACGAAAAGGATGACATAACAGGTCCTCTAGAGAAGGTATCTATGCCATCTGTCAATGTTCCAAGCGCTTACACCACCGTGTGTATCGAGCTTGAAGTTCGCAATCTTGCCATTAATACTATCCTGACATCCTCGATCATTAACGAGATGGAAGGCGCCGATACACTTCTGGCATCATCCGAGCCTTCAGCTGATTCCAACGGGTCCGGCGTCCTTTATTCGGAGAAGGCGTTCGCATCAGCAGGTGCGATCGTACTACGGGAGATGGTGAAACACTGGTGGACTGAGGCCTGTGAAGGAAACAATATGGCAGATATCATGGTGCAGCACCTGATTCGCTGGGTAGAGAGCCCAGTCTCGTGTCTTTACGATCGGTCTCTACATAATTACGTGCGCATGTTGTCCAGAAAGTCGTTTCAACGACTTATGGCTGAGTTTAGACGCGTCGGGTCAAACATTGTCTTCGCTAGCTCTACACGCCTCTTGCTCCAGACAACTAAGGCCGAAGTCGGAAACGCCTACGCTTACAGTCAATACGTATTAAAATCGATCCGCGCAAACCCATCTTTCCATTTTATTGATCTCGAAATCAAAGAATACTGGGACTACCTGGTCTGGTATGATGAGTACAATTACGGCGGAAAAGGCTGTCGGGAAGTGGTCGGAACCGATGAACAGGAACTGGAAACTGTCATGCATTGGCAGCTCAGCCGTTTCCTCCCGGGCCCAATGCAGACAATCTTCCATGATTGGGTGGTAGAATATATCGACCTGATGCACGGCATCAAACACCCCGAATCAGCCGACTCGTCCACTCCCCGAATGACGCAGATCCCGATCGGCGCCGACCGACGAGGACGATGATGAAGTATCTGCTGCACTTGCGGAGAAATTCTCAAAACCCTTGAAGAAGCAAATATCTGGTCTCATCCGCCGTCAGCGGGAGGAGATGCTACACCCCGAGCTTGCATCTGACTACCTTTTCCCCGTCCTTCCCGGGGTGTTGTCGGACCCCAACGAAGAGAAGCGCAATCCCGTATTAGAATTGGTCAAAATGTTGATGCAGGTCCTTAGTCTCTCCAAGACGACAAGTTTGGAGAACCGACTTCTACGTCGCGAGCTACTGGCCATGTTTGAGGTGCGAGAGTTCAGCAAAGAGGGTCGATTTGAGAATCCGGCTGCCAGTCTGAAACTTCCCGAGCTTACCTGCAGCGCTTGCTGCTTGATTCGAGATCTGGACCTGTGCCGCGATGAAGATGTCCTCCCGGATCCCGGATCTGACCCAAGCAAGGCCGTGACAAAGCCCTGGCGCTGTCCTTTCTGCCAAACTGAATATGATCGACTGGCTCAGGAAGAGATCCTTATCGGCCAGGTCCATGGATTGATCGTTGGCTGGCAGACACAGGATTTGAAATGCTCCAAATGTGGAGGGTTGAAGGTCAGCGAGTTCATGGAGCATTGCTCGTGCAGTGGCAAATGGGTGGAAACCATGGATCGTGCAGAAGCGGAAAAGAAACTGCGCGTCCTCAACAGTGTCGCGAAGTTCCATGGGCTTAAGCTCTTGGAGAATGTGGTAGAAGGAGTCCTAGAACAGATATGATCCAATTCGTGCGGCTTTTTATGACTTCTGATCGGTACATATATATGTACGCGGGAGGAAGAAGGACTGCATAATCATCTAAAGTACTATACACGGCGTTTGGGATGCTTGGGGGGATAGTTGTTTATGTGGGAGGGTTTTATTGTATACTAAGTATATCCATCAGCGTATGTATGTATGCGTCTGTAATGCCAGGGAATTTTACAAAACCCAAAGTTGGGAAACTTATTTTGACCTGTCAATCAATAAGGTTGGAACCGGCGGTCACGAAGAGATCAGCTCACTTTCTTTTTCTTCTTTTCTCCACGGTGTTCAGATTCTTTGCCAGTCCTCTGCCACCTCCAAGAGTTTTTTGTTCATGATAGTTCTAGCATTTATATTTGCGGAGATCCATCGTTTTAGATCAGTCAAGCCCCCACTCCATCGTTTTATCAGCGGCGACGGTTATCGAGACAGCGTTTCAACCAATTAATTAACCCCACCATCGATTTCCGCGACAATTTCACCGCAAGTGCGACAGACCCATCCCACCGTCCCTGCGACCGGTGAACCTCTCAAACCGGTGGGCTCCCTTGCCAAGCGGATATATCTGCAGCCTAATTTGACTATAAGGGGTCGAAACCCCCTACAGCTAGTCGGTCTCTTGCTGACGATATAGTCAACAGTGCCGGCTCACGAAGCGCGTCCTATCCTTTTCTGCTCTATCGCGCGGAGACCAAACTGCTTCTTCCGATTACGAAGGACTCCCTGGTTGGATACCTTATTTCTCTCCTTAAATGGCATCCCAAGCACAAGCTCAGGCTCAGGCCCAAGCCCAAGCCCAGCGACCCAAGGTCCAGCCTTGTCGATACAAGACGGGGAAGACCCTGGGCGCTGGATCTTACTCCGTTGTGAAGGAGTGCGTACACATCGACACTGGTCGGTATTATGCCGCGAAGGTGATCAACAAGCGACTGATGGCGGGACGCGAACACATGGTATGGGTGTCTACTAGGAAATATCCAGAAGATATACACGATCGCTAGCAATGTGAGTTGACTATGATTGTAGGTTCGCAACGAGATCGCTGTGCTCAAGAAGGTGTCAATGGGCCATCAGAACATTTTGACCTTGGTCGATTACTTTGAAACTATGAATAACTGTATGTCTCATCTCGGATCCTGGCCTATGAATAGTAACCCAGGTTAACCGTCCCGGTTATGCAGTATATCTGGTCACCGATCTCGCACTCGGCGGCGAGCTGTTCGACCGTATCTGTCGTAAAGGCAGCTACTTCGAATCAGATGCTGCGGATCTTATCCGCGCCATTCTGTCGGCCGTGGCCTACTTACATGATCACGGTATCGTGCACCGTGACTTGAAGCCGGAGAATCTACTATTTCGCACCCCGGAGGATAATGCGGATCTTTTGATTGCCGACTTTGGATTGTCCAGAATCATGGACGAAGAACAGTTCCATGTTCTCACTACGACATGCGGTACACCCGGGTACATGGCGCCCGAGATTTTCAAAAAGAGCGGCCACGGAAAACCAGTGTATGTCTCCACGGAGTGCCCATCCATTGCAACCGCCTGAATAGGCCAAACTCTCGGTTTCCAACTGTACCTCTGACACAATGCAACAGGGATATCTGGGCCATCGGTGTCATCACCTACTTCTTGCTCTGCGGCTACACCCCCTTTGACCGCGACTCCAACCTGGAAGAGATGCAGGCCATCCTTGCAGCTGACTACTCTTTTACCCCACTCGAATACTGGCGCGGCGTCTCACAGCATGGCCGGGATTTCATCAAACGGTGTCTGACCGTCGATCCCGAAGCGCGCATGACTGCCCATGAAGCCCTCCAACACATCTGGGTCAACCCGCCCTACGACCCATACGCTGACAAGTCCGGCGAAGACTTGCTCCCGACCGTCAAGAAGAACTTCACGCCCGCCGTACACTTCACAAGGCCATCGATACCGTCCGTGCGATCAACAAGCTCCGCGAAGGCGGCGGACTGATGATGGACGGGGTGATGAGTGTAGACCCGAAGCCGGAAAGGGTTAACGGCAACCATGTCATCGAGGAACAATCACACCACGACGGACAGATGGACCTCGACGGCCGCGGCGATGCGCGCGGCCAGACGGAGGAACAGATCCGGGCACAGGAGCAAAGAGTGAAACAGATGGTAGCCGGATTGTGGAGTAGATCTGCGAAGAAATGACGAGAAAAATGAATCTGATGATAGATATGCCAAGATTTCTAGCCACCGTTTTTGCTTATGATCGGGCTTTTCTTTTTCGTTTGCTTCTTTGCGTGTCTTATACAGTTTTGTTTCTTGCTTGGTCAGTTTTGCTGCCATTGCTTGAGCTCTGATGATTGTTTATGTCAATGCATGATAATGCATTGACTGTTGATTGGTATATAAAGCATTTTCGATATATATGTATTTTTATATATATATATCGCTACTGCGGGAGGTCTCCATACTTTTGGAATAAGAATTAAACAGATATATAAAGAAATATCTCCTATAATTTGCATTGCATCTAATAATGAAGCTATACAGTAATACAGTAATCGATCTCCTGATGTCGAAGGAAATCGGGGAAGACTGGTACACCAATAAACCCTACATTCCAACTTCATCACAAAAAGCACCTCCATGCTTATACATTGAACAATATATATATAGAAAACCATACTGCATAGTAGAATAAGTAAGTATGCATAGTTCAACTACGATAGTAGAATTTAGCAATGGGATTAGACGTGATATGCCTCAATTTCGGGATATCGCTTAAATATTCAAAAAAAAACAATGTAGACCCTGAAAAAAAATATTAAACCGAACACGCCATTACCTCTTCATTGACACCATCACATCATTAGCCAAATAGACAGGCGGCCTCCGAAATGCACCTCTCAGGCCAAGGGCTAGAAAGTAACACTCGCAGAATAGAAACCAAGACTATCATATTTGTTCATACAGCTGGACTCAACAGCTTCTCACTCCCATCCCCCAGGGACAGAACCCACTGCCGCCATTCCTGCCATTCGGCGTAGCTTGCAGAGGCCTTCAAACCTTGATACTTGACTACACGGAAGTCGGAAACCTGCTCCCATGGATTGCTGGAGGTGGAGGTGTGACCTCCGCTGCTGCTACCTCTTAGGAATCTCCTGGTCATGCTTTCATGGCCACCATCCCAGCCTGCTTTTTCCATCAAGCTTCTCAGTGTCTGTTCTTTGGTCCACCCTTGCTCCACGGGGACGTCCGGTAGGTAGGTTGCACCGTAGCGTCGACCGCGGTTGATGAAAGAGATACGGATTCCATGGACTCCGAGAGTCCAGTCTAAAGCGTTAGTGCAAGGCTCAAAGGACCCAAGGAGGGTCAAGGAGCATGATAGGGTGGGCATAGCGGTGGCTGGAATCGGAGTAAAGCGGCTATCCTCGAACGCGCTACGACCGTGTTAGCAACAGACGTCTAGATGGGAGACGATCCATCTGCTCCCACATCGGGGATAATACATACGAGGTGATAGCGTAGGACTTCAAGCCTGCAGCAAGCTCCTGCGCCTCAAAAGTACCGATACAACCGCGAAGTGACTTACGGCCGCTCCTAGATACAATGTTCCAAGTTACGAATAGTGGATACTGCTGATCGTTTGCCCTTTGACGTCTCCAGCCGCTCGCATCGGACTGCAGCGACTGTGAGCTTGGTGTGGTCATGCTAGTAGTGGGAGTGGAACTAGATAGGCCTGAATGCGAGGAATTGCTCGACGGCGTGGTAGCGGAGCTCGAGCCCGGCGAGATCTGGCTCTGGAGGCGACTGATATTGGGTAGCTTCAATCCTCGAGGGCCGTTCTTGGATTTAGAGGATACACCGTCTATGTCATCATCGTCATCCCCAGACTGCAGGCCGAGACTCTCGCTCTCCCTCAGAGAAACCGACTCATCGTTGTCCTGGAGAGCGGAAACCTTCTTAAATTGCTCGTATCGTTCCCATAGCTCCTCCACGGCTGTGAGGCTAATGTGCTCTTGACCTTTATACGAGGCGGCGAGGCACTCAAAGCAGTAATAGCAATGGGCGGGGGTTGCCATATTCTCAGAACCGCCAGGATCACGGGGAAAAGGTGAAATAAATTACTGCAAAGCAAGGCAAGTGTCCTTGTCCTTGAAAAAAGCCAGGTTTTCTGTGACAGATCTTCTGATACTAACAGACACCTTGCTCCACCCGGATAGACACCGCCGCTTGCCGCTTATCTCACGAGAGGATACACAAGATCAGCACTACTTATGAACGAATATCAAGCCCGTTTGAGTCAGTTTATTCTGAGGGGAGGCAGATAGATCCAGCCGCGAAGCTCACTGTCTGGTTCCGTCTGTGTTTGTGTCTGGTAGAGGAGAGGGGGAAGGAAGAATGAGGGGGAAGTACTCCATTACATATCAGGCGTCGATAAGATAAGCTCCACGTGATGGTATGGTTGGTTGTCCTCCCGTGACCAGATCAGACACAGAAAAAGAGATTAGATTCCAGCGTTTCATGGAATTGCTTATTATACGCTAACGCAAAGGAAAACCCGAGACAAGCTCCTTAGGGCTACTGAATACTTCTCTGTAACCTGATTGATCGGCGGGTATTGTTCCAGGGTTATAGGGTGGCGGAACGTGGTTCGGTGGTGCCTGAATAACCCTTCCCGTGATCTATATACTATACTAACTTGAACTGCTCTACGAGGATTTGGAATCCTTGCCGATGCGCCTTTTGCCACGAGCATTACTTGCAAGTCAGTAAGTCCCTTTATTTCAGCTTTACTGACGTACATCGAGAGGGGGGGGAAATGAGACATGTAAACTGCAGGAATACTACAACATGCCTCCCTGGCCAATCCATACTTGGTCCGAACGTTCTCCGGGGACATATGTTAATGACCGGCCCCGCCATACTAATCAATATTTGGCCTCGCCACGCTTTGAAAAAGAGTCTTGAGAAGCGAAAAGGGCAAAAAAGAAGATCTTTACGTCAGCGACAGGATTTGAACCTGTGCGGGCGAACCCAACAGATTTCTAGTCTGTCGCCTTAACCACTCGGCCACACTGACGATTGTTGATATCTAGGCGCTCACTTAAGTAAAATATAAAGCAATTATTAAAATATCCCATACTAACCTCTTGCTACATGGCAGGCCAGGCAAGTAAATAGCAAGGACCGTCAAAGGGGAGACAAATCACTTCTCCCCCACCAAAAACAAAAAAGCTTTATCACTTGCATCATTATCTCTTAATATCTTACAGGGCTGTCCTTCCATACCATCACTACTGGTCTACCTGACCACTACATGCTATTGACGCTTCAGTCCATACGAGGCAGACAAACGCCACACTGTGTTTGTTTGTAACTGTCTTACTGTGTAGTAGAAACAGCAGCAGATCACTGGAGTTGTAAACACGGTGATATCACATGACAGGCGAGCCCTACATGGAAAAGGCCGTGGAAGGTTAACCAATCAGAAGATATCTGCCAGGACCGTCATATACTACTAGTACTACTAGAAGTAGAGTCTATCCTCTTGCTCGGAGGCTTTGGAAACCACACTTTCTTTATTTTCACTACTTTTCAGTGTGTATCCGAGTAACCCTGCTCTTGGTGGAAACCAAAGATCTGAGGATGACGGTGGGGGTCAGCGAGGAAGATTCTTGAGATTCCTCTAGAGATATATGGCTGGGCTTAGAACTAAGAATCCATGGAAAGTTATATACATAAGATTTGTTTGAAAGTTGTCAGTCTACTACTCGTACAATGTATTCCCCGAAGTAAAAATAAAATAAAATAAAATAAAGATCCTTTTGTTTTCTTGGACAGTAACCTGCATGCAGAAGTCCTGCTTGGGCTATTGTAATCTAGTATCGTCATGTCCTTTGTATCTTGAGTGACACATATATATATATGTACTTATAGTAAGTAGATGCCTTCCAGGGTTCTATGCGATCTCGCCGCGGCCGCAAAGAGCCCAATGCGCACACCTAGAAATAAAGTGCCTCCAACTGCGTACACCACGGTCTAACATTGGTGAGCGGCGCCTTGTGTCTGTACGTCCTGCCGAGGCGGCCGAGATACGGTCTATTAGAACGCTGAAACAAACGGTCGTGAAGCATGGCTGTTCCTAATTATTAGGCCAGGCGTATCACTTTACGACAGACCACGAGCTGATGATTAGTCGAACAGTCGCCTGGAGCAACCTTCAGGTTATCTGGGTGGAGTTGAAGGCTACCCGTGAGATAAGGTTCGTAGTTGAGCTGGTCACTATCACCGCCCACGATCATCCTTAGGTATAGGCAAGTTCAACATAGACAGCATATTTCGTGCGGGCCCTGCGCCGCCCGCCTGACTTTGAAGGGCTTCTAGCAAGTTCTTCGCGAGATTTATGTCGATATCTCCATCCTCAAGGTCGGGTATTTCCCCTTCATCTTCGTCATGGTCCTCGCTTGGCTTCCCTTCAGACAACACCTGCTTACCTGCCGATGCCATACCGGGGCGATTCAGGTCGAGTACACCCGTGCCTCTCAGCTCGGTTTCCATCTGTCGTGATAGCTCTTGTATCTGTTCAGTATCATCTTCAGATTCAGCATCTAGTTCTTCCACTCGATTACGAGGCATCGATGGCCGAGATGAGCCCTTGGAACCAGTTGCTGATGGCATTCCCATCATCTCTTTCATCATCCTCGAGAACTCCTCCTCATCAAAGGATGCCTCCTTGTCCTCCCCATCACTGCTTACTTCATCATCGCCATCATCATCACCGTCGTCGGAATCAGAGCCATAATCGTCAAAAAAGTCAGCCCCATCGAGACCGGCTGAATCGTTATTCAGAAACTCTTCAAAGCGTGCAACAATACGCTGAAGATTCTCCTGGGCGTTGGCATCGCCAAAACTACCCTTAGGGGGTTTCCCGTCATCCCTTTCCTTCCCTTTCCCTTTGAGCTCCCTGTCGAGATCCTCAAAACTGATGTCTAGCCACTTTTCGTCATCCTCTGTTTTATCCCAGGTAGAGATCTCCTCATCAGTGGGCAGATTCTCATCTCCACTTTCGATATCTTCCAAGACAAGTTTTATCTCCCTCACGACGGCCTTGTCTTGGTTTTGTGGGTCGGTAAGAAGCATTTCAAACCCACAGGCAAGTTTCATACCCAGTTCTGCCCTGTCATAAGCTTTTTGATCATCATTGGAAGGTAACACTCCAGCCCATGATTTTGGGACCGGGAAATCCTGGCTTTTGAGCTGGGCATAGCCGACTCTAGTGAACCGGACGCTGACCGTGACGAAATCCTCGGGTTTAAAGACGAAACTATCAGGCTCCTTAGCTCGGAGAGGTCGTAATGCAATTGGGTCCCTTAGATAGAAGGCTTCTACTGCTGATGATATATAGGCGGGCTTCTGGTGTAATAAGTAGGCGATCTTGCGTGGGATCCTAATAAGTGCGGAGTGAAGGTTTTCGCGGATTTGCTGGGGATAGTTGCGCAATCGATAGAAGGCCTCCTCCTGGATCATTGCTGAGCGCATAAGCCGTGCAGGTTCCTCGACGATGATCTTCCTCGAATCTGGAAGAGATAGCTTTTCCGTCACTTTACCCTTTTGGTTCTTCGGCTTGATGATAACAAGTTCACCACGATGTATCCACACCTACAGAGATCATTAGCACTATGCAATGGACTCACAAGCAATGATCTCCTTACTCGGTTATCTGCTACTTCGGGCTCCAGCCATGACGGGAGTGCCCCTGCAGCTTCGACGAGAAGAAACTGCCCATCACCATCTGTGACCTTGACCCAGACATCCTTATGTTTTTTCGAAAGCTCGCGCAGCAAATACACGACTACCCATTCATCTTCGATTGAGTCGCCAAAATTGGTGCGTCCGCGCAAAAAGGTGATTCCTAGTTATAGTTAAATCAGCATGGCCCTGTGGTTTGGCCTTAGTTGCGGAAGATGCAATCACATACCATCTTCCTTAGTAATCTCCAAGCGGAACCCTTCTCGCTGCCATATATAGTCTTTAAGGAGGTCCTTTATCAGTTCTGCTGCAGTACGTTGGACTTCCACCAAGCGCGATCTCGTTTCTGCGACTTCGTCGACGATAGCGGGGGTGGGGTCGGAGGAGATATGATAGAGCGAGTACTCGACACAATCGTCGGGGAGCTCAGGTTTCGGAATGGGATGAAAGGTGGATTTAAACCATTCTAGATCTTCCTGCGACATAGGTGGCATGGCGGCAACTTCAACACGCCAGTCGTTCGCAAAGGAATCAGCTTCGCTCTATCAAAAGAAAAATTACTGTCAATGACTTCATACCGAACGAGACGCGGCGAATCTGCCGGACCGGCACCCGTGACCTCAACGCTAAGCCATTCCCGGCTAGATATCAACAAGCAAACGGTTGTGGGTCCTCACCGCCCAAAACACGTCCTCGTAATGCCGCATACACGGCTTGTACTCTAATCCTAATCTACTTTACTGCATTTTAGTGTTGCTTCCCTTCACACGCGCCAAGATTTAGAGATGATCGCGCGCTGGAAAAAACATTGAGTCAATTCAACACCTCAACTCTTACGAATTTTTCGCGTGATCCGCCTTGACAATGGTGGTGCCGTACATCGACACACCGCGCACCGAAGTCGACGGAAACGCGACTTACCTGACCAATGGCTTTCGCAGCGTCGGACGGCACAACCTATCGGCGCTCGATTCGGTTGAGAACTCGTTCCAGACACCCTCGAAAGATGAAGACCTTCTGAAGGGGCTCGGTGATGATCGGAGACGAAGCTCCGGCGCATTTAAACTCAGTACACCGCGTGCAGGCACCGGTTCCAAATCGACAAGAAACGCGTTGAACGGCCGGCACCACCTTCCGACCGCAGCACCACCCAAGGGAGAATTCACTCCATTGATGCGGAGTGCTGCAAAGAACAATTTCTTACGAAACATGTCCACAGCGAGGGGCAACGGTCACAAAACCCCAGCATATATGAAGGAAGGTCGCAGCAATATCCATACCCCCGGCCTGCCGAGTTACGATATGACGGGTATCGACGAGGAGGACGAAACTGACGACCAACCCACGCCACTGCCGCAGGCTGCGAGCAGTAGTGTGCAAAGTACACCCCTTCCGGGGTTGTCGGGTAGAGGCGGGAATGGTCTCTTGAACGATGGCCAGAACATGACCCTAAGGGAACAGGAAAAGGTGAGCATTTCTTCCATGTATTGTTCCATAGGGGGTAAAATAGTGCAACTGACTTTCATAGATAATCGACAAACTAGACAAGGACAACTTCGGCCTGAAATTAAAGATCCACTATTTGCAAGAGCAACTAGAGAAAGCAGGCCCGTCTTACAATCAAGCCGCACTCAAAGAAAACACCGAGCTCAAAGTGTCGAAGCTCACGATGCAACGAGATATCTCCCGATATAAGAAGAGCCTCCAACAGGCAGAACGCGATCTCGAAGCCTACCGCGTACAATTTCAAGAACTCCGAGAGAAAGTACGGAGGGGTCAATTGGATGAAACATCACAGCGCGAAATGAATCTGATGCGGGAGGAACTGGAATCGAAAGATCATCGAGTCAGAGAACTCCAGGAAGAACTTCGAGACGCGAAGGACAGGCAATCAGAGGAGATTGAAAAACTCCGCGATGAGATCGAGGACCTGGAAGCCTCCCTCAGGGAGAAGGAGCGTACGATTGACGAGCGCGATGAGGAGCTTGAAGAGTTGAAAGACAAGGATAGCAAGGAAAATGGAGCACTCGCTGAGCTTGAATCCGAACTTCAACGTGCAAAGGAGCAGATGGAAGAGCTACAGGACTCTCTTGACCAAGCGAAGTCTGAAGCTCGAGAGGCAAGGGAGTCTGAAAGCCGTGCAAGGAGCGACAAGGAGGAGGCCGAGAAGAACTTGCAAGAGCTACATGATGAGATGGCGAACAAGTCCATTAGTACAAAGGGGCTGACTCGCCAACTAGAAGAAAAATCAAACAAGTTGGAAGAAGAACTCCGGACACTGCAAGAGCAAAACAGCGTACTGAAAGAAGAGCTTGAAAGGAAGGCCCGGAATGAAGCCCACCTTGAAGAAAACTACCAACGGGCTCAGCAGAGCATGAACGACGAAGGACAGAAGTTACATGACGATGTTGCACTGGCAAGACATGAACGAAATGTAGCTCAGCAGGAACGTGACACGCTCTCTGCTCAATTGCAAGAAGCGCTCGATGAGATCCAGCGTAAGACAGAGGAAAAGGAGCTTCTGCAAACACGCCACTACGCTTTAACCGATGAATCCGGTGGTCTGCAGGATGAGTTGGCCCAGGCGCAATCCAGGATACGAGAGCTCCAACACTCCATCAATGATGCGAAAGAGCATGCCCTGGAGGACGCCGATACCGTTCGCACCCAATATCGAGAGGAGATTGAGAGACTCCAGGAAGAGATCGAGGCTCTTAATCATGAGATTGAAGATAAAGAAGGTCAATTTGCATTGGAACAAGACAGATGGGAAAGTACCAAGCGAGCCTTGCAACTTCAGAAGGACAGAGCAGAAGACCAAGCGGCTGGCTTCAAGCGTACTATTGAGAAGCTTGAGCAAGTTGAACATACTCTTACGGGCAAAGAAACCAAGCTTCAAGAAGTCATTGATAGCGAGAAAGCGCGGCACTTTAATTCGGAAGCGGTCTTAAGTCGCCAAGTGAAGGAGTTGAACGACGAGCTCTTATCAAAGAGACAAATCATTGATGACCAACGAACTGAGCTTCTTTCAGTTAAGGAAGAACTTCGCCTCGCCAAACGCGAAGAGGTAGCATTGACCGAAAAAGTACAGGCTCTGGAGGACGAGGTCGTGGTATTGCAAGCGAACTTGGAGGAAGAACGAGAATACGCCAAGGGACGAATGCAGAAAGGCTCCAGTGATCATGACAACAGGCTGCAGAACTTGATATCTGAAAAGCAAAAACTTCGTGATCAGCTGGCCAATGCTCATGTCGAATTACATGACCTACGAACGTCGATGGCTGACCTCGAGGCTGAGCGTGATGAGCTCCAGTCTCAGGTCGACCAAGCCCAGCATCAAGTTGGCGACACTACCAAGTTCGATAAAGAAAAGGTTGAGCTCCGCAAGTCTACCCTGCGTCTCGAAGGCGAGCTCAAGAGGCTGAGGGAGGAGAAGTCATCGCTTGTGGAAACGAAGGAGGCTCTCGAAAAGCAGCTCAGCGCTGAAGTTGAAAGAGCTACTATGGAAGAAAATCGTCTTGCGATTGAGATCGATCAACTTCAAGACAAGCTGCAAGCAACTTCGGGTGGAAAAGATAGGGAACTGACTTCGGCAAAGAGTAAAACACAGCGTCTCGAAAGGCGAGTACAGGAACTAGAGGCACTTCTAGAGCACCAACCTTTAACCGAACATGAACACTCGACCCCGAACGCAGACCTCTCGATGCTGCGTCATAACCTAGACGAGGCGCGGAAACGAGAGAAGACCCTACTTCAGCGAGAAGCAGACCAAAAGGCCTCCGTCCGAAGCTGCAAATCAAGAATCGCCGAGCTCGAGAGAGAATTGCACGACACTATGATGCGGAAATTTGAGGACCACTCTCATGCGTCGCCTTCTGATAAACTCCACGAAGAGCTACGAAGCTTGCGAAAGCAACTCTCTGAGGCGCATCGCACGCTAAGAGAGCTGAAAATAAAGAACCGAGACCTCGAACGAGCTGCAATGAGGGAGGAAGACCAGCGAGACTTGCACGAGCTGCTGAGATCGTCTACTCTTGAGGCCGAGTCCTTGGCCCTGAAGGTATCAGAGCGGGATGCGCGATTGAGTGAACTAAGAGCCCAAGTCCGCAGGATCCGGGAGGAGCGCGCCTTCTGTGCACGAAAGGCAGAGGCGGCCATCAAGGACTTGGACTCTCTTCAAGAACGTTACAACCAATTTGTGGAGAAGGCGGGCTCCAAATCAGATAGCAAGAGCAGACACGACAAGGAGATTCTGGGCTTAGGCAAGGAGATCATTTGGCTCCGTGCTCGGCTGAAGCGAGAGGAAAAGTTCCGACGTGACCTGGCTTGGAGCAAGGGCCTGATGGAGCTTGGAGAGAGGGTCCGCGTTGCATGGTATGTGAAAATCCATCTATTCTTCTATTAGCCTACTGACTAACTAACTTCTTTCCTTTGCAGTAACGAGGCCGATCTCAGAATGATCTCTGAGATGGGAGTTAAGCCCCGTGATCGCAGTATGCTTCGCAGCCCACGACAGAAGCTCAAGACCGGCATATTCATGGTCAAAGCGATTGTACGGATGCAGCGCATGGGCCAGCAGTGGCAAAAGACGAAGAAGATAGGCGAGGGCCTCAAACGGGCCAAGAACGAGGTGCTGAAGAGAAGAGAGGCGTCGAGTAGCAAGGCATCGGTGTAATTGCCGTACTACTTTTTTTTTTGCGTTTGTTTCGATATAACCAGTTCATTCTTTGGCTTACGACTTATTTCCAAGTGATTCCCCAATCTGTTCATACCGGTCTCTAGGTTTTCTTTACTCCGCTGATTCTGTTTACGGGGGCGTTTTGACTGTTGGATGAAAGGATGGATAGGACTTATAGTTAGCTTGTCTTACTGTTGTCTGGACATTCTGCATATATCTTATAGCCTGTACGGGTTGCTGTTTTTTTTTGATGATCAGGATAATTGAATGAGAAACGTGGAGCTTGTTAGCTATGGCTGTTGTTTGGTCTTAGGCTCCTTTTACCTAATTGTTCTACGTAATTGCAAGAGTTCATGCTCTTGGATAACCATCGATCGGGTCTTCTGATATGAATATAGTAGCTACCTAGTCACCAACAATCAGAATTGTAGATTTGTATGAGCCAAGTTGATATTCGACACCAAAGATGAGGAATTAATAGATAAGCATTGTTCATTAGACTTTATTCTTCAGACACATGATTCATGAAATCAACACAATGAATTTGACACTGAATAGGCACAAACTCAGCCCATACTAGTTCAAAACGGAATTGTAACGCCTGGCCTCGCCTTGCCGAACAACGGTAACGCTTCTAACACCGGGGTCGTGGGAAGGGTGAATATAAGAGGGACGTGTATAGGACCTGTAAGGTAGCCGCTTGAAGTGAGATGTATAAACGTGGAATATCTCTCATTCGCTCAATCCAAGAGAGATGAAGAACGGGGGTAGTATGCAAAAAGGAACAAGAATAACGGTATATGGCTTCAAGGATAAGGGAAAGGGTTTGTTATTTGGCCTAAGCGCCTTCGCTGCCAAATTCCTTGGTCCACTCCGAGTTCCTCTGGAGGTCTTCTTGACTGACGGTGGGTCTTGAGTTGCGAACTGCTTTAATAAAGTCTTTCAGAACGAGCGGTGGCTCCAGCAACTGATCTGCTTCCACACTCGTCCATGTCATCTCCATTGCACCTGCGTCTCCTGGAGAGCATGGTGTTACTTTTTCTTGTCCTTCAACCAAAACCTGGTGACGAGTTAGCCATCTTTCGGTTCAATTCGTAAGCTGGACTAATGTGGTCGTACCTTCTTGTAATGAGTGGCTGTTTGAATTTTACGGATCGGTTGCATGAGTGCATCCTGAACGGCAATGCTAATATCGCTACCGGAGTAACCCTCGCTCATCTCCGCTAGTGTTCTGTAATCGGCTTGTGTCATTTCACACGGCGTTTGTCCGACAGCTAACATGAACATTTTCATTCGTGCATTGATGTCGGGAAGACTGATGTGGACTCTCCGCTGGAATCTGCGACGGATAGCCGCATCTAGTTGCCATGGGATATTCGTTGCGCCCAGAATTAGAACACCTCTGGAGTCCTTTCCTACACCATCCATCTGTACCAGCAATTCCGTCTTGATACGGCGAGATGCCTCTGATTCTCCCTCCCCACGAGGACCACAGAGGGCATCCACCTCATCGATGAAGATAATAGCGGGCTTGTTCTCTCGGGCCATATTGAAGAGCTGCTTCACGAGTCTGTTATGAGTCAGAAAGTGCCCGAAACACATGCGCTGAGTCCGCCCAGAGACCGTACCTTTCACTCTCACCCATCCACTTAGATACTAGATCACTGCTGCTGACACTGAAGAATGTACTGTTTGCTTCTGTCGCCACGGCTTTGGCAAGATACGACTTTCCGGTACCGGGAGGCCCGTACAGCAAGATACCCTTCCATGGCTGTCGCTTCCCCGTAAACAGATGAGGAAACTTAATAGGTAATATGACCGCCTCCTTCAATGCCTCCTTGGCGCTCTCGAGACCTGCTACATCCTCCCACTTCACGTTCGGCTTATCGGACAAGATCGCCCCAGCAAGGGCGCTGCGTAGCTTCTTCGAATCAGCGTCTTCGTTATCGTCTTCATTCTTACTAAAACCACGCATATATCAGCACCCAGTATCCATATAGAAACAGTATAGAGACGACTGGAATACGTACTCGCCCTTCCCACTGCCTTGCGCCACCTTGCCGTTGGCGCCTACCGCACTTGGCTTCTTTCGACTTTCCGTTGCTTCAAGGTGGGTTTTGAGTTTCTCTGCGCGATCTAGATACTCGCCCGTTTTCGCGCGAATCATCTCCTTGGACTTGGGGTTCTTCTCCCATTTCAGGGCGAGCATGAATAGCTCCAGTGCGGAGTAGTAGCCCTGATAAGCTTTCTCGTACTCGCCCGAATTGTCGAGCTCGATGGCCTTCTTTACGGCGTCAATCGCCCGCCCGAGGAAGTCCGTGTTACTCATGATTGTTCGGGGTTGTTTGTGCGTACTCCGGGTTTGCTAATGGAGCCCGTAGGGGAATCGTCTCGGTGTGTGGAGAGAGGGAGGAGGTCGGAGGCGGGGAGTGATTTAGGTCTGCCTGAATGGGTTGGAATGCGGGAAACGGATGGGGGGGGGGGGTAAGGTGCGAAAGAGGACAGATCAAGACTAGACAAAAGCCGGACCCATTCGACTCTAGAAAGCGGACCAAGAGGAATACAGGTAGGTATCAATCGACCGAGTTCTTGGCGGGATGATTGGAGGGGAGAAATGGCAAAAGGCGGCCTTGAGTGATGTTTACCGTCCTGCATTTTCTGCCGTTTCCGCTCTCCATTTTGCCTGAAGTCCCCGCCATAGAAACCACTTCCTAGTAGTAGTTCATATTAAACCCACCACTCATCTAGTACTGCTACCACATTTGTCGATACTCGTTTGCACAACTTTCTCACAATCATAACCATGGCGGATGCACAGAAACAGATGCAGGCACTCTCGGACGAGTTCCAAAAGTTACAGACCGGTATGTCAGGGAACCCTTGACCGGAACTCCCCCCACTACGGCACCGCTGCCACCACCATGCGCCCGATATTGACACGGCAGTCATCATTAGAACTGGAGAGCTTTGTCGAAGCTCGCCAGAAGCTAGAATCGCAACAACAGGAAAACGAGGGTGTCCAGAAGGAGTTTAACTCATTGGATGACGATGCGAATATCTACAAGCTCATCGGGCCGGTCCTGTTGAAGCAAGATAAGAACGAAGCTCTGATGGCTGTCAATGGACGTCTTGAGTTTATTGAGAAGGAGATGTGCGTTAAAGAATTACGACCTTGAGTTTTAGCCTGAGAAGGTCATCAGTTGAGGTTGTACTGACGGAGTGCGCAGTAAGCGAATTGAGGGACAGATCAAGGAAAATCAAGACAAGAGTGACAAGATGCGAGCAGAGGTGAGGGGTGTCTCTGGATACCAACTAAGTGCAGGGCCAAGGGCTGTTTCTGATCCTTGTTCACAGATTCTTCAATACCAGAGCCAAATGCAACAGCAAGCGGCAGCTGCACCCGCCTCCGCTTGAGCTTGAACACATACTTGACCCGTTTCATAAAATGGAGTCTTCAGCGCTTTCAGTTCAGAGCGCAGAAACAAGCCCACACATTTGGAAAAAGGAGTTGGTGTGCTTGAGCGTGACCCCATTTGCAGTTTTTGGGGTTATAGGTCACCTTGCGCACCATGGCCGTGGATATTGACCAGGATGATACTACATCGGTTAGAAACGGCTACCATTTGGGGTCAGGGCTCTGCAAACTCGGTTGTTTGATCGTTTGGCAGATCTCAAGATGGACGTGTTGTGGAATTGTTCAATGACTGTTTTGAGTTGGCGATGGCACAATTGTCATAATACGATATTCTATACCACATCACACGGTTGGATTCTTTGCAGCAGCTGTACAGCTTCGCTGTCAGACCATCATCCATTATTTTACAGTCAATGTAGTTCCAAGGGAGCCTTTGCGCTACATAACGCAATGTATTCATGATTTATGAGCCTTCTTATGCGCCTGAAGAGGATAAGATGAATTCATTTCCACGGCCTCTAAATTCTATTTATGCTACATCGAACTGTCAATCATTTGAACTCCATAACTTTCATGTATTCATAACCCGCTTGAATCATCTCTAGATGTGGCGTTAGGACGATCTATATATTAAAATATCTTTATGCCTTAACCAGGAGATTCTGTCCGGACATCTCCTCAGGCTGCTCGATGCCCATGGCAGCGAGAACGGTTGGTGCGACGTCTCCAAGCACGCCATCATCCTTGAGGCTCCAGCTCTCAGGGGCATTGGCCATGATGAAGGGAACCTTATTGGTGGTGTGAGAAGTCTTGGGAGTGCCCTTCTCGGTGAGCATTTCCTCGGCGTTTCTGGAAGAGAAGCAGTCAGCAGGGAAGTCCGCCCTACATATGATCTATATGGATGGTGAACGCTTACCCATGGTCCGCAGTGATGAAGAGTACATAGCCGTGCTTCTTGCAGGCTTCATAGATGGCACCGATGGCCTTGTCGGTAGCAGCAACACCCTGAATGGCAGCATCATACTTACCAGTATGGCCAACCATGTCAGGAGGAGCGAAGTTGTTCATGACAAACTCGAACTTGCCCTCACCAATGCGGTCGGCCATCTTCTTGCCGACGGCCTCAGCGCTCATCTTGGGGTCCAGGTCGTAGGTCGCAACCTTGGGGGATGGAATCATGTCGCGGACCTCGCCAGCGAACTGCTTCTCAATACCACCGTTGAAGAAGAAAGTGACGTGAGCGTACTTCTCAGTCTCGGCAACGTGGCATTGCTGAACATCCTTCTTGCTGAGCCATTCAGCGAGCACGTTACCCATCTTCTGAGGGGGGAAAGCAAGAGGGAATGTGTAGTCGGTCTTATACTGGGTCATAGTGGTGATGTGGATGTTCTTAGGGTAAGGGAAGTCGGGCTTGGGGGTGCGGTCGTAGTCACCGAGCAGCTGGGTGATTTCGCGGACACGGTCAGAGCGGTAGTTGAAGAAGAAAAGAGTGTCATCATCTGTCAATTTTCGTTAGCTACCCGCACACTGCGAAGAGTTCAATGGGCCATCATACCCTTGACCCGGCTCTCCTCGCCGCCGACGATGATGGGCTTCAGGAACTCGTCGGTCTCATCTTTTTCGTAGCGCTCGTTGATGGTCTTAACAGGGTCAGAGGACTCCTCGCCCTCGCCCGAGACAATGCCCTTCATGGCAATTTCGACACGATCCCAGCGCTTGTCGCGGTCCATGGCCCAGTAGCGTCCAACAACAGTGGCGATTTCGCCAATGCCGATTTCCTTAGTCTGATCAAGAAGCTGCCGCATGTACTTGGTAGCGCTCTTGGGCTCGGTGTCACGTCCATCGCCGAAGAAGTGGATAAAGACCTTGGGAATCTCCATCTCCTTGGCAACCTTCAGCAGGCCGACCAGGTGAGTGATGTTGGAGTGGACACCACCGTCGGAGACCAGACCCAAAAGGTGAAGACGACCATTGCCTTCTTTGGCACGTTTGAAGGATGCAACGACGTTATCCACCTTGTTTAACTCGCCCTTCTTGAGGGTTTGGTCAATACGGACACTGTCTTGCCAGACCACACGTCCCGCGCCGATGTTCAGATGGCCGACTTCACTGTTACCCATGAGACCTTCCGGCAATCCGACGGCAAGCGACGAGGCATCGAGCTCGGAGTAGCCCTGGGCAGTCTTGGAATTGGCCTCGGCAAAACCGGACATGAAGGGAGTCTCTGCAGCGAGGATAGCATCGCCATCCTTGCGGGAGTCGGGGCCGGCAACACCCCAGCCATCGATGACGACTGGTTGACCGTGTTAGCGATTTGTTATGGAAAGTCGGATCGCATTTCGGCGCAAGTAAGTACTTACCGAGGACAACTTTTTGGTCGACCTTAGCCATAATGAAACTGCGAGATAGTTAATTTCCGGACAACTTTTAACTAATTTTTGAGGGAATTGAGAAAGGGGAGAATCACTGACCAAAAGATGGGGGTCAAGTAGAAATGAGAGCAGAAGAAGGAGGTGGTGGAGAAAAGGAGGGAAGAGAAGAAAAGAGGAAAATATAGGGTTGACCGGTGAGAAGCAGTAGTATCGGGTGATTGAAATGGAGGGGGAGGGGTGTTCCGCCGGTGACGCTTTTAGGGCGAGTGTCAGTCAACTGGTCTGTTGGTGCGACGTCACTTCTCTTTAGTCAAAAGTCACGGGCGGCGACCGGTTGTTCTCGTCCGCTCTGCTTTACCCGTTCCGACTCTTCCCTAAACAATTACCCTGATCAGAATTACCTTCATCTTCGTTCGTCACAAAGCCATTACCTGCCCCCGCAATGGCTTCTCGATCCCCGGCGGCGATTACTCCACTGCCAAAATTATCGTCGGCTCCCCAGACGCCCATCGTTAGGGATACAACGGTTGTACCATCAACAGTGCCACAACCTGTCCCCTTCCCTCCTCCACAGACGTTCGATATTATCCCGCCATTGCACGGTCTGCTTCTCCGATTACTCTCACCACAGCCGAATACGGAAGGCGTATCAAATGACACACGAGCCGCCGAAGACTCCGGTGCAGCTACAGCTCCCACCGGGGCCACGTCCACTGCGGCAGTCCAGTCTCAATCTCACCCACAACAACAGCAATCGGTTGCTGGGAACCAAAATAATGACGGGCATGGTGTAATACCTACTGCTTCCTCTGCGGCACCAGGTAGCGCCTCCGCTGCGGCCGAAATAGCTGCGTTGAGTTCGAACGCGCCTCCACCGCTAGACATCAAAGACCTTCCTACCGAGGCCAGTTCCATTAAGATTCGTATACAGAAAGCACAAGCTGTGGTGGAGAGCCTGCCTGACGTTCACCGTTCAGTTGTGCAACAGGAGAAGGAGATCAAAGAACTTGAGCACAGAATATCTAGACTCAAGTCGGTCATCTCCGATTTTGGGAGAAGAGCCGACCCTGCGAAAACAGAGAAAACAGGGGTTGAAGCAGCTTGAGGGGCTCCACCACGATAGGGATATCTGTTCCACGGCGGGTATTCCCATCGTAAGGGTAACAGATTTTAACACGAAGACTGCCTTGTGATTCGCAGTCAGTGAGAGAGGGTATTGGATTCATCATGGAAGCACAACTTGGACAACAACTTGCGAATCCTGACGATGGCTTCCCAGCGCCAGTGCGGATTGTAGACGAACACATCGGTTTGCTAAGACCTGGCTAAGCAAGGGATAGTGAAGCATGCTAGATACCTTGGGGGCATTTAATGGGTGCCATCTTCCATGACCTAATGGCGTTGCTACATGGAAGACCTCGTTACAGCTGCCTGGCCCGATAACTTTGGACTTCACGTAGGAGGCTTGATTCATCCTTCTTAGAGTGGCAAATGGAGAACATCAGAGAACGAAGAATTACAGCGACATGATGGTGGATTCTGCCATACTGATAGTATATCTTAGAGCGTTGCGCCTGGTATGTGTTGCTCTTGTCGGGAGGGGTGGCAGTATGTCGTGCTCACCCCTCGGTGACTCCCACGGTCCTCGTCCCATGTAAATGGTGGGGGATCATTATGTATGCCACCCATTGATACATACAATTAACTTTTTTTTCTTCTTTTGTTCTTTTCCACTTTAAATCAAGCACCAGTATCCTTAGTAGTGCCGATAATGAGGAGAAGAACAAACCCGATCTCCAACTGCGTAATATTCGTAAACTTCTCCAACAAAAGGACTCCTCGTGCCGCATGGAGTAAACAGAGATTATCATGTGACTCATAGCTCTCCATTAAGTTTTTTTTTTTTTTTTTTTCTTTTTTCATCTTTTCCCCAAGGGAATTAATACTAACCCCAGGTGGTTAGAGGCCCCTCACGGTTCCAACTCCGAGCGAATCAGTTTCCCGGTGAGGGGAGTAATGAGCTCCGATGTCGTTCCCGGTGGCCGACGTAGTACGAAAAAGCACTCCGTAAGATCCCTGGTCGGAGTCGGTTTCTATTGGATATGATAAAATGTTAAAAGGCGGGACACTCTTCCTGAGGCACCCAACACCCCACTAAAAGACTACCTGGTCTCCATTTTCTCTCTTCTACTTCTGCTTCTCTTTCTTCTTCTTCTCTTCTTCCTTTCACACTCCCATTCTCTCTCTACCCATCTTCTTCCCTAGTATTCTTTGCTGTACTAGCATTATCTTTCACAATGGCCACCTACGCTCTGTCGCAGGCCCACCGGGACGTGAGTATTGATGCAAGTGCAATTTTTCGTGCCACAGTCACTGACTCACGAGGCAATGTAGCAAATGGAGAAGACTCTCGTCGAGTCCGATCCCGAAATTGCCCAGATCATGGTAAGTGTGATTTGATTTAATTAAGATGGGTCTTGAACTAGTCTAACAGTTTCGTAGGAAAAAGAGATTCAGCGTCAGCGTGAATCCATTGTCCTGATCGCTTCGGAGAACTTCACTTCTCACGCCGTTTTCGACGCCCTTGGCTCTCCTATGTCCAACAAGTACTCCGAGGGTTACCCCGGTGCCCGTTACTACGGTGGTAACCAGCACATCGATGCCATCGAGCTCACATGTCAGGCCCGTGCCCTGAAGGCCTTCAACCTCGACCCTGCCAAGTGGGGTGTCAACGTTCAGTGCCTGAGTGGCAGCCCTGCCAACCTGCAGGTCTACCAGGCTCTTATGCGCCCCCATGACCGCCTTATGGGTCTGGATCTCCCCCACGGAGGCCATCTGTCCCACGGTTACCAGACCCCCGCCAGAAAGTAGGTTTCACATCGTCTAGCGGTGGTTTCGTCATATCCGTTGCTAATTCTAAACTGCACAGGATCTCCGCTGTCTCTACTTACTTCGAGACCTTCCCCTACCGTGTCAACCTTGAGACTGGTATCATTGACTACGATGCCCTGGAGGCCAACGCTGAGCTCTACCGCCCCAAGTGTCTGGTTGCCGGTACCTCCGCCTACTGCCGCTTGATTGACTATGAGCGCATGCGCAAGATCGCTGACAAGGTCGGCGCTTACCTCATTGTTGACATGGCCCACATCTCCGGATTGATCGCTGCCGGTGTCATTCCTTCTCCCTTCGAGTACGCTGATGTTGTCACTACCACCACCCACAAGTCTCTCCGTGGCCCCCGTGGTGCCATGATCTTCTTCCGCAAGGGTGTGCGCAGCACCGACAAGACTGGCAAGGAGATCCTGTACGACCTTGAGGGTCCCATCAACTTCTCCGTTTTCCCTGGTCACCAGGGTGGTCCCCACAACCACACCATCACTGCCCTTGCTGTTGCTCTCAAGCAGGTTGACACCCCCGAGTTCAAGCAATACCAGCAGCAGGTCTTGAACAACGCCAAGGCTCTGGAGAACGAGTTCAAGCAGATGGGCCACAAGCTCGTCTCTGACGGCACTGACAGCCACATGGTCCTGGTGGACCTCCGCGCCCATAAGTTGGACGGTGCTCGTGTTGAGGCTGTCCTGGAGCAGATCAACATTGCTTGCAACAAGAACTCCATCCCTGGTGACAAGTCTGCCCTTACTCCTTGCGGTATCCGTATTGGTGCTCCTGCCATGACCACCCGTGGTATGGGTGAGGAGGACTTCAAGCGTATTGCTCACTACATCGACAAGGCCGTCAAGATCTGCAAGGATGTCCAGGGCGAGCTCCCCAAGGAGGCCAACAAGCTCAAGGACTTCAAGGCCAAGGTTGCCTCCGAGACCGTCTCGGACATCCTGGAGCTGCGCAAGGAGGTTGCCGCCTGGGCTTCCACCTTCCCTCTCCCCGTTTAAATGTGATACCAAAAATTTCTGTGTTTCATTTGTTTAGTCTTGCGAGTTCAACATCTTTGCGTCTAAAATGGATTGGGTGTGCTTTTCTAGGGGTTTATATCGGTCTGCTTTTTCAACCTTACGCGGGTCACGGGATATGAGTATGTGAACGAACAAAATAGCATTGGATGGCTTTTCAACACCTCTTCAACAGGACAAAAGTTCATGTCTACATCATCGGGCTGGACCTCCAGCTCTTCAATGGATATGCTTGCCATTCACGAACAATTTTAAATATTAATGAATTTTTCTCATCAAGTTACATCCAAGTAATTCATTCCCAGAACTGTAACGTAAGCGATGAAGGTGTTCAAGAGTTGAATGAAGATGTAGAGAACCAAGGATATTCATTATTATTCCTGCCTTAGGGCTTTATCGCGCCGTCAAGTTTGAATCATCTAGATGCTCAACATTGTATAGCACAAACCAGTCATGCCATCATATCAACGTGCAGTTTATGCCACAGACGTTTTAGTAAAACCCGAATAATACGCGTAGTGAAAAGAAGAAAAAGACTATTAAGCCTGAAACAACCCTCGCCGAATAATTTATCTCCACCTACAACTCAACCCTTTCTTCCCAGCCCACGACGGGGTCATCGTCTACAGTTCCCTCTTTCTGTTCCTGCCATGACTGGAAGAGCAGCGTGGCGACATTCTTACCCATCAGCGCGCTTGTCTCCATCGTAGAGATGAAGCTCTCGATCCCACCGGTGTACCAGATATTAGGGGACAAGAGTGTCTCTTCGAATGTGACTCGTGGGTAGAGGAACGGGTACGGGTTCCAGATCTTCTCGTGATGCCAGCTGATATCCTTTTTGGAGAGATCGCTAATAGTCGAGTTTTTGTTCTTCACAGGATCGGGAGGGCTCTCCAGACCCAAGATGCTTCTTACGAAGTCAGCTGATAGCCGTTCGGGTGAGAAGACCTTGTAGACGTAGTGTTTCGACGAGTTCTGGTCTGGGGATGCTGGGGGGTGGTCCACTGTTTGGAGAGTGCTGATGCTCCAGAAACCGGTTGGACCCACTCCTGCCTTTTCGGAGCCTAGGTCCAGGCCGCTGGGAACGGTGGTAAGAATGGTTTCGGGGGTCTGGGCATTGGCCCCTTGGAGGTTAAAGAATTTGGGTGAGAGCTTATGGGGTGAGGAGAATAGGGTCACATGGAGTGTTACGAAAGGAATCTCATCCGGTTGTTTTTCCACGGGAGGAGTGATCGAGAGCTCGGAATGCTGCAAGGGACCAGCGATCACTACTTCGTCAAAAATGAGCTTCTGCTTCCTTGAGTTGTTGGCCTTATAAGTTAGAGTTAAAGTGTTATCGGCATTACGTTGAATGGAGGTCACTGTATGGTTGAGTCGAATATCGGCTCGCGCAGCCTTCAGCATTCCGTGAAAGATTTGCCAATTTCCACCCTTGATAGACACTGCTCCTTCTGTAGCCATGCATACCATAGACTCGAGGCCATGTATGAGACCCAGATTCTGTCCGTAGTTGACTCGTGTGCTAGCTTGTATGATCTCCCGAGTGAAGTCAGGAGATATGTTATTCTCCCTAAGAAAAACGTCACCGGGGGTTGAAGTCGAGTCTAGCAAGCCCACTGCGGCGGCAGCGGCAGTCAGGGACCTGAACGGAAACATAGGTTCTTCATAGAGTCTCAAGAACTTGCTGACTGTGCTTTTCATCAAGCTCTGGGTCCGAATGGGTGCCCAGCCGTAACGCCAGAGCAGCTTAGGAATGTTCCACCAACTGTCATTCTGGAGCACAAAGACAAACTGCTTCCCGTCCCAGACGCCGATACTATCATCGGCTTCCTTGGGCCGGGCCACGTCGGCGCTATCGACAAACAGACCGAGCTCTTTGGATGCGTTCATGAGGTTGTAGTTGACCTTGACGAAGATCGATGCACCTAGCTCCACGGGATATGCCGGATGGTCTAGAACATTTACTGTTGTTGATCGACCGCCCACATACGAGTTGCGTTCGAAGACAGTGATATTGACTGGAATCAGGGATGCATCTGCATATTTCCAGAGAGAGTATGCAGTGGAAGACCCTCCCGCTCCAGCTCCTGTGAGCTTCATTAGCCTCGAGTATACACATGGTTAGGTAGAGCTCAAGTACTCACCGATTATTGCCACTCGCTTAGGGACAGTATCAGAGGCTTGAGTGAATGACTGCTCCTTGGCATCACTAATTGATATGAAACACAGTGCTATGACATAATGTATGGCTAGTAGCCAGAGTGAAGGTTTAACAAAGGCCGCCATGGGCAAATCAAAGGCACTAAACAGTGAGGACTCCGTATTAACGGCAAAGCATCTAAGTGATCATGGAACGTGCACTGCTGCACAGCCCAATGCTCAATAGCCACACTACACTGGTCTTCTGATAAATTGCGGTTAATGTTATGATTTAAGGATAAGAGCAAGGATGGCAATTACAGACAAGAGAGTTGGAGGATGAGAGAACGTCAGACAACAAGGCACAGAGCTGGTGACGAATCACAGAGTGGTACGGGGTTGTATCGGGGCTAGTCCCCAACTGGACTAGTGTATCATGAACCCCGTATCGCTTATCGGCCTAATCTTTTTTCTACAGTCTTTTTTTTCCCTCTGCTGGACGAATGGAGGGGTTGTCTGCTTTTATATGTTGAGCTTCTGTGCACACTTATTGTCAACTGCTCATAAATTAATATAGCCAACGTCCTAGACCAGTTTCCTCGCGAATTGTCTCGCTACCGTATTAACCTCACAACTATGGATCCTTATGACAGCGACTCGTCGGGGTTTGAAGATGAGGACTTCACGGAGACCAGTGTGCTTTTGGGATACGCTTCGGAGGAGCTGTTAGATGACTCAATTAGTCACCTCGGAGGCTGGCCAGTATGTGACTGTTTTGGTCTCAGTGGATATGTGATGAGCACACAAATACTGATCACCTTTGACTCCAGACATGGCTGGACGATTCGACCCCGCCCCCAGGCGAGTTCGCCAATTGCAAAGTCTGCAACAGCCCTATGATCCTCCTCCTCGAATTGCACGGCGACCTCCCCGAACACTTCCCGGATGACGAGCGACGACTGTATATCTTCGGCTGCCCCAGAAAACCGTGCAACCGCAAGCACGGCAGTATCAGAGCCTTGCGCGCTACACGGAAGTTGAAGAGCCAGCCAGCGCCCAAGAAGGAGGAAAAGCAGGAATCAGTAAAGGAGAAAGAAGAGCAAAAGAAGCAGGCTGAGGCTCCCAAGCCGGACCTTGGAGCAAGTCTGTTCGGGGCGACCTCTCTCACTGGGAGCGTCTCTGCGAACCAGAACCCATTCTCGACCAGTTCGTCCTCCGCACAAGCCAGCAACCCGTTCGCTGCCCCTCTTGCAGCACCCCAACCGGCCAAACCAGCCGCTTCATTGAACCCGTCCGGAAATTCCCTTTCCGAATCCTTTGCGGACAAAGTTCGAGTTTCCTCCCCGCCCCCGACTATCAAGCCACCCGAGGCCGCCGGCCCCGCTGCACCATGGCCTCCGCAGTCTGACTTCCCCTCACCGTACAAACGGTACTATTTAGATGCGGAGTACGAAACGCTTTCTCGTCCACCTACCCCGAAAATTCCCGATAACGTTGTTATTGATAACACCGAAGATGATGCCAATGGTGGCTCGGGCGCGGACCTGAAGGATGCCCTGGAGTCTGAACTGGACAAAGTCTTCATGAAATTCTCAACCCGTCTTGGACATAACCCCGAGCAGATTTTGCGATATGAATTCCGTGGCTCTCCCCTCCTCTATTCTCACACCGATGCTGTCGGAAAGCTTCTTTACGACCCCAAGAACCCCCCCTTGGGCGCTAAGGTGACTACTACTGGAGGTCCAAGCCGCATGCCACGCTGTGAATACTGCGGTAGCCAGCGTGTTTTCGAGCTGCAGCTCGTGCCTCATGCCATCAGCATGTTGGAGGATGGCCGTGAGGGGGTTGGACTGGGCCCCAAGGATGATGGCATGGAATGGGGAACCATCATTCTTGGTGTCTGCAGTAAGGACTGTGGCCCCGAGAAAATTGGAGAAGTCGGTTGGCGTGAGGAGTGGGCGGCCGTGCAGTGGGAAGAATCGAAATAAACCTACAGGCTCATGACTGATGTTCTATAATGCTTATGACCGCATAGACACAATCAACTCAAGTTCAAAAATTTACATCTACCTTTTCCCGTGTATTCTATTCAGATGGGGTGGGTCATAGAGGGTGGTTCGCTCAGTATCACGGTTGTAAATGCACAACGGCCCCATTTACTGAGAATTCTCAGTCATCTTTGTTCTATGGGATATCTTCTCGAATATAAAGAAGTAAATAACGGAGAGAAAGAAAAGTTGTTTTTCACATAGACAACATCATGATGATGAGAAACATAAGTGATGTCGAGCAAACACGTAACGCCAAATGCGCCGGTCCTGACTTCCCAACCCTCCTCATGCAGGTCTATCCCCGTCATCATCATCTTGGGCTCCGAGCTCGTTTCGTGGGTCTGAAGCGGACATAATCCTTTTACGGGCCTTTTCAATCAAGAAAAGACGCGAAGTGAAGATCCATATACACGGTTGGATCTTCGAGGCATAATATTAGCAAGAAAAGGAAAGAGACACGGTTAGATTTTCGATTAGAGACTCCGCTCAAGCAGCCTGCTCAAATCCCCGTCTGATAACACGGCCGAACATCTCGACACCGACGCGCTCGCTCTTGACTTCGCTGCGGGCCTCGTTCTCCTTGTTGGTGGGGACCTTGACAACGGTGCCGTTGGGGCCGGACTTGTCGACCTCCCAGCTGCAGACCTCGGCGACGAACTTCTCAAGAGCCTCACGACTCCTCAGATCGAGCCATTGCTCAAGAACCTCGGCATTGATCTCACGGAATGCCTTGCCAACCTCAACAGCGATGCGGATGCGGACAAGCTCCTCGAAGCCGGCGACATCGGCGGTCAGATCGGCGTAGAGGTCATCGGAGTTCAAGGTGGACCAGAACTGAGCGTACTGGGCAGACTCAAGGAGCGTGGAGAGGCGCGCGAGCTTCTGAACGGATTCAACGAAGTCGGAGGTTTGAGATGCGGCCTGGGCCTCAGCGTTGGAGGGGAAGGGCTGGGTGTGGGCGGGGAGCAGGGCGAGGCAAAGAGAGAAAGCAGGGGATGGGAAAACGGTAAGCGCCTTAGCAAGGATGTTGGTGACGGTCTCAGCCTGGAGAAGGTGAGGGTTGAATTGGTAACTGCCCAGGAGGCGTTTTAAGTTAGCGAGAACGATGAGAAAGTTTAGTCAACCCATCCAGCGACAGTTGGTGATTTTGAGGGCTTTATCAGAAGTATGTATCCTCGACATCCCTCAATTTGAGGTGTCAGTTAATAGGAAACGTGATAGTAATAAAAGTATCTCTCCATCATTGAAGCCCGGTGATATTGCATTTGCAAGGTCGAAGCTCTCGGAACAATTGCGTAAACAATCAAGCGCATGCACTCACAGCTTCAACAATGCCAGGTTGGCATAGCAGTCGAATGTCCTGTCCTCGCACTGTTGTACAACGTAGTCCTGGAAAACGGTGGTCGTCTCGGGGTTGTATCTGTCCAGGCCGTTGAGGATGGCATCGATATTGGCCGGCCGAGTCTCACACTTGTCGAAAGCAACACCCATCTTGGCGATTTCTGATTTCCTTGAAAAGATCGTTTGAAAAGAAGTTACCCCGGATGGGAATTTCAGTGTGGACCTTAACGGAACGGACGATAGCGAAGCGCGTGGTACTAATCAGACTGCGGGATGGCTTTTTTGGTGGGATTTTTCGATTGTGTCGATGTCGATGTGCGGGCACTCGGAGGGTCGGAGCCCCAGAACGGCATGTTTCTCCGATTGGTATGTAGATCGAAGTATATCCAACCATCTTGCTGATTACTCCGCATTATAGGTAAACCCCGCTAGACACGTTATAAATACTGGTCCAGTGACCTCTGGAGAATGATTTCAGCTGGGAGTTTCTCTTCTCTTCGGATGGTGGGAAGTCTTCAAGTGAACCTGCGCCATGCGACTTCTTATACCTTGCCTTACCCAGCCCCTAACCCCCTTGTTGCTGGGGTTGATGACGACAACAACGGCTCAGTCCGTTGATTATTCACAATATGTAAATCCTCTAATGGGCTCTGAAGGCCCCATGCCCGGGAAAGGCTATGGAGGTGGCGACATTTTTGTTGGTGGTGCTCGACCATTTGGCGTAACCAAGGTTGGGATTGACACGACGGCTGCAAACTGGTCGATTGCAGTGCTTAACGGTGGCTGGACCCCTGATGGGAATGTTACCGCCATTAGTATGTATCCCTAGCATGAAATACCTATTCGCTCCCAAGGACCTGAACTTTTATGCAGGCATGATGCACGAGAGCGGGACTGGAGGCGCACCGAAATATGGGATTATCCCACAGATGCCTCTCACCGACGTGGCGCCTCCAGTGAATATACTTGATAACCTCACATATAGCCAACCGAGGGTATAGTTATGCTCAACTTATATCAATCATTCATACGTTTACAAACGAATAGGTCGGTCAAGACACTGCTAGTGTGGGCTATTTCAAAACTCAATTACAAAATGGCGTTCAAGTGGAATTATCAGCATCTCGCCACACCGGGATAATGCAGTACTCTTTCCCAAAAGGCGAGAAATATGTCTTAGTTGACGTCTCGCATGTACAAACTCCTTTCCTACAATTATTCAGCTCTAGTGCGTAATCTTACGGCCTTATAGTACCTTCCTGGATCACCAAATGACCCGAATGGCCAATACTATATTGGTGGAGAAGTCCACGTCCATGGAAATGGTAAAGAATATAGTGGATATGGTACCTATATTGGCGGTTGGAACAATGGTTGGTTGTCCATGTATTGCTCTCGAATCTATGCTGAACAGCGATAGGCGCCCCGTTCACTGTCTACTTCTACGGGGAGTTTTCCGAAACCCCGGCATCGGCCACTACATTTACAGGTAGAAACACCGATCCAATGAGACAGTACCAAACCTTCTCGAATGGGGGAATGAGCTATCCAACCTATGGTAACAAGTCAGATACGGCAAGCTCAGGGCCTATGAATGACCGGGTAGGCGCGCTCTTTAGCTGGGATCTTGTGGAAGAGTCACAAATCCGTTCAAGGGTCGGCATCTCATTCATATCCACCGAGAAAGCTCGCTCTTATATTCAATCTGAAATACCCTCGTGGGATCTTAACGATGCAGTGAAATCGGCAGTAGAAGAATGGAATCAAGACGTCTTCAGTAAAATAAGTGTGCCGCTTGATAGTACCACGAACCAGACACACGTGCGACTACTGTATAGCTCCCTCTACTTTATCCACTTGATGCCATCCGATAGGACCGGAGAGAACCCACTTTGGCATTCAGAGGAGCCTTTTTGGGATGATTTCTACACTCTTTGTAGGTATATATCCTCCATGAGGTTGCTTCTTATGCTAAATCTTGACTAGGGGACATCTTCCGGTGTACAATTAGCTTCTATCATATCTTTCAGCCTTCTTACTATGAATCCATGATCCGGGGTCTTATTGATATTTGGAGGTAAGAGCTCTATCACTTGAAAAGACTGAACTTGAGCCCTAACTATTATACCCAGACACCAAGGCTTTCTACCAGACGGACGCTCCGGAAACTGGAATGGATTGGTTCAGGGAGGCTCGGATGCTGACAATATGTTAGCTGATGCATACGTCAAAGGTCTTCGTGGCGCAATCAACTGGACGGATGGTTATGCTGCGATGAAAACAGATGCTGAGGTTATTCCTTACAATACCTACGATCCCACAGACTTCACCGCAAGCACGAAGGAAGGCCGCGGAGCCCTAAGAGACTGGATTGAGCTAGGATATGTATCGCAGGACCGGAACACACGTTGTATTTCCAGAACTGTTGAGTACAGCCTTAATGACTTCGCTCTCAGTCAGGTTGCAGCGGGCGAAATGCCCAGTGATCAGGAGAAGTACCTCAATCGGTCTGCAGGGTGGCAAAAGATTTGGAATCCAGACGTGCAGAGTTTAAATTTCACAGGGTTTGTGGCACCGAAATTTTCCAATGGCACCTTCAACAGTAGTGGATACGATCCGTTATACTGCGATGAGTGTGAGTGGAAGTCCTATACTTATGAGGGTACACCATGGGGTGAGTTGCTATCATATTGTTGTTCGTTGAAGGGGTGATCACTGAGATCAGGTTACTTTAGAATATTCCTTTGTCATCCCGCATGACATGGAGACACTGATTGAGCTGATGGGCGGCATTGACACCTTCGAATCCCGCCTAGACCTTATGGTAAGAGACCCAAGGTTACACTTGATGGGTGCTTACGCCATGAGTAGTTTAAACCAAACATGTCTGTTCAAGATTTAGGTTCCAATGGTGCCGGTATCACCACACTTATCAACATAGGGTATGTTAGGGTTGTAGCACCGGGAAAAGCTGAGCCTAGCTAACCTGCTTGGGAAAGGAATGAACCTGATTTCGCTACACCTTACCTCTACAACTATATCAATAAACAAGCCAAGAGTGTGCAAAAGTCCCGCAGTCTTGGGTATCAATAGTAAGGAGGAGGCCGGAAGATACTTTACCCCAAACATGCGGTACTAATTCGAACTTTTGCATTAGCTTCAAAGATGCCCCTTACGGTGTCCCGGGAAACAGTGACGCCGGGGCAATGAACTCATGGCTTCTATGGCAGATGATTGGGATTTACCCAGTTGTCACGCAGCCCGTGTACTTGATCTCGTCTCCATGGTTTCCCGATCTCAATATGACCATTAATGGAAATCAGACCCTGCGGATCACTGCGACAGGACTAGATCAGGGGTATTATGTGCAAAGCGTGAAAATAAATGGCCAGTCTTGGCAGAAGAACTGGTTCGAGCACAAAGATCTCATGGAACAAGGTGGCAGCATTGAGTTCGAACTTGGCTCTGAGATGAAGGCCTGGGAGACCGGCAGCGTACCTCCTTCGCCGGGACACACGACGATGTAACAAAGCGAAGAGATCTCCTGGCGTGCTAAATTTAGATATAGTACCTATAAGGACTCGCGATTGCCGCTGCCAATGAGCTAAGACACAAGGTAATTTAACGAGACATGAGGGGAGACTACTCCGTACTAATAGTACAGTGGGGTGGTCGGATCGCCCTAATTCCGTATGGATTTCGTATTGATACTAATATGATATCCATTCGCTGATGGCTACTTTTATAATTGATTAATCTCTAGGATTTAATAACATACCTATCCTTTTTATGCAGGCCTTGGTTGAGTAATGCATACTATTCTCGCTTTGTTCGCGTATTCTCCTGTACAAACTTCCAGTGAGCGAGCACTGGACGAATGGAGATTAGACGTTCAAATTGACGTAGTGATTAACAATAAGCTTAACTCAACACGAAGTCAATCAATCAGTGGGCAGGGTTGGGCGGTCGTCCCTTGTCGAAGGATTCGCCAGCCTTGTTTGCCGAGATTGCGTCACTCCCGCGACTATCCAACATCTGACATTTCAGCGGCATTGGGAGAATGTCCATTGTACCAGCAAGGCTGCTATCAAATGACAGAAAACAACCGAGGGATGTTATGATCAGAACGTGGGGCAATCGCAGACTCTGTAGAAATATCCTAGAGTACAATCAAGAATGCGGGTCCAACCCTACTCCGATTTGCATCAAACGGCACATGGAAACGGAGCCATCGCACAGACGGCATGCCTACTGCATGTGAATAAAAAGATAAAAAAGAGTTAAGACAGCCCACTGCGTCTTCTTATTGGAAGGAAGACACGGATCAGAAGTTAATGGCCTTGCTTTTGGCGATGGAGATCGTCGCGGGATCTGTGGCCCTCGCAAGACGTTTGATTGACGTCAGTGGGCGAAGAATCCGCATGTTAACGATGCTGTGTGGAGGCTTCATATAATCTGGGGATTTTCTCCTAGTGGCCATTGATGATTCCACGCCTTTCAGACTCCATGAGCAATTAGAGTAAACTTGCTATCGGTCCACACCATCATGGTAAGTCGCGGATGGATACCATGGATCCCTCCATATCGGCCCGAACCAGGAACCGTGGATAATCCAGCCTCTGATTATTCAATACCAATGGCATTGGACCATGTTAACGTTTTTACTTAGGCTCCAACGTTGAACATACTTCAGGCCCGTCAAGCCTCCTCTGATAACTGTCCGGATAGCATTTCGGGCGGGGGTATTGCTGGAATCGTCATTGGGTCGATCGCGGGCACGCTATTGCTTCTGTGGCTCTGGAGAATATGTTCGTTGCCCGGAGCCCAGGGCGGCGGGGAGCCCGATTATGGTTATAGCAGCTATGGTGGTGGAGGAACCGAGACTCGCCACCGGCATCGACGTCGACGAAGTCCAACGTACTATGAGTACGTGGAGAAACCGAGCGTGAGGAGACCAGCGAAGGTCTACCTCAGCTGAGATGATATGGATGGAGCACGTGGGGTGTATAAATATATTTATGGAAACTGAACGACTCCTTTCTGGGTTTGGCTTGGATGTCAGGTGCTGTGGAATGCCCGGAGGCTGTCATTATTCAACTGTATTGAACGAACGGTACGACGTCATGATCTAGGAAAATTACCAACATAATACTACTATCTGTCAGGTCGGTATGGAGATGGAACCACTGCAAGAACTTTTATGATGAGCGGGCTTTACGTTTCAGTCTGAACCACACATGGGACGCGGTGTAATATCGTGTGGATATTGCATGGCCCAAGGATCTTTTTCTTTCTCCTCCTCAAGCACAACGCAAGGGATGTTCATGAGACCTTTACATCTATAATAACATTCTTGAAGTCGTCGCAGATTGTTTCAAATGCATGTACTCCGTATTGTATGTAGATTGTATGTATGCAGGTACAATACATGTACACTCGACATCCTTAATTAGAATTTTTGTCGAAGTGCTACCACACACTCTTCTAATAATAAAATCGCCCGAGCACTTAAAATCTTTTGCCGGTCATTGCCACCGGAGCCACTCACCGCTGGAGCATTAGAACCAGGTGCCTATGGCATGGCATTACTATTCAATTTGTAAGGCCAAGATGGATGGATCCTTTGTTGCCAACACCGAGGCTAGTTTCACTTATTGGATTCCACATCTTGCATTTTCATTTGCTGTGGTTCAGGGGGGTTTTAACTCGGAAGGGTATTTCGGGCAACCGTGCCACCAGGTTTATTATACTCCAGAAAAAAGAAAAAATTTTTAATATGGATGATCTTCCTTTGTAGCCGTACCCCAAATCGTGAAGATCGAGACGTGTTCATCCCAAGTTCCCCCGCGTATCACATATATGACAGAAATATCCTACCCTTGATAGGGGGTCCTCTCCTAAGAACTACTAGTCGTATCATCCCATAGTGCGTTTCCGTGGGTTTTCCAGATCAAGTTTCAAAGGCCTTATCAGAACCCCTGCAGAATTTGTGTGATTGGCGGTGATAGCCCCAGATTTGTTTGATCTTTTAAGGGCCGGCGCAGCGCTAGTTCGGATGCGGTTAGGGTGAGGGACAGGGACCCTAAGCTACTTACCGCATCCGGCTAGCCGACCAGTTGAACTAGCCACCCTCGGCATTAGTGTGTGCATCCAAGACCGATAGATGCCCAGTTTTGGACTGCTCAAACTTACCCCTTAAACAATTGGAGCCACCAATTAGTGGTATTACTGCAGATGGAAGGCAAGAAAAAATGGATACAGAACACCGCTTGGCCAGTGCCGACTACAGAAAAGAAGAGGGAAAAAAAAAGGACGCTAATAATAATTACCCGGTTTAATTAAAGCAATGGAAATCGCCGCCATGGTTGTTCTTTCAACCCTCCTCCTGTCGTTCCCCTCCCATTCCCACCGTTCGTCGTTCTCTTTCCATTCCTTCTCCCGGGTGGACATCAAATTCCTCGTGCGGCGTGATCGCACATCCAGTCTTTAGTTCGGATATCGTCACTCTTTTATATTTGGCTGTTGGTGAGAGAGAACCGATTGTTCGTCGTATTACCGACCCCCCTTTCCCTCCTTATCTGAGCCGAAACAACTCGTCGACTTGAATCCGGGGTTTAGCTTTTGCGTGTTCCACTCTGTTTTATATATCATCCACAATCACTTCGAGGAACGGGAGGGGTTTCTGAGACTAACTGTACCTTCCCACCATGTCGCTCTTCACCGTACTGGCCCTGTTGACGGCCTTCGTCTGTTCGGTGACCGCTCAGACATGGACCGACTGTAACCCTCTCAACACAACCTGTCCCGCAGCGCCGGCTCTGGGTACTAATCACTCTTGGGTCTTCAATGAGACTATGGACGACAAGATTTGGTCGGTTACGAACGGCCAAATTGACTGGAAGGACACTGGCGCCGAATTTTCCATCAAAAAGAAACTAGATTCTCCGACGCTGCAGTCGAACTTCTTTATCTTCTTCGGCATTGTCGAGTCCCACGTCAAGATGGCGAAGGGTGGCGGTATCGTCAGCAGTGTGGTGCTTCAGTCAGCCGATCTGGACGAGATCGACTGGGAGTGGGTCGGCTACAATACCTCTGAGGTCCAATCTAACTACTTCGGCAAAGGCAACGACACCTCGTTCAGCCGTGGTGGTTTCCACTATGTGGAGAACGCCGATACAGAATTCCACAATTACACCACCTACTGGACTCAGGAGAAGCTCGAGTGGTGGATCGACGGCAATCTGGTCCGCACGTTGAAGCCTGAAGATGCCCTGGATGGCAAGAACTACCCACAAACGCCTAGCAACGTTCGTTTTGGTATCTGGCCTGCCGGTGATTCAAAGAACGCGCAGGGTACAATTGAATGGGCTGGAGGTCAGGTCGATTATGACGCTGGCCCCTATACCATGGTTGTTAAGAACGTGCGCGTGCATGACTTCCATACTGGAAAAGAGTACAACTACACCGATCACTCTGGCTCCTGGGAAAGTATTCAGGTTGTTGAGTAAGTCTTTCCCCTAAGCCCGAACATCTATGGCTTGGTACTGACATTGAAATTAGGGGTAACTCCACTACCGTGGACCAACTGAACAAAGAGCCAGAGAAGTCTCTGGCGGAGAAATGGGCAGACCTACCCACTGCGGCTAAGACCGGTGTTTACTGCGGTGCCGCAGCTGCTGGAGTTCTTCTTATCGCCGGAGGCGCCCTTTACTTTGTCAGGCAGCGCAAGAAGGGACGTCTTGAATACGCCCTCGACGACGCTAAGTGGAACACTGAACGAAATGAGATGAACAACCTGCAAACTACCTGGAAAGCAAGCGAATGGGGAAATAAAGGTTACCAACCGGTGAACTAGCCAAAACTTCGTCAGAGATACCTAGGGATACGACAACATTATCCCTGCGTTGATGATGAGAACGAAACAAAGAATGTTTTTCAGATGTCTTCTGCCACGCCACCTGCACAGAGGGTCTGCCATGCTGGGTCCTTGTGCATGTCACAGCAGAGGTCGAGCGAAATGATCTCGCGCCAGCTTTGCTGGCCAAAGTTGCGTGGGTTGGTTTTCAATCTCGGGGTTTCGGCGTCGTTTTGGCAGAGCGTATTGGGCTCATGATTTACCTTGAAATCCTCTTCCCTATTCTTCCAATTTCATGTCTATATATATACCATTTACTAACTTTTTGTATCGTGTTTTCAACTGGACACTTTCATTGATTGTATATACCAATCTGCATTGTATATCCAATTCCGCAGCCTTCTATTTTTTTTTTCATTAGATGGTGTATGGCATATATAGCCACCGCCTGTCCTATCCCATAAGTTCCTCTTGGATAATCACATCTTACTTTGCCTATTCAGTGTTGAGCTTGCCCAACGCTTTCAAGCCGCCTTACGAACTAATGGTGATGATCGTTACTTGTACACAACATCGAACTCAAGGATTGAAGATGTCTTTTGGCCCGTCCACCAAAGTTCCACAAGGGGAAGACGATCTAGTGAATGAACCAAGAGTGGGAACTAAGGGGTACTGTGCAGGAGCTGATCTGAACGTATAGCCGGCAGCCTATAGCCACTTCTTCTCATCCGAACCTAAGGGTTTAGGCATGATATCCCAGCCAACCTTGACCCCTTGAATCGAGGCGGAATGACGCACAGCGGTCATTTCACCAAAACCCGTTGACCTTGTCTCCAGATATTCCGGAGGTACATCGGCAGTGCACGTATAGTCCTGTGACTGAAAACCATCTCTGCCGGTGAACTGTCCAAGAGACCGCAGGTATTTCATTACCCCAGCAAGGGAAACATTGACCTCCCATGAACCGCCCTCTGTAGCCTGCTTGTACAGAGCAGCTTGAACACCTGACGCGAGGAAGTAGCCTGCTGCATGGTCTAAGGCTTGGCATGGCATTGGTCGCGCAGGCTCCCCCGCACCGTAATGCTCCGCTTCGGATACATTCATACCGGAGCATGTTTGAACCAGTGAGTCAAAACCACGCTTGTCTGACCATGGACCAGAAGGCCCATATGCAGAGAGATTGGCACATATAATACCGCGATGCGAGAACCGCTGAGCGAGTACCTCGGGCGAGAGACCGCGGGCAGCCAGACTACCCGGTCTATACCCTTGAATGACGACGTGGGCGTCCTCAACAAGCCGGGTAAGATCCTCACGGCCCTCCTCTGCCAGCAAATCAAGATGAACTGTTCTTTTCCCGCGACCAAGGTCACGATCCAAAACTGGAAGGTCCGGAAGATTTGGACTCGTCACCCAGAGAACGTCTGCGCCGTGAGCAGCCAATGTTCTCCCAGATAGCGGCGCGGCGATCACCCGAGAGAATTCCAGGACTCGAAGGCCCCGGAGAGATTTGTCGGCATTAGCTGCACGCATCTCTTGGGGAAGGCCAATAGGTGCATCCCCGATCTTCCGAAGGAGAATAGGGAAGTCGGCAATGGCACGTGCCTGCGGGAGGGCGTCCCATTCGGAGTAGTTGCGAAGAGCAGAGATCACCACGTTCGCCTCAAACGCAGCAGATTCTAGGTCCACTGAGCGCCACGACGCGATTTTGGAAGCAAACTCAGCGCGGGTGACATCCGGTGAGCATCCAACAAGAGCCGTCGCACCGTTGTGATGGTTGGCAAAGGAATCGTGCACTCGCACATATCCATCTAAGGATTTGTGCAGCCCACTCAGAGGACCCCATGTGTCGGGTAAAGACTGACCAGAAAACGAATAAAGCCTCTCCGATTTGAATTCGATCACTGCATGCCGCCGAGGAACTGTTACCACTGGAGTGGACATGGAATTGCGAATGGCGTGAATTTGAGCTGCAAGCAACGCGGAGAGACTGATTGTTGCCTGAGCAAGATCTGCTATCTTAAACGACGAGGGAAGACCTAGCTCATTCCCCTCGATATGAAGAGACCGAAGCGCCTCCTCAGGCAGACCCAACCCTTTCCATATGTACTCCACCGTGTCTGTCGCGGTAAAGGCGGTCCGGTCAGTGGCAGACGATTTAGTCGAGTAATTGGCTGAAGCACCACCGACGGTGTTCTCGAAAGTCATGATGTTCAGTTTGGCAGAGGTCCTAGTCAAGTACCTGAACGAATTGAGTATTCGGTTCATCAGACTCGAATGTTGTGAGAAATGAGAGAAATGCTCGTATCTACCGTCCAGTCACGTTGTCTGAAGGGCGAGTCACATGCTTTGTTGAGTTTTGGTAGTTCGACCCATCAACTTAATATATACGATGATTGTCTTGTCCGGAAGAACGGCACAACTCCATGACTCAGGTTCTGCCTGTTTCTCACCTCGGCATTCGGTGGAAGTGGCCGAGCGGTGATAGGAATAATATGCATTTCGATGCTCTCGCCGATCGGCTATTTCCTGGCCCCGCCGAGCATGGTCTCTGATAGCCACTGTTGGTCAGTCAGTAAATCGAGCAAGAAACAACTAATTAAATATCCCATTGGCTTATCAATATGCACACAGAATGAGAAATTTCCAAGTCGTCCCGCTGAAACCATGCCTGACGGGGAAGCCATTTGGCTTCGCATGGGTGAAAGACCCCGTATAGGCACGAACAATGGCGGAGTATCTTGCTTCCGCTTGTCATGTATCAAGCCGACTACTTTCTGTGAGGATCACGATGGATTCAACGGTGAAACACGTCTGACCCTCAACGACAACGCCACGTTTGATGCGGTCAACATCGTCAGTAATTGCTGCAAAGACAGCCCTAAAACTCATGCATATATGACCGAGACAGCAAACTTCCTTCTGGTAAAAGCCGGCGCGAAACATGTCCGATCGCCGATGAGAAGTTATGCCTCAACGCTTGTACAACCGGCGACGCCCCTATTCTGTTCTTGAAGCCAATATACTTTGGACCGACCCGTTGTTGTACTGATGGTGCTTCTCGTCGGCGCCACACAATCACCTAGAGCATAGAAGTAAAGCGAAACCATCACTTGCCGGGGCTGTACCTTGTCAACGGTAAGGCTGAGAGAGCGATGGCTCATCTGTTAATGGTTGATTCATAGAACAAACTGTAAGACGCCCTTCATATTGTTTTATAGGATCACTTATGTGCGCTCTTAATTTCAGAAATCTTACCTTTCTCTCTAATAACTACTGGTTGCCTCTCAGCCCGCTTTCCTGGTTTAACAAGTCTTATACCAACAGCATTTACATGCGAAGCTCAGAGTACACACTTAGTTAGCAGTCACTGATCCTCCGTCCCGAGATATTAAAGAACGACCTAATATCGGTCCCACTCGCTATGGAAAAGACGAAATACATCCCAATTCCAGAGCCCAGAGGCCTGCCTCTGTTGGGAAACATCCTGGATGTTGATTCTGAGGCACCGGAGAAAAGCTTTCAGCTCCTGGCGGAAACCTATGGTATATCCCATCAAGCACACATTCTACTGCTCTGGCTGCCGTAGCTATGCTCTATCGCTTTATACCAAGTATATCTTTTAGCATCGCTAATGATACGCGCTATAAGGTCCGATCTTTCGGCTGCACCTCGCTGGAGCATCAAGAGTGTTCATAAGTACCCACGAGCTCGTTGATGAAGTTTGTGACGAGGAACGATTCACAAAGGTTGTGACCGCTGGATTGAGGGAAATTCGAAACGGCGTTCAAGATGGTCTTTTTACGGCGGATTATCCTGGGGAAGATAACTGGGCGATCGCACATCGCGTCCTGGTTCCAGCTTTTGGGCCGTTGATGATTCGAGCCATGTACGAAGGTGTGTTATTCACCGCGTCAAACGCCACATGCTAATCGGAAGCGTGACCACATATAGACATGTACGATATTGCAAGCCAGCTTGCTCTGAAGTGGGCACGACAGGGGTCAGCTGCTACTATAATGGCCAATGAAGACTTCACTCGTTTGACGCTGGACACTATCGCGCTCTGTTCCATGGGGACTAGGTTCAATTCTTTCTATAGTGAAGATTTGCATCCTTTTATCAAGGCAGTGGCTACGTTGCTGCAAGGATCTTCCGATAGGACTTTCCGTCCGACACTTCTTAACAGCCTACCTACGAGGGAAAATAAAAAATACTGGAGTGATATCAGTCTTCTACGAACTTTGTCTCAGGAGTTGGTTGATGCACGGAGAAATAATCCAGAAGACAAGAAGGACCTGCTTAATGCCCTCATCCTTGGCCAAGATCTTCAGACTGGTCAGCATCTCAGTGACGACTCAATTATCAACAATATGATAACATTCCTTGTCGCGGGTAAGGGCGTTGCGCCTATGCGTCAGTTTGCTACCCTTATGACTGACCTTTCGCATAGGTCACGAGACAACATCTGCCACATTGACATTCCTTTTCTATTATCTGCTGAAAAACCTGCATGCATACCAGAGGGCACAAGAAGAGGTCGACACAGTAGTCGGTCAACGGAAGATTACAGCAGAGGATTTGTCAAAATTGCCTTACATTGCAGCCTCACTGAGAGAGACACTGCGACTGCAGGCTCCAGTTCCTTTAATCGCTTTTCATCCCCACCCCGCTAAGAACCATGAGGATCCAGTAACTCTAGGGAAGGGCAAGTATGCTTTAAACAAGGATGAGCCAGTGGTTCTTATCATGGGAAAGGTACATCGGGATGCGAAAGTCTATGGTGACGATGCCGAGGAGTTCAAGCCAGAGCGAATGCTGGATAAAAACTTTGAAAATCTGCCTAAGAACGCGTGGAAGCCATTTGGAAACGGTATGAGAGGATGCATCGGTCGGCCATTTGCCTGGCAAGAGATGTTGCTTGTGGTGGCCGTGTTGCTGCAGAGTTTCAATTTTGAGATGGAGAATCTCAGCTACAATCTTCGAATCAAGCAGTCATTATCAATTAAGCCAGAAGGCTTCTATATGAAGGCAACGCTTCGAAGAGGTCTAGATGCGGCCCAGTTAGCGAGCTTCTTGAACGGCGGTGGCGAAATTTCGTCCAATGCTCTTCCGACACTCAATGGCGAGAAGAAATCCAATACAGACGTGCGATCTCATGTGAAACCTATGCATATATTCTTTGGTAGCAATACTGGTACCTGTGAGGCTCTGGCTCAGAGGCTAGCTAAGGACTCTATGGGATACGGTTTTGCGGCCAAGATTGAAAATCTGAACTCAGCCATGGAGAAAATTCCTAGAGACAGCCCTGTCGTCTTCATTACCGCATCGTACGAGGGACAGCCTCCGGATAATGCCGCCCATTTCTTCAAATGGCTGAAGGGACTAAGGGAAGCCGAGTTGGACGGAGTAAACTACGCTGTGTTCGGATGTGGTCATCGTGAGCTACCCTCTGCTTGATGGATGCCATTCAGTTGCTCTGGAATGTGTATTTGCTAATGAGCTGAGACTATCAGATGACTGGTCAGCCACGTTTCTTCGCATCCCTAAAGCTATCAATGGTCTTATCGAGAAACACGGTGGAATCCACTTATGTGACATGGGTGTGGCTGATGCCGCCAACTCAGACATGTTCTCTGACTTCGATACCTGGAGCGAGTCCATCCTCTGGCCGGCAACCAGTTTGAAGTTTGGCCGTGAACCACCAAAGGGAGATGTACAAGCCAAGTCTGCCTTACAGGTCGACGTAACTTCAAGTGTGCGAGCTTCCACGCTGGGCCTTCAGCTGCAGGAGGGATACGTGCTCGAAAACACGCTGCTCACAACGCCCGACGTTCCAGCCAAGAGGACGCTGCGATTCAAACTACCACCTGACACGACCTATCAATGTGGAGATTATCTCATCGTATTACCCGTAAACCCAGCTCATGTTGTTCGCCGCGCGATCCGCCGGTTTAACATATCATGGGACTCTATGCTTACCGTCTGGAAGCCATCGCATGCTCCAGATGGGATCACGAACATGCCTCTAGAGACGCCCATCTCCGCCTTCGAGCTCTTTTCCACGTACGTGGAGCTGTCCCAGCCAGCATCCAAGCGAGACCTGACCACCCTCGCAGAGGCAACTACCACAGATACAGACACCCAAGCAGAACTGCACCTTCTCGCCTCCAGTCCTAATCGCTTCACTGAAGAAGTCATCAACAGCCGGCTAAGCCCCCTCGACATCCTCACACGCTACCCCTCCATCAATCTACCACTGAGCACTTTTCTCGCCATGCTACCCCCCATGCGAGTCCGCCAATACTCGATCTCATCATCCCCACTAGCCAACCCAGCAGAATGCTCCATCACCTTCTCAGTGTTAAACTCACCCCACCTATCAACAAAGAACAGGCAATTCGTAGGTGTCGCATCAACCTACCTCTCCTCACTCCAACCAGGAGACCGCGCCCAGATCTCCATCCGCGCCTCAAACAACAGAGGCTTCAAACCCCCGTTGAAAGAGGAAACACCGTTGATAATGGCATGTGCAGGAAGCGGTCTAGCCCCCTTCCGCGGTTTCATCATGGATCGCGCGGAAAGGATCCGTAGTGAACTCTCTTCCGACGCTGACCATTCTGACACAGGAAAACCAGCGAGAGCTATATTATACATCGGCTGTCGCACAAAGGGCAAGGACGATATCCACGCGAGTGAGCTAGACGAATGGAGTCGGCAGGGGGCTGTGGATATCCGACGGGCGTATAGTCGCCCGAGTGATGGGTCACCGGGGCGTCATGTCCAGGATCTGATGTTTGAGGACCGTGGCGAGCTACTTAAGTTAATTGACCAGGGAGCACGGATCTACGTGTGTGGCGGGATGAATGTTGGTCAAGGCATTCGCCAGAGATTCAAAGATATGTTCATGGAGAGATGGCTGGAGAATGGGCCCGATGGGGATAAGGAGGCGGCTGCCGAGGAATACTTGGATGGGTTGAAGACCGAGGAGAGGTATGCGACGGATGTGTTTACGTAGTTCGTTACTGCCCTGGCCCCTGGGGTCGTGATCTTGGTATCTATCACACGGTCAAATTGACATAGAATGGGTGTTGGACATTTAGTTGGACTAATGGGAGTTGCTTCTGGGTATTTCAAGCACCCTTGTTCTGCTGCGTTCATTGCTATCTCTCCCCACACGGCATTTGCCGAGGACACCCTATTCCCTCTTCTGGTAGTCCACAGGCGCATTGACTATACCAGATATCAGAGACTATATCAACTACTACATAGCCCATGTAATAAACATACATACCCTACAACCCACACACAGGAAGTAGGACCAAACAGCATCTTCATTTCACCAACTAACTACATACAATACACACAAACCCACCCCAAACCACAAACATCCACCCGCATAACTGCCAATCCCCTCAAACCCAACTCAACCCCCTACTAAGACCTAATATCCACCGTACACGCATGCCCCTCAGAAAAGAATCACCTAAGCAAAGAAAGGGAACGAAGCCCCCCCACTAGGCTTAGGGAAAGAGCCCGACGGAGTGGGACGAGGACCGCTTCCGCTGCCAGAGGGCTGGGTTCCAGTCGGCTTGGGGCCGTGGCCCTCGCATGGTGGCCCTTACCGCCGTGGTGGCCTTCGCCGTGGTGGCCGCCGGGGAAACCACTAGGGAAACCACCGGAAGGAGCAGGACCGCTGGGGGTAGGGAAGTCGGGCTCGCCGCTGGGGGCCGACGAGGGCGCTCCGGAGGGCGTCGGGAAGGAGGACTCGTCGTCGTTGTCGTCACCTTCATCGGTGCCCTGGGACTGTTGTTTCTGGAATCCGCTGAAGGAGGAGTCACCGAAGGGAGAGCCGCTAGAAGGTGATCCCGATGGAACGGGGAAGCCGGAAGGAATGCCGGAGGGAATGGGGAAGCCGGATGGGATACCGGATGGAATGGGGAAGCCGGAGGGAATAATGCCGGAGGGCACAGGGAAGCCGCTGGGGTCGGGGAATTGGAAGCCCTCGTCCCGCTTGTCGAACGACTGTTCGGGGAATCCTGCTCCGCCGGAGGGAGTAGGGAAGTCAGGCTGTCCGCTGGGAGCAGGGAAATCAGGCTGTCCGCTGGGAGCAGGGAAGCCAGCACCGCCGGAAGGAACTGGGAAGCCGCTGGGGCCGGGGAAACCAGCGCCGCCGGAGGGAACGGGGAAGCTGGAGGGGAACGTTCCGCTAGGACCAGGGAAGTTACCCTCGCCGCCCTCCTGGGGCTGGCCCTCGGACGGAGTGCCGGACGGGATGGGGAAACCGGATGGCAAGTTAGGGAGAGACTGACGGTCGCCGCCCTCGATGTGCTTGGGCAAGGCAAGGGCACAGCCCACGAGGCCAAGAGCAGCAGCGTTGGAGAACTTCATTTTGGATAGTGGTTAAGGAAGGAAAGTAATTAAGGTATAAGATATGGGTTCAAAAGGAATGCGTTTAAGGAATGCCAGATTCACTTAAAAAAAGCTGATGAGGTTGATCCTGAACAAGAGGTTGAAAGCCATGGGGGAGTGGAAGGGCTTTATAGATTGCGACAACCAGGGGGCAAACGAATGCCGATAGCTTTGAAGCAGCTGATGAAGAGCGGTTAGCCAGGAGCACCTCATCAAAGTCGGGGGTAGATCCCAAGCTCGGACTGCAGGGGTTCGATTTCAGGCACGCCAAACCTAATATTGAGAAGTGGAACATCGTGGAACCATGTCAGAATCAGGTTGAGTCCTGTGTATCATTCCCCAAATGGGACTTCTTCTCCACGGCCTAGGGGCGTTCGGGTAAAATTGCCTGTAGCCCTAAGAAGTGTAGTCGGACGGCAATGGTCGTCTTGTGAAGGTTGCCAGTATTCCAGTCGAGGTTGACATAAGATCCAAGAATACTCCCACAGGGTTCAACTTGAGTATACCCTGAGTGTACCCTGAAAACAAGGGTCTTGTATACGGGGGCAATGATGAAATCGCACACCATCCTGCCCAAATCGACATCTAATTCTCTGGTTCATGACGTGATTTGAAGCCATCTGGAAGCATTGGGAGTCACGCCCTTACACTGGGCCAGCCAAGCCTGAGCTCGCAATGTTTCCTCTCATGGAATTCGAGACGGAGATCCTTGTGTCTATGAAGAGTAGACCCACCGAGAGACAATTGACCACCAATCACATTGAAAGCCCAATGGACTGCTGCTGAGATCGACATTCTAATCCACCACAAGGCGTATGGGCCAGCGAATTATCCTATTGGTGCAACCGACCTAAACTTCAGACGACCTCTGTTTGAGCCCCTGGAAAGGGGTGTGGGACAATCCGAAGCCATCTTCGTCGAGTCCACGTCAGGCCATGTGGTGCGAAGTCGGCACTGGAGAATTTCTTGGCACGAGTAACCGAAGTTAATCCCAACTAAGAGTACGTAGTCCCGACGATCAACGGCTCCATCTTGCAGCAGCCACTGGACCAATGTGGCTGATGGCCCGACAGTAAGTCCTGGCCAGAGTATCGAGGAAAACCGACATGGCGGCTATGAAACGGGCTATTCTGGCCTAGAAACGGTCGGGACTGTTTTCCACGACCGTTATTGGAGGGTGAAGGCGCGTATGGAGTCGGGAATTCCGAGTGATGGAATAAGATGGCGTTGGGAGTCAGAAGTAGATTGAATTGACTACGCACGGGAAAGGTGGAAAAAGCACGCACGGACGGCTGCCTGAGCCTTGAGGCCGGAGCCGGGCCGGGATCCTTGCAATCGCCCTGACTCTATCCCCTTGTATGATATGTCGCTTCGAATGCCGGCACCGAGCTTAAGTAGTGGCCTTGATTCGGCACATATGCCCTGTGGATCTGTTGGGTAAACGGTTCATTGCCTATGAACTAACTCTGTTCTCGCCAGGATGTCCTATTCAGACAGAGGGACCTCCTACAAGTCCCCAAGTATTGCCTCTCTGCCATTGAAAACATGCCCTTTGCTCCATGGTATGTTCCTGGATCTTCACTAAATGCCTGATCTAGCAGTAAAACATTTCACGCATTATGCCGCACATAACGTCTCGTCCGCCGTAAGCGCCATCGCATCGCACAATCGAGTATAAAAGTCAAAGTCGTCGTCAGCCATAGGTCTCCACTGCTAGCTCAATAATGAAACAATCGAATTGAAGCGACTTCCCGCCACTCTTAGACGAGGTATCCAGTATTCATATCAACGTTAACTTTAGCATAGATATGTTAACTCCTTATCTGATCCGTTCAGGCCCCGCCAAGCCTCTGGGATCTCATTCCAAATGGCAAGTGCCAACAAGAAAGGCAATGGGTTAGTCCAATTTCTGGACTTAAGGTCTGGACTATTGGACCCAAGGTTGACGGACCGATGTTGAAGTAATGGCCGTTTCGGATTTATTGCAGAGAAGAGTAAGGATCGTCGAAGGGAGATGATCGTATAGGTGGAAAGCTGAAGTTTAAGGGCGTTTGGCACGGATTTAGATTTATGCACGGAGGAACAGGTACTATCCCTCTGTCATATCGCTAATTTTGTCTGACACGCCGGTTCTTTCTGACGGCAGTTGGCGTGCTTGCCAGCTTGTGTGGAGTCAAATGGCGAATAAGCATATGCAAGGTAGAGTTTTTAGTCACAAAGTATGGGTGAATATCGGAACATCGAATCAACCATCTCTTAACAGGGATTATTTCGGCTCTTCTCGAGGCGAGGTGAGTTACATAAGTGAATCTCGTCGTTTTCTCCGAAAAGAGTATGGCTGCGAGTGAGGTAGTCAGGTAAAGGCCAAAGACTGGCCTGAAGGCTAACCAGCTAGCGTGGGCTAGAATTGCAGATCAATCGACCCAGTAAGGCTTTGGTCTGATATCATCTTAGCAGACTTCAGAGTAGCATCGGGCTCTGCAAATTGACACCAAACAACAATCCTGTAAGGCAGGTAGTTGTACACTTCCTTTATTGGAGCCCAAGACGTGTGAAATGCTAAAGATAGAATTGTTACCACACCTAGCTGCAGCACCATTGTGTTAGATGGCCTTCAGCCAGTCACCTTCCTCTGCTGCACTGTAAAAGCTCGGGCCAGAAATTCCACCCGGAGCGCAACTGAATCCGAGATAGATTGGTGATTACGCGGCTGAGGGAACACACCGCAAACACTGAATTGTTTTAAACATTTCACCATTCTCCATAGGATTGACCGTGGCACTTATTGCGAGGTCTGTATCACAGACGGAGATTGCCACAACTTACAAGTAACTCACGAATGGAACATCATTGTCAGCCACTGTCTTACAGACCGTTGTTTTGCGCTGCATTCATTGGAACATATTAAAATCGAGGCATGGTGAAGATACTGTCAGCTGGTCATTCCAAATAGTAGCCGGATCTGTAGCACCTTCATAATTCCAGCGATATTATGTGAACAACCACACTCCTGGGTCATGCCGATTATCTTTTTAACAAAGGTAGAAGTCAACTTGCGTCATTATATGTTGGGATGTCGAGTTCGCCGTAGATAGATGCCCTCGATATATCAGTGATCGAAAGTGTACGAGTAGATATGCTGGAATAGACCACTTCCTGGGTGTCTGTGCAGCATGGATAGTCCTTGGTTAGCTTCTGGCGAATGTACTAGGGCGGATAGCCAACAGAATCGCTCTTACGGTTGAATAACACCGGAGTATATTTCTTTGATAAAGCAAATTAAGAGGTTTATCTCTCGATGACTAATCCTCGATGGTCTAACGGTCATGATTTCCGCTTGTCATCTCTTCCGAGAACAAGCGCGGGAGACCTGGGTTCGACTCCCAGTCGGGGAGATTTTTTTTACTTCCTACGGATCTTGATAACTGTTGTTTTTGTTGCCAGTAACAAACAGTTTCTCTCGTATTGCGCTGTTAAGGGCTCTGTTGTGGAATTGAGTTTTGACATTCTTCTCTTTAGAGGCTACATTTCATTGAACTCATGGCCATCATTGGTATGGCCACCCTATAACCCCGGCCTTCACTCGGTCGGGGACTCGGAGCTATGGGAGATCACCGGATTGCAACTAATTTATACTTACGGAAATCGTTGAAACCATGGCGTATCATCATTTCATCTATCGAGCTATCTAGCCCTCTCGAACTTCATTAAACTTTTATAGGCGCAGAGTGAAATTCGCATGTTTAAAACCGCAAGTCCCAACCAATCTGAGGCCCAATCGTGGGCAATCCATCAGCCACGCTCTGCACGTCCTTATCTCCGCGACCACTCAAACACAAGACGATGTCCTTGCCAGGTCCCAGCTTCTTGGCTGTCTGGATGGCACCCCACACAGCGTGAGACGTCTCCAGCGCGGGAATGATGCCTTCCAACTGGCTCAGCAGACGGAAGCCCTCGAAGGCCTGGGCATCAGTGGCCGACAGGAACGTCGCCCGCTTACTTTCCTTCCAGTGAGCCAGTTCCGGTCCAACTCCGGGGTAATCCAGCCCGGCAGAGATGGAATGGGTGTCGGAGATCTGGCCGTGCTGGTCCTGGAGGATGTATGTGCGAACGCCATGCAGCACACCGACGGAGCCACCAGTTAATGTAGCGGAGTGTCGGTCCGTGTCGAGACCGTCTCCGGCGGCTTCTACGCCAACTAGTTGGACAGAGAGGTCCTTGGAGAAGGGGTAGAACATGCCAACAGAGTTAGAACCTCCACCAACACAGGCAACAACGGCATCCGGCGACTTGCCCAGCTCTTGCATCTGAGCCTTGGTTTCATTACCGATCACACTCTGGAAGGTCCTGACCATCGTAGGGAAGGGGTGGGGCCCAATGGCAGACCCGATGATATAGTGGGTGGTATCCAGGCGGACAATCCATGCGCGGAAGGCCTCATTCACGGCATCACGGAGGGTACGCGATCCCGATTCGACGGGGATTACAGTGGCGCCCAGCAGGCGGATCCGGAACACGTTCAAGGCCTGGCGACGGACATCCTCGGCACCCATGTAAATGGTACATTTCATGCCGAATTTAGCACACACGGTGGCAGTCGCGACACCGTGTTGACCAGCACCTGTTTCAGCGATGATCTCTGTCTTACCCAACCGACGAGCGATCAGGATCTGACCCAGGGCATTATTGATCTTGTGCGATCCAGTGTGGTTGAGGTCTTCCCGTTTCAGCCAGATGTTGGCGCCGCCGACATGCTCGGTCAAGCGTGTCGCCTGGTGAAGGCTCGATGGACGGCCCATATAGGGATAGTACGACCGATACTCCTCCCAGAAGGTCGGGTCCTCAAGAGCTGTCTGGAAACCGGCCTCGAGTTCGGCCAGACACGTTGTGAGGGCCTCGGGGGCGTATTGGCCACCGAAAGTACCGAACCGTCCTGGTCCATCAGTCACGGCTGCTGCTGCATCCTCGGTCGGGGCGACTGCTTTCGTTTCGGTTGTCTCGGGGATTGTGCTCGTCGATGCGTCCCGAGTAACTTTCCTCTGTGTGATCTTCAAGCAGTAGTCCTCGACTGCCTGAGCGGCCTGTCCGGCCGGGGCGTCAGCCAGGATGTTAATCACCTGACTGCCGATGACAGCACCGTCGGCGATGGACGTCACGCTCAGGAAATGCTCGCGCGTGCTGATTCCAAATCCAACAGCCACGGGGACATTGCCGGACAGCCCCTTGACGCGCTGAATGAGAGCGGGCAGCTCTGTGTTAAGGGACCCCGTGGCGCCCGTGACGCCCATGCGGGAGACGAGATAGATGAAAGAGTCGGCCATGCTGCAGAGAGCCTTCATGCGCTGCTCTGTAGTTGAAGGAGCGATCAGCGGGACGTAAGAGAGTCTGTCAATGGCGTCAGTAAGCCTGTCACTTCCAAATTTCCGTATTCACGAGGGCAGTGCCACCCACCCCATCTTGGTACAGCCATTGCGGAAGCGAATCGCGTCTTCCGGCGGCAAATCCACAATAATGAAGCCGTTGACGCCGGCATCCTTGCAATCAGCCAGGATTTGGGACTCCCCGTAGCGTAGAAGGGGGTTGTAGTAGCCCATGAAGAGGACGGGGGTCTTGAGTCCTTTCCGGCGGGCCTCCCGCACCATCTCCAACATGGAGGTAATGGTGACCCCATTTTTGAGGGCCTTCAGGTTTGATTTCTGAATGGTGGGACCGTCCGCAATCGGGTCGGTGAATGGAAGACCCAGTTCAATAATATCTACGCCATTGATCAGGGTCGGTTGATCGAAAGGATGGAGCTAAAAAGGACTCACCGGCTCCTCCGGCCTGCATGCCCAGCATGATGTCCGGGGTTTCCTCCGCCGTGGGGAATCCGGCCGTCACATACGTGACCAGCGCGGGGCGGCCTTCTTGTTGGCATTGCGCAAAGGTTTGTTTGAGATGGTCCATGGTGGATTGATTGTCTGGTGGTGGTAAAAATTGGAACACGAGGGGCGATACTTTTTTTATGGGGACCAAATTAACTACGATGAGTCAACGTTCGCCGCAATCCACCATGAGGTTCCAGTTGGCGGAACGGGTCCATCACTGTATCGGCCCGTCAATCAATTGGTCCCGCTGCGATATCGGTCTGCCCCTTCTTCAAGAACACAGACCAGTTCTCTGCTGAAACGGTCAAGTATTTATAGTACTATCTTACCACCATCACCAGTCCCATCCACAAACAGGAAGTTAGGAACCTTAAAGTCTGATAGCCTTTTGGCTTTGAATACATCCTCTATTTCTGTGCGCTCAGGGCGAAACTCCAACGTCCGACTAGGATAACCTGCCCCGATCAGTAGACTAAATTATTCGACAATGATCAAGGACCAACAATAACAACTCCGTGTATTCGATTCCGGCGAGCTATTCAATACGACAGTACCGTAAGACGCCAGTCCAAACTAGGCAGAACAATAACCTGGGGCAGCTCCAACCATGGAAGAACAGTACCGTATTATATCCATTCCACCCACGAACATCTTGAAGTCACCGACACCCTCCGAACATATATACATACAGACAGTACTAGTAGGTACATCAAACCCATGACCCAATGCGACACCTCATCCAACACCTCATCCAGCGCATCTGGAGAAGACCAACAACACTCGCCTTCTTCTTCACCACAGTCTTCCTCGTCGCTCCCCTGTTCCTGTACCATCTCCTCGCCTACCCCCTCGCCAACGATCCCCGTCTCGTCCCCAGCGCATTCCGCACCGCCACGAACATCCTCCTGGTCACCGCGCATCCAGACGACGAGACCCTCTTCTTCAGCCCGAGTATTCTCTATCGCAGTGACGATGCGACCGTGACCCGGGCTTTGTTGGCGCTGTCCTCTGGTTCGTATCCATTCTCTTCATTCTCATACGAAAAGTCTCAAACAACCCCTACCCATCCACCCGGACAACATATCGGTCATAATCTAACAGCAAACACAACCAGGCAACTACGACGGCATCGGCAACACCCGCCACAGCGAGCTGCAACGCAGCTGTGCCGAACTCGGGGTTCAGCCCGAGCGATGCGTGAACCTAGATCACTCCGAGCTCCAGGATGATCCCCGGAAATGGTGGCGGGAGGATCTAATCGAGGAGCTTGTGGGGCAGTACGTCCAGAAATGGAACATTGATTTGGTGGGTCTCCTGATTACTTTCTACATGCAACGGTTTTATCACGGTTTTAACATATATATATATATATCCAACAGATCATCACCTTCGATAATGGGGGTATATCCGGACATGTTAATCATCGGGCGGTTAGTGCTGGTGTGAGGTTTGTTCCTCCCCTCCCCTTCCTCATCTTCTTCTTCTGCTTTCGTAGTTTAATGATAGGTTCTTGTCATTTTGCCATCGCAAAAAACAGTATAATTGCACTAACAGTAGCCTAGTAAATACATATCCCAAACCCCACAGGGTCCACCGACGTATTCACTGCAGACCAAATTCCTGCTCCGGAAGTATGCCGGTCTGGCTGATTTGATTCCGACGTCGATGTCCTTCTCCGGGCGTATTCTGCGGGCGCTTGTATCTTCCCCACCGGAATATGATGGCGTCAACGTCGACAATGGGAAGAGCAATACGATGCAGGATCCCTACGGGGATAGAGCGCTGTTGGTCAGTGACTGGCGGAGGTATTCCCAGGCGCGAAAGGCGTTTGGTCAACATGGGAGTCAGTATTCCTTTGATCGGGTGTTTTACCTGTTGATCAGTCGGTATATGTGGGTGAATGATCTGCGGAGGATGGTCCGAGTAGAATAAAATACAAAACGAGGTGAAGTATCGGATACTACTATTTCTTAAGGTTGAGTGGAGTGGAGTATAGGCGTGCAATGCTATGCGGATTACCAAAGTCCATATGTGGATACTGTATGTACATACATCATGCGAATGTCGCTCGTTGCTCATAGTAGACACAGTATTCGTGACGGTAGAATAAGAATGGATAGGAAAACCCCAAAAGAGTACCGTACAAATAATCACACGACCTTTTCAGAAATCTTAGATGGTGACGGCGACGTCTCCCTTCTCACAGAACGCCGTCGGGCCACTATAGACAACGAAGCCACGACACACCCACCCACTACAACCGCAGAAAGAACACAATATAGAACCCGTCCCCCGAACTCCTCCACCATCCGGACGAAAAGTGCATCATTCGCATGCCAAGACGAGGTCCCCAGATGTCGGAAGAGCGGGGTGTCCACCTCTCCATTTAACATATGCATATTCGGACGACCGGGGGTACCGGACAGGATACGGAGCGACGTTCGATTTGCCTGGGTAGTATAAATTGTCCTACACCGAACACCACTCAGCATACCATACAAGCATACCCCAACGAGACAGAAGGAAAAGAGAACTCACGACGCATAGTGACACCCGGTACTGAACATAACCGTCACATACGGAAACAGGAACCAGCGACGATTGAACCGGGGGAGGTTGTCAATCAGATCGCGGACAAAAGAGTTCTTCGGAGTGGAAAGGATCATGCCGATGGAGAAGCCGGCGGGGTAGGCGGCGGGCGCGACGAAGTCGAACCTGCGCAGGGGCTCGAGCGATCGCTTACAGACGAGATCGAGGTCTAAGATCGCGCCTATGATGGATATGCGCGTGTCGCGCAAAGGTCAGCCCCGTTCGCAATTTCCCTGAGGGGGGGTCATGCTCTGGGTGGGAAGGGCGTGCGCACCTCCGTGGATGTACAGAATCATGTAGCGCAGTGCATCTACCTTCTGGACGAGGTATGGGTAGCTGTTCCAGGTATCCTGGAGCTCGGGGAAGTGTTCGCGCACGAACTGATTGGCGGTTGTATCGTCCCAGGTGTGTGTCTTCCATCCGGGATGTATCCGCAGACACTCTTCCCTGGCGGTCAGCCATTCTGGTCGGAGGGCTGTGCCTCCGAGGTGGACGTGGTGGAGCGTCGCGGGCACTAGAGACGAATGTGGGAGAGGTTGTTCGCTATCGTAGGCGCGAAAAGTGACATCGAAGCCGTCGCGGTCATGTGAGAGAATGGACCCAGCAGCGGACTTTTGCCAGATGAAAGGCATTCGGAGGAGCAGACGCAGCTGGACCGCCAATGGCGACGTGAGGAAGAGCAGGAGCGACGCTAGAAGGCAGAGCACAAGTACTAGACGAACTCGCGAAAAACACATGGCTCACACGATCCTGTCTACGGTGGAAGGCTAGACTGTTTAACAATGGAGGCCAATTCAGCAGTAACAACTGTCAGTCAGGAGCTGTGGCGGGGAGCGGAGAGAAAGAAAAGTGGAAGGATGTGGTTGGCATGTAGAACTGGATACTGTTGCACAGCGACAAAGGGGAAGTTGGCATCTGGACGTAGGGGAATCTGCGCTTTCTGAACGGTGTCAGCATACGTAGATTGGCTGACAGTATAGAGAAAGGCAGCAACGTTCCTACTCCCGGATCCCACCATCCACCCAGTGTAACCGCCATCGAAGTGCGACCCTTTGGACCTCTCCGTCCACTAAGCTCAAGCTAAGCGTTGAGACAGCGTGGGCCTTGCTCATTCACTATTGCTAAGGCCCGTGTTCCCAATGGATGTCCTTTTGATTTCTGTTCCTTCGTGCACACATGCATTGATTCGTGGGATACATGGGCCAGTCCGTGGTAGACGGGGGCTGTGCCTATCTCCCTAATTCTGCTGTGTACGACGCGACTACGACTGAGTCCAGGATTACTCCTTGTCTCCGTAGTACGAAGGAGGCTATTTTCCGAAACTACGAGGGACGTCGTCGCACGATAGTCAGCTTCATTTACTGGTCATCAGGGACCATACCATCCGCTTTCACTTGAGACAGTACTGGATTGTTGTACGGAAATGAGTGAACGCTCATGCCGGCCTTATGCCTCCGGACATACATTGACTTCATCTCCAAATAAAGTGAGCGAACCCTATTGTATTTCTATTTGAATTAAGCCTGAAAACTAAAAATTAGTTGTTCGGAGTCCATCCCCGCGGTACACTATACCGGATATGGTAATGCCCAACCCAATATTCGAAGCTTAACCAGGAACCATACTCAAAATGCACTAGTCCCACGGTGCTGAGAATTCTCCTCAACAATTGGCCAATCACACGTAGATGGCAATCTTGAGCGACACGCTAAACCCTTTCAAGTATGAAAAAGCAAAACTCTGCTCCAGCGGTGCCTCAGGAACACACCAGTAGGATGGTTCGGCGATTGTATATCGAGTCAGAAGACTGCGTTGTTTTGGTCGACAATTCATGAAAGATACTATGCGGGGTGCTTAAAAGACATGAAAAAAACCCGGTAACTAACCATCAAATCCCTACATATTTAGGTCAATCGTCCAACTACCAACCCCTTATCGCCCCAGTCTTTGATCTTGCTCGGTGAATGGTCCTTGCTGATGCCATTGGGCTCGGTGTTTGCATCACGATAACCAAGAGGCAAAGGCCGAACGCCGACCAGATAAAAACCCACCACCAGTCGGGATCTCCACTGTAAGATACCAAATCCCAAAAATGTCGCCGAATAAAAGTGTCGCGGTAATCGGTACTGGCCCTGCTGGGGCAATTGCAGTCGATGCGCTAGTGCAGGAGAAAGCCTTCGACGTTGTGCGCGTGTTTGAACGGCAAGAAAAGGCCGGCGGATGCTGGTAGGCAAAGATCTGGAAACAGTGACGGTAGTACCAATGTGATTAACGGCCAATAGGGTGTCAAGAGAGAACGAGAAGCCGGTCCCTCTGGACATTGACAATCTCTCTGCAAGGACTGCAGATAGGCCGGTTTCAATCCCCGCCAATCTGCCCCGATATGTTCCCACAGTGTCTCAGCACCGCTACTTTGACTCTCATGTCTACCCCACTTTGCACGCCAATGTGGCTGCCTCGGTCATGGAGTACTCTCAGGAGCAGATTCCGGACATCCTCTCCGACTGGTCTGTTCACATCCACGGCCCGGACACGCCGTTCCGTCACCACACGGTGATAAGGCAGTATATCGAGGATCTCTTGAACCGTAATGGATATCAAGACCTCGTTGAGTACAACACGACCGTTGAGCGGGCAGAAAAGGACCCCAAAACCGGAAAATGGACACTAACGCTGCGACGCGCCGGCGAACCCAATGGCTTGGATTACTGGTGGACCGAAACCTTCGACGCTCTGGTGGTTGCCTCCGGGCACTATGCGGTGCCGTATGTCCCTGCCATCAAAGGATTGAAAGAATTCGCAGAGAAGTACCCCGGCAGTGTTGAGCACACAAAACAGTACCGGGGACCTGAAAAGCACAAGGGCAAGGTGAGATGTCTATCACTTGCAGAGACCCACTTTTCCTTGACCACATGGATGGCTAACAGGTCAACAGCGGGTAATTACCGTCGGGGCCTCTGTCTCCGCCGCAGACACCGCTGCGAGTCTGGTAAACCATGCAAAGGGTCCCATTATTGCCGTTGTGCGCGGAAAGTACAACACCTACTTTGGCGACGAGGCGTTCAAGCACCCTCAAATTGAGCGCCGCCCACCCATTTCGCATATAACCACCGAAAACGGGGAGAGGACGGTGTACTTTGAGGACGGGACGTCAGTATCGGACGTCGACCACATCATCTTTGGCACCGGCTTCACATGGACGCTGCCGTTCTTACCTGATACCCCAATCCGGAACAACCGTGTACCAGATCTCTATTTACACGTGTTCCACCAGCAGGATCCTTCCCTGGTGTTCTTAGGAGCGGTATGTTTCTCTGAAGTGTCTACTACACAAAACCCAATAACTGACTGGAGTAGGTTGGCGCCGGGTTGACTTTCAAGGTCTTTGAATGGCAAGCCGTGGCCGCCGCGCGCGTTCTGGCCGGAAAGGCACAGCTGCCATCTCTGGAAGAGCAGCGGAGGTGGGAACAGGATCGCATCGCAAAGAAGGGCGACGGTCCGGGATTCCTGATGATAAATCCCGACTTTGAGGCGTATTTCGAACAACTTCGACAGCTCGCAGGCGAGCCGGCCGAGGGAAAACCAGGACGGATACTGCCGCCATTCAAGCAGCAGTGGGTGGATGATTTTAATGCTGGACATGAACGGCGGATCCGCATGTGGAAGAAGGCCAATGAGGCTGGGCGAGTGAGTAAGTTATAGAGATAGATTTACATAGACATGAGCATAGATATGTATATAAATGAACTGAATATATTCCATTGATCTGAATTATTCCATCCATCTATGTCGGTTACTCCTAGTTGGATATGTTCAGTCAACCAACCAATCACTCAAGAGACTAGCCATTGAACATCTAGCTATGCAGGAGCCTCACCAATAAGGCCAGATCCGTACCGTATACGCCTGAAACCCTACAAAAACTCTATTATACGGATATGCATAGGAAAATGGCGTAGTACCATCATGAAACCAAAAGGCTATATACAAATAAAACGCTTACTAAACGTAGATACATATATCCCCAGAGTCCTTGTACGCACGTCCAAGATGCTCTGCTCACCATGTCCGGGCTGTGGTGGAGACTTCAACCTAGGCTGAATCCCCTCAGGTTACCGTATGACCATTTAACCAGCCTAGTAGAAGGCTATACTACTCAGCAATGGATTTGTTCGATGATGACATACTCACAGCTCTTGAGCCCCCCCCCCCCCCCCCCCCCTTCCAGTGGGGATACTTACAGGGTTCCTGTGAGAATTTTGCATCGCAGCCCGTAACACAGTTGACGCCCAGAGATGTTTAAGAGTGCAGGCCAAGACTTGGAAGAGCAAAGAGATGCTATCTGGTTTTGACACCATTCCGTACAATACGAGGCCTATGCGCAGCCTATAGTTGCGCTCTCAACAAAACACTACGCTGGCTATCAAGTGAGGTTCCAATCTTAACAATACGGCAAGCATCCACGAATCGGATATGTACTTCTTGCTATGCGATAATGGAATATGATATGTCGCCCCGGAAGACGTATATTAGCTTTGGACAAAGAGGTAGAAGCAAGCGGACAAAGATAGTCTAGTTTGGGCGCGGATGCGGAGGGTAGCTAGGGCTGATCTGCAGTAACTTTATTCTAAACCCCGGGGCGCATGCAACTTGATATTATGCGGTTTGCTGCATTTTAACATGTAAATATGTTTGTGATAAGGAATTTAGATTGCGAAAGACTACGCGTATAGTCCAACCCTTTTTATCATTGATTGAACAAGTAAGGTTCATTCTCCGGAGCTGCCATGGCGAAGAAAAAACTCTCCGTCAGGCACATTATTTGATTCCTTATGCTGATACTGCGTAACCACTGACTGTAAGCTGTACGGCGGCTTCTCCACAATAGAGCTAGCCTTAATGCAAGTTGGGCGTTTGCTATAAAGACATACAGGTGCTACTGAGTAGGGACAAGAATCTGGGCGTGAAGTAACTGCATCACTTCTCGTGCATACTTGAAATGGCGGTCTGCTGAAGACGCCATATACGAACTTTAATTTAGCTGCAGCTAAGCTCGAGATATGTACCTCTGTCTTGGATCCTTATGGCAATGGATACTTCATGTAATATGGTGCACTGGCGTCACATGACGATCTAAGCCCCCTCTCCTCAAATTCTCTAGACTCACCATCACGTATTCCTCCAATCAATTAGTAGAATCATACAATATAGTCTACTGCAGACGACAGCTATAAAGCTCATCAACTGGAATCAGTCAGTCCAGGTGTGCCATGACATCTGTCCGTTGGTGGCACATTGCCAAAGCTACCCAGCTCTGCACCACCAAGGCAAGCTTAAACCAGAAAAATTCATTCAGTGTATGAACTATAATTTCACTGCCGTGAAGTATTGACAATATCTTGTTACACAAGGCCTCTCAGGCCCAGAGTACAACGAAGCGCCCGGTTTGCCCCGTTCAATATAGCTCACGTTTTAATAACGAAACCCCCGGCTAGGAGAAGTTGTGCATATTATAAGTTACAGATATATATTTCCAGATGGATATAAATGCCCCAGTTGAGATACTGATTCTATAGCTCCTGTTTCCCAGAACACCAAATCCACCTGTCTTATTCTTCCTTTCATCGAGCAAAAATGCACTGGTCGTTGATCATCACCTCCTACCTGGCTGTTCTAGCTGCCAGTCAAGTCAACGACGAACAGCACGAGACGACCAGCGTGGAGTCCCAAGACATATTCAAAGACTGCAAAGCACTCCATGTTTGGACCGTCCCGAGCCTCGACGAAGATGGCGACAAAAACGAAGACAAACCAATCCAGTTCTTAGCGGGAAGGTGTCCAATCAAAAAGGATGGGGAAGTTGTGAGTTGGGCGGATACGACAATCGACCTGAACGAATGTTTCGCTTGGGATGCAAACACACACAAGCTTGTCCCCCATATAGATCACACCCAGACTGAGTATGTAACATCTGGGTTCTATCGCGGGCAACCTGCTAACACGAAAGGTTTAGTGGCAATGGATTCCGCGATGGCAAGTGCGATCGCTGTGTACTCCATGAGCATGAGATCCGGTGCTGGTGCGATAACGTGGATGAGAAGGATAAGGATCCCGAAATGAAGGCGGCGATAAAGACGATCAATATTGGTAAGCATCTTGCACTTTTACGGATATGCTTTCTTACTGACTGGGTGCAGAGGGAAAGATTGTCTATAAACAGGACGAAGGGCTCGCTTGCGCCACTGAAACGGCATAGTGAACCAGCACCTGCTTTATACCAGTCTAAGCTCGATTGGGGATGAGAGAGATTCCGGCTGTGCTGGGAAGTTGGTTGATGATGGGACTGAGTGCTGGTTTGTCTGCGTGTTCGAGAATTTGTGGCAGATCTTGATGTATGAATGTGTTTAGCTCGGATTTCGGGGTCAGCCAGTCTGTGGTAGATGGCAATACATCAGACTATTCTGGTGGACAATGCCTTCACTTTTGAATGATGCCGCTTTGCAGTTTGAAATAGGTGCAGATATTGAGGGGCTGTAGGGATCGGCTGTTGCCCTAACCGCCTTGATAGGGGACAGTCTACAGATATCATATCACCCGGCTTCTAACAGCAGGCTCAAAGTAGAGGGTAAAGACGGCCCATAGCCATGGTATCCACAGTCTTTCATGGGTTGATGATGGTTGGCAAGGACTCCTGGTAGTTTTCGTATGGTTGTAAAAAGGTACAGAGAATTAGTCCGTGGTGGACATATGGCACAACCGTTGTTATGAAATCTACCTCAAATTCTACTGACCATGAACACTATATGTCAAGCAGATGGCAATGCGTTTATTATTATTATTATTATTTATTTATTTTTCTTTTAGACCAAAGTCGACACATGGCATGTTTTGCCTCCTTCACTTGGGCCACGACTCACTTCGAGGCCATTAGACTCTTGCACTTTGAAAGTCCAAAATCTAGAAAAGTCTTTAGCCCATATTGATATTAACATGTGTTCCCCGAGCCCATTTAATAAATAGAATGAGTAGTACCCCTTACGATAGGTGAACCGCGTTTTGAGCTTCGACCCGCCGCCGGGTTTTATATCCGGGCATTCCGTAGTTACACCGGGTAGATTGTTCGTGATATCACCACTACCGACAGTCAATATCTATGGGACAATATACTATAGGTTTCTTTACGATCATCGTGGACTCCTATTGATCCTTTCACTCAAATTTCTAAAGCTTGGTACCGCGTGCAACTTTTGTGGCATATGGATCCGCCGCCTGACATTCCGATCTTAAGCAAGCGTCGTTTATATTTCTAGATATGGTCATTGTAGTCCTCTAAAGGCTCAGGTGCATATTATAATGAATGTAGTGATTATCAAAAAGGATACGAAGTAGATCAGGGAGTGATATATTCTCATAAGACCCGTATAAATAAAATTGTTGTCAAACCTAGGAGTACTTTGTCTCCGTGTTCTCATGAAACGTTACATCAAGACATCATTGACTTTTTCTCGATCAGATTGCCTTACAAATCGACGCACTTGAGAACCTGGGCTATACCTGGCATAAGTAAGTCTAAGATGTCATATATGTCATCGAGTCTATTTGAGGACCTAGCCATTATAAAGTCAATTGCTCACCCCATACTCCAGGGCCTTCCTCTTCGTCCTGAACAAAGCCCTCTACTTACTTTTACTTCCAAAACCACTATTAATTTCGATCTTAATCAACCACCATGCGTCTCTTCGCCCTCCTGACCGCTTCCACCCTTGCACTCTTCGTAAGCCCTAGTGTTGCGAACAGTCCTGTTGCAACGGTATGTTTACTATTACACCGTCCATCCACGTCTTATAAGTTGAATTGCAGCCACTAAGAGACCAAATTAGGTCATTATAACGACTGACCAGGGAGCGTTCGCGCGTCTTGCCCGGTCTTCTGAATGTGTACCCGTCGACTCGGAGTACGTAGACCTATAAACAGCAAGTAAGCGAGAACGATGCTAACACTCCACAGCATCCAGTATGAGCCCGTGACCCGTATAGACATTGCGCCATACAGGCCTGGGATTGCGATCGACTGTACATTTTTTAGGTATGATGATACTCCTGTCGCATCCGCTGACAATCATTATCTAATACGACGCCAGGGACCCTGTTTGTCATTCAGGCTCCTCTCATTCTTACACTCTGCACGAGGGCAGCCATACCTTCAAGCGTCCGTTCCTTGTTTCGAGCTTCGGGTGTGTGGCATCGAACAGGGAGGATGCGTTCCTGTGATGTGTTGGCGGAATATGACCGAGGGAACAACGGAGCTGTGTGCTGTGTAATCTCAGACTGTCTGGAATGTCAATAGTTAATTAATCCATATGCCCTTCCAAACAGGAGGTGCAGTACTCCAAACACTTGGTTCACTACTTGTGTAGGAGCTAGGTCTGTATAGCTCTGAACCGAACACCGACGTTATGCGGGGTGTCTATTGTTAGTGAAGAGTATAAAGTGTAACTAGTAGGTCTAGGCCACCACAGGATTGAAGCATGATAGTCGTCAGGGTATTATATGCAGAATAAAACAAGTCCGCCTGCGCCGATCACTGGACTGGGAACAATGATGGGGCAGATTGACTCTTCAGAGAATACGTACACTTGCCTGTCTGGATAGAGTGGATCGGGGTCCCCGCCAAACCGGACCCGCTGACAGCGGGTGGGGTTGGAAATAACGTGTGGAATTTAATTTTTGTATCGTCTGGATCAGGTATACAACAGCTACCTCCTTACCCTACCTTGACATTTGAAGATCCCCCAGTAGAAATATACATGCACCTTCACTCTTCGACTACTACTTGCCTGACCCCGATGCCAAGACCCGTTGCCTCTTCTTCTGCGCCAATCATCATGACTATAAATGAGTCATCGTGAGCCTGTATGGGCCATTTTGTATACAGAACCCACGTAGTCATTGAGGATTCTATAAAAGAGCCTGTATTCACAATGAAAACATTAAGCCGATCAAAATTGAATGAACCGGTCAATACACATCGCAAGCCAAAGCCACTCAACTACAGCGATGGACCAATATAACACGAAAGAGGATGTCCTCAAGTTAGGCATCGTCGACCCAGAGCTCGAAGAAGTAAGTGAGCAGACAACCTTTTCCTGAATATTGTCTCATCTCATCCTCAATAAGATTCTCCGGCATAGTCCATCCCCTTCAATGGACCTTTCAGGACCTATTGCGCCAGTTCGCCAGATAGTTGCGACAATGGAGAAGACGGCATACGATTCCTGTCCCAGCTTCGACGCGCAGGAAACTGTGATTGATATCCCGATGCGCGATGGACATCAGAGCAATCTCCACATCGTCAAGCCGGGCAACTCATCTGGGGCAAACCCGGTCGTTGTTCTGATCTTCGGCGGAGCGTTTGTCATGGGCAGCAACATCCAATCCATTGTCTGGGCCCGCACGATCGCAGCTCTGTACGGTGCTACCGTGGTGCAGCCCACCTATCGCTTAGCACCGGAACACAAGTTCCCGACAGCCCCAAACGACATCTGGGACAGTGTGCAATGGATCGCAGCCAACGCGTCTGCGCTTGACGCCGACTTGACGAAAGGGTTTGTGCTAGGTGGCGGATCGGCAGGCGGGAACCTTTCAATTGTGACAGCACACCGAGCCGTGAAAGAGAAGCTCTCGCCGCCAATCACGGGTGTTCTAGCCAATATCCCCGTGTGTATGAACCAAGACACCGTGCCGGAGAAGTACAAGGAGCTTTGGGTATCTCGGGAGCAAAACGGATATGCTCCTGGAAACCCCGGCTTAGATACCAAATCGGTTCAAGGTTACGAGGCTCTCTACCAGCAGGATTTCCTGTCGGAGGACTTTTCGCCGTTTAACTCGATAGTGCCCTTCTCTGCCCTTCCACGCACGTATGTTCAGGTCGCAGGGCTGGATGTTCTCCGCGACGACGGCATTGTCTATGCCAAAGTGCTGAGAGATAATGGCGTTGAGGTGAGGCTTGATGCTTATCCGGGCATGCCACATGGCCATTTTAATTTATGGCCGCACTTGAAACAGTCAATCAAGTCTCAAGAGGATACTATCTGGCATTTTGGATGGCTGTTGCGTCGCCAGGTGCCCAGGGAAAGGGTGGAGGAAATTGTAGCTCAGACTCGGAAATGATGTGGTTACTGTAAATATCTAGTTTAAATCAAGACGCAAGAAACCGGGCCAAAATGCAGCAATTATTAATAGACGAAGACAGTCAGCTGACGGTGGAGTGGAAATGGTTCCTCAGCAGCATGATACAGTAGTCTCCCGTGACCTAGACACAGACATATTAGCCCTAGCTACTGATTGCATGGACGTAGGACTTCGTTTCAAATGCCCTACGTACTAGATATTGGTTTCAATCCAGAAAACCCACATCACTTGATCGATACATGCGATACTCCACATGGAATAACCTATTGGATGAAGGCGATACAATGCAAGGCCGACTCGAAGCCTGCCGGTGTAGAGACGACAGCCAGTCCTGCAGTATGTGCTCACTATACAAATAATATCTCTCATAGGTTGTCCTCTGACAATTTGTGGTCACATACTTGCTGAACCTGTAGTGTACTCATCCAGAAGACAAGAAGCAACTCCACAGTCCACACAAGAAACGAGAAACAGCAACACCAAGTAACCCTAGTCAAGTGCATATACTCCCCCAACCCACAAAACCACAGATACTAACCCCAAGCAACCCCAGAAAGAAACAAGTATAGCCCACCTAATCAGCTCAATTTACCCGCATTCTGCCAAAATAAACCGAATGTAACCATTCGGAGTATCTCCGACCGAGTAGACGTCTACCCCTCTCGAAGATCCCCCAACAACCCCTCTTCTCACAACCCAACTCACTCAGAAGCCAACAGCAATGGACTCAGTAAAAGGAAAAGTTTACGCCGTAACGGGCCTCGCGGGGATCGGCCTCGCCGTCGCAAAACAACTCTACCACTCCGGCGCGCGCCTCTCCCTCGCCGACATCGACGAAACGGCCCTCGCCGCCGCGTTTGCGCAACTCGATTCCGACGCTGAGAATGTGCTCACGACCAAGGTAGACGTGGGCTCTTCGGTGTCCGTGGACGCGTGGATTGAAGCTACGGTCCAGCGCTTCGGGCGGTTGGATGGCGCGGCCAATATGGCGGGGATGATTGGGAAGAAGCATGGCACGGGTCGACTGACGGAGCAGGACGATGACGAGTGGGATCGGCTGCTGAGGGTGAATTTGACGGGGACGATGTATTGCGTGCGGGCGCAGGTGCGCAGTATCTCGGCGACGTCGGGGAAGGGCAGTATCGTCAATGCGACGAGTATTCAGGGTCTGAGAGGGTTTGGATTGCATGTGGCGTATTCGGCGTCGAAGCATGGGGTTATTGGCTTGACGAAGAGTGTGGCGAAGGAGGTTGGGCCCGACATTAGGGTTAATGCGGTTGCACCGTGAGTGTCCCTTTTTCTGTCACTTTTCTTTGGTCCTGCCTTTTCCATGGAGGTGGGGTATTTGTCGGCGATGCTGATGTGCTTCTAGAGGATCGATCCAGACTCCTTTGCTGGACAAGTCGATTGTCATTCAAGGCGGGTATACACAGCCCTCAACTATCATTCCTCGCCCCGGGACGGCGGACGAAGTTGCTCAGTCGGTGTTGTTCCTGCTCAGTGACGCTGCCTCGTTTACAACTGGTACGGTCCTTCAGGTGGATGGTGGTTGGGATCCATAAGTGGCGTTGTTTGGAGAATTGACGGAAACGATACGGTTCATCGTCATATCTAAAGTGTAGTCTATAAACATATGTACACACGAGTCGTCCAGCGATCCTTGCGAACATGATCTATACATGAGGCCAGACACATCTGCATCTCTACATCTCAATCGAAATAAGTGTTTCTTCGAAAAAAGAAAAAGGGTATCATAGGAAAATCAGACAACCATCAACGTGATATCATCCGTGGAGCCACAGAAAGCCTGTCGCGACTAGGAATATAAAGGGCAATATGAGTTTCTGACCAGTGAAGCGAGCTGGAAGTAGAATCAGAGCCAAGCAACACATACACAAGATGACGACCACGGTGGAGTAATTAGGCTGAAGAGTAGATGCGACGTTCGTTTCTCTGCCAGAAGCTATCAGTATGAGTTCCTCTTTCAGGGCCGGGGAACAAACCTTGCGACAGGCCAGCCATCTTCGTAGTCAAGATAGCTCCAACCCAGAAGGGCATCCTAGAAGGTCATTATTAGTGGCTCTATGCTGATTGTTGCCAGGTGTACTCACGCCATGCAGGAATCCGACACTTGTGTTAACTGCGAGGGTGGGACGTTAGCTAGGCCTTTAATACAAAGCGATATCGGTACACATACGATAATGGTAATATAAAATTTCTGGATCCGTGGTAGTGGCAGGCAGTACCCCGAGTCCACCGGGAGCATAGACGATTCCATGGTTCGAGTCGTAGACAGTGGTGCCGCCTCCCTCCGTCAGTTCCTTTCCGTGCTTGTCCACAAATGGGCCGCGCACATCCTTTGACCTTCCCACACGGATACTGTACTCTTGCCCCATAGTTGGGAACCCTTTATTAAATTGACAACATTTTCCATGACTAAACCACAGATAATAATAGGGCTCTTTATAGCTCATAAAAGACCCTTCATCCGGCTTCGGCTTTCCATCGGGTAAATACACCAGATTCTTCGCGTCTGGATGCTCCGGGTTCTTGACGGACAACAAGTCATCGGCCAAGGGCACTTGGAAAATACCATGCCAGTAACTTCCGTATAGCAGATACGGCTGTCCGGTCTGTTGGTCTACTATGAATGAGGCATCAATGGCATTAGAGACAGTGTAGGGCCAGACATGGGCCAAAGGCCCCTTTTCAGTGTAGACTAGGCCTCCATGGTCTGTCCAAGAGCCGCTTTCGATCGAGTCTGTACTTGCAACGCCGATAGCACTATTGCGAACTCCGTTCTTGCTGACAGTATAGAAACAGTAAAACTTCCCCTTCCATTCCACTGTTGTTGGAGCCCAGGGACGCGTGCGGTTTTGTTTTTCGATGACGGTGGGTCCGTCTAGCACTGTGCCAATATTCGTCCAGGGCCCTGACAAACTAGATGATTTGAATATGGGGACTTGGATCCCTCCTTTGAACAGATAGAAATTATTGTCGTGCTGCAAGATATTAGGGTCATGGGCGTGGATGTGGCCTTGATTTGGCAAGGGAAACCTTTCCGTTTTTGAAAACACGTTTGGGGGGTGACGGAGGTTGGAGTTTTCCGAGGGTGCCGCTTGCACCATGCCCAACAGGCAGGCCAGAGATATGATGTAATTTCGAAGCATTGCGGTTGCTCTCAGCCGATAGGAAGGCTGAGATGAGTGTCAATACAAGAGGGGTGAAGATAGCATTGAAGTGTGGTCGCGGAGCCCGGGGAGAGCTGGACGATAAGGAGCCTCCAAAAACGCTCAGCAATTGGCACTGCCCGCTTGTGATGTCCCGGAGCTTGATTTCAGTGGTTCTCAGACCGATAGGCAGCCACGATCTTCGGAGACCCACTCAAATAATGCAAGGGTCTCGACACAGCACTCTGGAGTAAAAGAAAGTCACAACGGGTGGCAGTGCACATCGCGGGAAGGGCGAAAAAGTAAAGCCAAAGGGAAATTGGATCGACGTTTCAAGTGAGTGTGACAACGCCTTGGGAGGAGGCGCAGAGGGAATCGGAAAATTAGCCAGGGACCTTCCAGCCTGAGGAGCGGGATATTAATAACTGCGAATTAGCTTCTACCAAGCTTTTCAGGCACCTGAAAGGGTCACGAACTGACGGCCAATCGTTGACTCCACATGGCTTCAGGGGAATTATCGGGAGGATTAGATAAACCCTAGTGGGGATCTGCGTCAGAATGTTCCGAGTAGGTGTCAAGTTCCTGGGGGAAGGAAGGCTCAGACCCTCGCAGAGACTTTCCATTGCGTATACGCGGCCTACAATCAGGCCCAGGAGTTCTGCGCACTAGTCATCCATACTGAGTTGCAAATGCTCAGGACAAGTCGATCATGATATCCGCTTCACAGTCCTGTTACACGTGACTTGCCGACTTTTATGTGGTTATGTAAGCGCCTATAGTTAACTATGAGGGCCGACAAAAGTCATGGTCTTTGCTAAATATGTGGTAATATTGGCTTTAAGGGATATACCTAGCATATGGTCTGTGAAAGTACTCTGACAACTCAAGATTGCCGGCAGAGCGGTCGGATCGTGCCAAAATGACCCTGGGGGCTTGCCGTGCTTTTGCCCTATACTCCGTACAAAGCTTGGGAGATTTCCACACTTTGGTCCATTTAATTGACAAAGATATAATGCCTCATATTCTGTGCTGTGGTTTGCAGTGGAACTGGCCTTGAAACAAACAATGGAAAGATAAAATCCGACCTAAGGTACTCTTCCTGGCTTGCTCCTAACAGTCCTAACATAACGCCCTTCTATCCATAAGTTCCGCCGCTGTGGGTACAATCCACTGTCTCCATCATGAATCAATGGGTATGCGATGTGCAAAGGGGGCATTCAAGGCCCTGGTAAGATAGACTGAAATCTTCTTCATATGAGCTTGCTATTCAGATCTTCTCTTTGTGTTTAAATCTCAGCAATTATCTACAAGATACCTGAAACTCGACTTTTCTGTCGGCAATGCATATCACCTGGCTTGGATATGTGATATTCACGGTCATCACTTGCATACCCCTCTACCAGTCCTGGACGCATCCACAGTCCTTTATTCATACCACTCAGGCCTTGTTTGTATCGTTCTGGCTTTGCGTCACGATCCATTTCTGCCTAACCTGGCGCCCTGCTAAGATGGCGCCTGTGAACACCGGCCAGTATACTTTTGTATATTCTCTTACGAATAATTCTTGAATACTAATGCGTTAGAGATGGTAGACTGGCCTCCAACTATTCAAACTGAACATGGACAACGCACATTAGATTGCAGCATGGCGTGGACAGCGGCTACAGTGTGGCATAGAAAACGTCGCAAGGGATAAGGAATGCTTCTTCAGCTAAGGACTAGTGCTCTGAAAAGGCGTTAGGTGCTGGTGGTAGCTGGCTTCTTGTGCTTGGTTAGGATTCACACTTCAAAATAGAGTCCTGTTGGTTCTCGTTCTATCAGTGAAGCTGATATATTCTATTGTGTGGAATTTATAACCTTTGTAACTCCCATTAGTAACACCAGTACCTATGTATCCTCACCATTGGAATGATAGGAGACAGATTCAGCCCGGGACTCACTCATCCAACTTAATGTTCCCCCGGACCGAGCCAACATGGGTTATTGGAGACAGTACCAAACACTCCTCAATCGTTAAGCTGGAACCCCAGTACGACTCGTTTTGATAAATAATCGCAGTTAGACAAATAAGCCAAGATATATCGTAGCCTACCCGATCTTCCTCTAGTTACGCAACTTGTGCTTCGATAATATAAGTCTTGGCACTTTGAAAAATAATGCTGTAGATGGTATATATTATCTCTCCTAAATACTGTATTACCTAGTTCCCCAACCAAACAGATCTCGCATTGTCTCTTTTACAGACCTGTAGAATTCCCGGATAAGGGTATCTTGCCCATATTGAGTCATAGAGAACCCATGACACCTGTAAGCTTCCAGGTGATGGTGCCGATTGTTGTCGGCAGTGTAAGTCATAAAAGATTGCAATAGTTAGATAGAGAGGAATTGATCCTTCGAGACCCTATATGTATTTGGTGGGAACCCTCTATATCAAAGACCAAAGAAGGGTGGGAATATCTGGACAGCCTTTAGAACAACCACCCTTGCAAGCATTACGTACCGCTGATTTTGGATCTGGGTGTGCCGTATTAAGAAGTTGAACGGGGAATACCTGAGCATCATTACGGGTTTTACAGGCCTGGCCAGATGCATAGGGTGACAAGCTTACCGAATATCTTAGGATATTATAGAGAGATTGTAGGATATGCGGGGTTATGGAAAACCCGTTCTAGACTCGGCGGGGAAGTCGCGATACGATCACATAATAGCTGCGGGGAATGAGAAATTCAACAAGAGATACAAATATTCTCCCCTCATTCCTTTCCTTTATGTCTCCAACATCCGCTGATTTTTCTTTCTTTCTTTCTTTCCTTTTTGTTTTTTTTAGAGCAGCAAATCACCAAATAGCATCATATTCTCAATTACCTATCCACACCCTTTGATAGTAAATCATGTCCCGTCCCAGCCTCGATCACATCGTCATTCTCATCTCTCCTGACGCCCTCCTCAGCCTATCCGACCGTCTCCAGCATGACTTCGTTGTAGCACCGGGTGGGACTCATGCTGACGGACTGACCTCGAACAAATTGATTCTCCTCCCAGACGGAGTCTACATCGAGTTCATTGCCTTTGCCAAAGATGCCGATCCCGAGCAGCGCAAGAAGCATCGCTGGGGAAACTTGAAGGAAAACACGATTATTGACTGGGCACTGACATTGCCAAGCGAGGATGATTTCGCTGCCGTCCAGCAGCGAGTTCTCGACTCGAACGCTGGCTTGTCATACCAAGATCCGATTGCCGGAGGTCGAAAGAGGGAGGACGGAGTCATCTTGGAATGGGCCGTCAGTGCCCCGAGAGACGCCGATGGCAACGCAATCTTCCCGGGGCATCTGCCGTTTTGGTGTCTGGATAGAACCCCTCGGCACTTGCGAGTGCCCTACCAGGAGCAGTTCGACCTGACCCAGCATCCGAGTGGGGTGCGAGGAATATCCTCGGTCTCGGTGTCTGTTCCTGGGGCACAGTTTTCCGATCTGTCAACAGCGTACGATGCGATCTACGCCCCTGAGGGCTCAAGGGGGCTGGAACCCGGAACTTGGCATTATGAGGTTCCCTCGGGATCGGGAGATGGCAGGCACACCATCTCCTTGTCTGCGAATGAAGCGGAAGCAGCGGTCACGCTCACCTTTCATGGAGAACAGAGAGGCCAGGTTGAGCTTCTGCCCGGGCTTACCGTCGTCGTTGAGTGAGTAGAGATATGTCCCTCATTTACATAAAGTGTACGTCGGGAAGAAATCAAAGAAAAGTATGAGTCAACAGGCAGGCCCATGAAGAAGACCGTCACGCCATGATAAATTCAACCACCTGATAGAACATGAAGCTTTCGCATTGCTTTGTTCATATTCACAGTGATTTTATATTCCATCAATACCTCGAGCAGACAGGCTTCGATATGTCTCAATAGGCCTCATATTAAACTTGCTAAACAATAATCCTTTTCGCTGCTACTTGGTGCAATTTCTAGATTTAGAGTATCATGAATCAAGGCCTTTCTGATTTCAAAACAACCCCATAACACAATTACCAGCCTGTAAACAATCAATAGCTCTGATTATTGCAATCCCTGGCTGCCACTAAACACCACCTAGTTGAAAGACAACCCATGCTCTATCGGACTTCACATAATCCATCGATGCCATGAGTACAAGCCTTGCTCTCCGGTGGTGAAGGAGGGGAAGAAGGCCTCGATAGTAGGTATTCCGGGAGTTGGGTTAAAGACTGTTGACCGGACTTCGTTCATGGGGCGCTCGAGGTCGGGACCAAAACTAGGACCGGTGCCTGCAAGAACCAGTTTGCGTACAACATCAGGAGCATCGAAGGCCACCTGCTGAGCGATGTAGCGTCCCATGGAGAAACCAAGAACGTCGACCTGATGGATGTTCATGGTTGGTAAGAGGACCCCGAGAAAGGCCAAGAGGTTTAGAGCAAAAGCCCTGATGCTAGGCGTTATCGTGCCACCGCTATGGCCAAGACCGGTGTAGTCTTACGTGATGAGTTGACGGCCGGTAGCGGTCAAGTTGTTGATGACAAAAGGATCCCAGGTGTCGATGGTAGATCGAACGTGATTATGCATAAGAAGAGGTGGAGAATCGTCGCTCGCATTTCCAATAACGCGGTAGGCGTACTTGGTGTCATCAACCTCCAGGTATAGAGTATTTGCGGTCTCCTGAGTAGACATTATGAGGATATGGTATTTGTGGAGTATGAAATGGGAAGGGGTAAAACTCAGCAGTTGCTACGAATGGGCTAGCCTTTATATCTCGCGATTTCTACCGCCCAAGGTCACTCAGATAGCATGTAATCATGCTCCCTCGTCGTTCTATCACCTTCTGAATTTATAAGCAATCTGAACTTTGCTCTAACATGCTAAGACAAGTGGGACAGAGTATCAATTTGGCTTGGTGTGTCATGGCTTGTCTTTAGAAACTTGACACTGAAAAGGAAAAGATGGGTAACCATACGTGATACAGCATTTCCCGGAAATGGCAAAGATGGGTACTTCCGTAGGAGAGAGCCATAGGTGCTGCAAGACATTTCATTATAAGAGAAATGCGCAATACCAAGTTGAACTATATATCTCTACTCCTGGGTCAGGGTGCTAGTTTCCCGCCAGCAAATACGGCACCCCTGGGTATATCAGAGGGAGAAGTCAAACGTCACGCATGGCATTCTAGACTGTGGCAGTCAATTGTTCCATACGTTCTTGTGTTGATCAGAGAACCTGTTGAAAACAGTTCCGTACCGAGAAGTGGAGTGTACGGACCAACGATTCGTAATCACGATAGATGTGAAGTGCTAGGGACTGTTTGCTCAGAACTGATTATGATATTAATCCTTTATTAAGCAAGCTCGGCCTTCGGGCTACCGTAGATTCCTCTAGTTGAGTATATGTCACGTGATGCCACGGAAGCCCGTCTTCACAACACAAGGACGCGGATATCCCGTCCACTTGACAAGACAAGAGTTGACCCAGATTTGTCATCGACCGCATCATGGAGTCTTCTATGCAAGACATAGCTGGTGGGGGTCTCTTACTGAGCAGCCAGCATCGATCGTCACCTGACAAATAGTCGTATTTTTGCGTTGTGGTCCCTTCCCTATAAAGTCGTGATGCTGGCCGAGGAACCCTAATTCTTGTATTCAACTTCGCTACTGCTTTGAAAAGAACCCTTGATAACCCTTCTACTCTCAATCCTGAAATCATGGCTCCTAAGATTCTATTTGTCCTGACCAGCTGTGGCGAGATGAGCAATGGTAAGCCCACCGGGTGGTACTTGGTCAGTTTCTCCGCCTTTTGTTGCGAGCGCAGGAAAAGAGATCACTGACTGGATTTGATAGCCTGAGTTTGCCCGGCCCTACTACCACCTAGTCGGTGATGATGAGGCCAATCCGAAAGCTGAAATCGTCGTAGCTTCTCCTGCAGGGAGGGTGGCGCCTATTGATCAAGGCTCCGTCAAGAACTTCCAGAGCGACCCCATCTCAGTCAAGTTCTTTGACTCCAAGAAGAAGCTTTGGGAGCAAACAAAGCCCCTGAAAGATCTCCTTGGGAGGGCATCAGAATTCGACGCTATCTTTTACCCTGGTGGCCACGGACCCATGTTTGACCTGGTCACGGACCAGAACTCTCTCAAGCTAATTGAGGAGTTTTACAAGGCCGGTAAAGCTGTTGCGGCCGTCTGCCACGGCCCTATTGTGTTCGTCAATGTTACTGTGGACGGCAAGCCGCTTCTTGAAGGCCGTAGGACAACCGGATTCAGTAACGCAGAAGAAGATGCTGTTGGTCTGACTGAGGCTATGCCTGTCCTGCTCGAGGATGAGGTCAAGCGTGTCGGTGGTAATTATGTCAAGGCCGACCAACTCTGGAAGGACATGGTGGTTGTGGATGGGCAGATTATCACCGGCCAGAACCCAGCATCTGCCCAGGGAGTCGGCATTGCGTTGGCCACCGCCGTCGGTTAGTCAGACCATCAACTAATTGCGCTGCATGTGTACTGATGCAATGGAATTAGGACTATAGCACAACCGAGCGCTGCCGTCTTTACCAGAGGAATGAGGTTCAAGATTGATTAGTTGACCAATGTAGCTCTACGCAGCACAGTAAACCAGGAGGATGTCACGGTTTCATGATGGCAGATTATTTTGATAGTTTCTTTGTGTCTTAGTTCACTATAGTAGATAGTCTCGACAGCTTAGCTGGAACAACTACTGTTCTTGGATCTCCAATGAAGCCCGAATACCAAATCGCAACCTCGTTGGACCGAGAGTCTCCTGAAAAAACACTTGATCGCTCTGGTGGACAAAAGCTCACAAATGGTGAGCAAGAGACCAGTCCGCATTCTTTGCTCGCTGGCCAAGCCACGTTCGCTGTATTTGACTAAAGTAATAATGAGTCCGTACTGTATTATAGAATCCGACAAACCTATCTATAGAGACTTTGACCCTCTCTTTGCCTTCATTCATTCCGTTCAGTCTTTGAATAGCTTGGCGGACTATGGGTATTCTATGGGATGGGCTCTGTCAAGGACCTAGCTATGAGGATAAAAACAGATTGACTGCAGAATGTGTTGCATCGTGGCTTCCACAAACTGGACCCCCGCATTCTGGCCACAGACTAATGGTATCCCTCCTTGGCAAGTCTGAAGTTACGACTTCTTGTAGCGCACTGCGTGACAGGTGGTTAGCATAAATCATCAGCCAGCCGCTCACCCCGAAAACACATCGTAAATGCAATTTTCCCAGGGTATATTATAGCAGCAGCGAGAAGTTGGTTTTACTGGATTATACATCAAGAGTTGAGTCTATCTTATTTTGTGATGATCACAGCCTAAAGCATATCCACAATCAGCACTGCACACATAACGCACTGCAGGTCTTCCTTGCAGACAGAGTGTTGGGAACGACAGATTGATTTATTCTATGTTGGAGACAGCGAGCTCATAAACGGCTTTTCAGTCGAATACCAACACACTGCGGAACCGAACAGCGCCTGATACCATGTAGTCCATTGCTTTTGGGGCGTCCTGAAAGGCGAACCGCTCGATCATGCACTTGACACCAAATGTCTGGGCAAAGTCGATCGTATCCTCAGCATCTAGGGCATTACCCGTGAGCCAGCCTTGGATTGCGGAAGTTCCCATGATGAGATCGTTCGTGTTGAACTCCATGGCACCGGAAGGGGACACGAGGAGCATCTTTCCGGCTGGTTGCAGCGCAGCGGTCAGTGGGGTAACAGCCTTGCCATGAGACGCAGTGGCGAGAATGAGCGCTGCACCACCCAGTCCCTGGAGCCTTTTTACCGCATCCTCCGAGCCAGTATCAATGTACTCGTGGGCGCCGAGCTCCAGCGCCAAATCTTTCTTGGAGGCATTGGAGCTGAGAACGGCAACCTTGTAGCCCATCTTGCGAGCGTACTGAATAGCCATATGACCCAGACCACCAATACCTTGAATCGCTACCAAGTTCCCCTGCTCAATGTGCGCCTTCCGAATGGCGTTGAAGACGGTTAGCCCGGCGCAAAGTAACGGCGCGGCATCAGCAGGGTCCATGTCCTTGGGAACGGGAACAGCCGCTTCGGACCGAAGCAAGACGTACTCAGCGTAGCCACCGTCGCGGCTGGCTCCGTTGTATACAGCATTGCTGCAGGCTTGGAAGAGCCCGCGACGGCATGACCGACAGACGTTGTCGTGGCCTGCCCACCACCATTAGCATGTCACTCGCACCCAGGTACATGTAGACTTCTGAACGAAAGGGGGTAAGGAGGAATCCATGCTCACCTCCGAGCCATGCTCCGCCGATTCGTTGGTCGAGCGACAACCCTTGGACTCCCTCCCCAATGGCAACAATATCGCCAACAATCTCATGACCGGGCACGCGGGGGAAGAGGTTGTCACCCAGTTCACCCTTCTGGACCGCAACATCCGTGAAACAAACACCACACGCGCGAACCTTGACCAAGATTTCTCCTGGCCCGGGTAGCTTCAACTCAACCTCTCGGAGCTCCAGGGGCGCGCCTACCGACGCGATCACCCAAGTCTTGTATGTTTTCGGCAGGGCGGGCATTGCGGAGGAATCAAGTATATTGGCAAGGGCAAGAGCAGAATTCCCATCCAGACCGAACACACGCTCTATTTATGGCCGTGCAGTTGTGGGAACCCGTAAGCATTTCGCCTTCACGGGCTTGAGTGACTTCACGGGCCATCCGATCACTCATTTTGAGGGTTCTTGGAGATATCCCGTCGGCCCACCTGTCATAATGTTGTCTCGGTCTGCTCAGAATGTATGTCGCACTATCCGCTCCTCGATAGTCATCGATATATCATACTAACGCAGTAGCTTCGTGCCGAGTGTGGCTATCTAGTTCGGAATACCCGTCAGGCGCCAAGGCATCTAGCACGGAACACCCGTCAAAGACTCCACAGCCATGAAATTGCTTGCGGGCTTAACGGAAATCGTCAACTCAGCCGGAGGATGGCTGGTGGAAGTAGTAGGCCAGAACGAGTGTGTGCCACCGCGGAAATCTTGCAACTGGCCGGGACTTCGGAATAGGTACATCCGGAAACATCCTGGAATCGCTCTGGGGTTCTACACGTACTAGATATGAAGTCTTACTGGGAATCAATTTAGAGCGATCAGGCGTCTATCAGGTAGACATGCGTTGAAAAGCGAGGATAGAAACTAGATGTACTGCCAAGGCGTAAATCATGAAGCATCATCGAACCAAATCATATAATCTCAGACTTCTACACTTTGCCATTAATGTTTGCTCAGATCCGAGCTAGTCATCTGCGCGACGGCTGAACCCAGGCTTCTTTTCTAGTTCTGCGACGAAATCCACAAAGTCTTCGTCGCCTAAGGCTGCCCTCTCTTTGAACGAGCCAAAATGAAACTCCGACCACACCATTTCAGCGCCTGCAGCTGGAACCGGAAACCCGACTTTCATACCTGCAAGAAGCTCTCCTGTGATGAATATAGCAGCTAGCTCAAGCTCCCTCGGCGGCAGCTTCGAGGTCGGGAGATCCGGGTGTACAATGCGACACCAGGCATCGTTGATATCGCTGCAATGTTCATTGAATGCTTCTCGACTTCGAGTCGAGCCGTTCCGGACGCGGGCAGTGATACGATTCGTAAGACGCTTCCCACCTAGTCAGCACGAGCCCGTACTGGATGGAGAGATGATTCTGGCAGAGCTTACCTGGCGACCTCCTATGTATGTTGTCTGCACTGATGCGTCTGTAAAGACCACGGTGATGTACCAGCGAGGTACGCTGAACCTGTTGGCGTGAAGATCGGTGATAGCTCCGGCCAGTGCGTCTTTCTGGACAGGGCTAAGATGTGCAGCGTGTGTGACTTCGTATAGAGGCATTTTCCTTTTTTCTTTGCTATTTTTTTCTTCTTTTTGAATGTTCGTCAGGCTAACCGTGGCATATCCTTGACATAGGTTTGAGTAGGAAGGAGAGTGAGAGAATTGAAATAATCAGAGTTCGGCGTAAAACGAGAAGCGGGGAGAATCACGGCCTCCGGTTTGCCCTAATGTCCGACCTTCGCTGCGGCTGGGGTTTCTACGAGTTGAAAGAGCAGCGTCCATCGTTCATTCAGTTCCATTTTGCTCTGTTCAATACTAGCACGCATGCACTTGGCTACTCGCTGAGGAGGTGCTTCTCTACTGGCTACTCAGTGCATTCGCCCCAATCCTCTCTATTGTACGTGGCCATCCTGGTTCTGCCGAGACTGAGAGACAGGCCTGCGCTGAGCCTTGTAGGCCTCCTCAGTCACTAAAGCAGCACGGCTGTATCTTTGCAAGGCGTTGGTCACAGCAGTGGTACCCTCCATCCGTGTCAATGCAGTTTCTCTCAGATTCGTGGATACGGTATGTCTCAAGGCAGTTCTGCAGCAGTAGTCTCTGTACTTCGCTAAAGGCCCAGTATAGAACTGGACTGTGGACATTCCGGAGAGTAAAATCAACGAGGGCCAGGGATAGGATCCTACTGACTACATTGGCCGATGTTGGGGTGCGTGCCCGTTGCTCGCCCATGACATTCAGTCCGTTAACATAAGCCAGGATGTTGCGGGCCGGTGGATCTGGGACAGATATGAATTCTGTCCTCGATTCCAGCTGTTCTGTGTAGTTATAGGCACAAATGGATAGACGGTTTGCTTTCATACTGCCTTGGCTTGACGGAGAGAATGACAGACTCCACATCAATAACACAACACAGCACAGCAGAAATGGCAGTAAGGGATTTGCCTATAGCCTCCTCATATGCAGCGTTGGACTTGAGATAGACATACGTACTTCGGTGGTTTTAACCAGGCATATCGGTCGATACGGGCATTGCAAATGCCTAGTGTTAGAATGACAAATGGAGCGACTTTTACGACCCAAAGCCCAGGGGTCTGAAACTAATAGGGGCGTTCAAAATCCCACAGACCTTCGCCAAACCCACCCAGAGTCTCTCTATACCCACTCTGTTCAAAATCATAAGAGCCGCCCATTATCACATCTGTACCAGAGCTCAGAAAGTGAGAGAGTACATCCGCAGATGTGAATGAAGTTTCTGGGCCTCCGTAGTTAAAGTCAAATGGAACATCGCCCACTCCGGCATCCTCAATTAGAACTGGTGGAACACTGTTTGAAGACGGGTCTATGTCGCTACTACTGGCAGTGTGGTCTGAGGGTAGAAGCGATGGGACAGCCGTGGATGCGTGTGAGCCCAGGGAGATAGGGTTGTTTTGTACTCTATTCGAGTGCCGGGTGAATCGTCGTATTGTTGCCATCAAAACACGGTCGAGGACATCGCGACTTCTTTTTGCCTCTGGCCAGTACTCCCCCATGGCACTGAGGACGTCTGATGAAACCTTCAAGGCCCGCATCAGGGAGTCAAGATCGGTTTCGTCGGCAATCCCCTGGGGTGTCCAAACACAGTAGAACATGACCATTAAGCACAAAAAGAGGGAATGGACACTAACCCATCCGTAGTGGAGCGAGTTTGCGACGTACAGCTGGTGGTAGAGTTCGCTGCAGGCCATGGCGCTAGAAAAGCACTCCCGAATGGACGCCTTGTCAGGATCCCGGAATCTAGGGTTTGGTCGCAGAACCAGCATGACCAGTTCATGATACTTGATTTCACACAAGAGATTAATGTGCTGCCGTGTACTCGCTTCTGGGTGTTTGGGGATATCTTCTCTCCATTGCCGCAAGCGGGTCAGAATGTCGACTTTCCAGTTCTCTGCATCCGTGATAGCCGGCTGCGTGTATGGGGGATATTGTCGATCGACGCAGTACAGGACACATTTGATTTCGCTATTGAACCTAGCAAGTTTGAAAAGATGAATGGCGCTGGTCATATTGGTGAGCGGTTCGTTGCTTTGGCGAGGGCTCGGATGCCCTGTCTTGAGCTGATCATCATCGACGTCCAACGGGTACTAGATAAGTCAGCTCTGGCTAGAAATCGGGGGAAACACCGATTACTTACATTGAGGTCGCACTGCTCATCGACCACGCCCATCGGTCGTCCCATCAGGGTGCTCAAGAGTCGATCCATTGTATATGTGCACCAAAAGATCCGGCGGCGGACCTCCCTTTCGAGGGGTGTGGAATTACTCACCGGCACATTTCGGTGCAGCCCTAGCTCTATTGCCAGCGCCAGTCCATGGTGATGAAGGGTCCAAAGGCTCAAGCCTGATGTTGGGTTGTTGAGGGCATACATCTGAAGAAGCAAGATGCATTGCGCGACGCCAACTGATGAAATCTTCATTACACCATCCATGAGCTTCATGGCAGAAGCGAAGTAGGCCTCGGCTGATAACATGACCCTGGCCCGGCGCGACAGTATGGATGCACCTATTGCGACAACCATAAACGCCTGGAACTCATGCACCACGGTGACTTCAGCGTCGCCGTAGATCTTTTCGATGGTCTCCGAGTACGAGGGCTCGTGTAAAAACGGAAATTGAACGTGAACAGTGTCGAAATAAGCCTTGGAGAGCCATCGCGTATGGCTTTGATCGGAGGGCAGCTCTTTCGGTTGCGGAACCAAGAGGTCTGACGGGACAGGCACGCTGTCGGTTTTGGCATCTAGACCAGTGGGCGTATCGGCATGAAGTCGCTTTCCCAGTCCAGCCAAGACGAACTTGGTGAAAAATAGCCCACTCGACGGGCCCAAGTAACGAAGATCTGTCCCAGTGGTGATGGAGATAAGCCCAATTTGATCAGCTATCTGGTTAGCCGATTCAACATCTCTAGGTTCGTGGCTCTTTTGTGTAAACTGTGGTGGATTCCCGTCTCTAGATGGATTGCTACCGTCAATGCTAGGTGATTGGCCTGGCCCAGCAGTCAAGTCGATGCTAGGTACGTGCTCTTGAATAATTGATTCAAGCCACTTGACTCGAGCCTCTAGTTCGACCACGTAGCTTCAGGATATGATCAGTTGCTGTTCCTAGAGGTGCAAATGCAATACTACCGTACCTTTGTGAAAAGTCACGTGACAGCCCTCCGCCAATGCATGGCACGCCTGCTCGCTGACAAGCGCTGCAAGCTGGCGACAAGGCATCACACTGTGACTCTGTCAGCATGTGCACACCAGAGGGGGACGTCGGTTCTGCTTTTCCTCTGCCCGCAAGGCAGTGGTGAAGCGGCTGGCGGGAAGAGCTTACTCGGATTTTCCGTTTCTGGCACCGTGTGCACGCAGTGCTTATTCGCGTCCGGACTTTTCGTCTCTGACCTTGCTGCGCGGCCGAAGATGCAGGCCTATTTTCCATGTTCTTGTCCATGGTCTCTATCGTCTCCGGACTAACCGTCCGGAGGAAAAGGAAAGACGAACCAGCCCGAGTTTAACACGGATCATGACAGTCAGGCGGAGAAAGATACGAAACACGTGATGGGAATCAACGAAACTCTTATAAATCGCCTGGAAGCCCCTCGCGTTGTAGTTCCCTGGACAGGAATACTATTTTTTTTGCCAACACTGCGCCTTGCAATACAATAGTTGATCTCACCTAAGCATGGAACAAGCCCAACAGGATAATCAATACCAACTTTACTGGAACTATTCCTGTCAGAAGACACTTTAGACGTCAAATTCACCAGCAACTCTTCTGTCACCAACCTCGATCAAGGAGTGCAGCAAATGCCCTTGTTGAAAAGACTTATTGGTCATGAAAATGAGATCAGACAACCTGAATTCATTGGCAAGGGCCAACAGGGCTTTGTGTTCCGGTTTGAACACAATGGGAGAGACCTTTGCCTGAAGTTGGTATGTAGATCCATGTCCACGCCAACCCTTAGCGGTCTCTAATGATTGGGTCCACATTTTTATGAATACACTGCACCCTATAGTGACGAAGAAGTAGCTTTGATCAGCCATTCGGGTGTGAAGCGTGTGAATTCGCTCGTCTATGAGACCTGCACGACAATGGCCGCTGGGCAGTGCAGTGTCATGGATGGATGTATTTGACGGACTCCCAACTTCAGCAGCTTCAGGAAGTCGGCGGGCCAGTGAGGAATGACCCGAATTGGTATCGGGCCCGCTGGGCTATCGTGAAGGATTTTATTGCTGATGAGCCACCGAGCCGTCAAGAGAAGAAATTCCAAAATATTCTTACCAATGTTTCCATTCCAAAACGCGGCCATATCCTGCCTCGCGACGTTAAAAGGGACAATTATAGAGGCGACCGGATTGTCGATCTAGGATGTACAGTTACATTCCCTTTCTCTCGTCGCTATGCGCGCTCGAAGCAATTCTTCGAGTTCTTCAATGACTTGGACAAACATCAATTATGTCGATGGGATATGTAGCATTCACTGATGGTTTGGATCCCTTCTCGTGTCTTGCGAAATCTTGCATAACATCAGCTCCCATTTTGACAGCCGACCTCGCTGAGGATATTCCAGAACCCTCGGACCCTGAAGGTGCCGAAAAAGAGGACTGGGGTGAGGGTTCGACCAAGGCTTTTTTTCAGCTCACCATGTTTGTGGCCATAAATGCAGCCCTGAAGCAGTCGTAGAAATCACTGTACAGCTCAAGCGATCTTCCCCAGATTGTTACTGAGGATAAAGCCAAGAGTACCAATCAAACTAATGACTCGAGATACTCTCCCGATCTAGCTGTCGTCCGGGCTTCTCGGAAACAGTTTTGATCATTCAAACACGAGAACATTATCCCAGGCGACCTCAAAGAGGCCACAAAGTAGAACGCTGAAATCGAAGAATACAATCGGGACAAATATAATCAAGTATTTGGCCAGATGCGGCGATAAATGCGAGCTAACCTAGTAACGGTATACCTTTATTACTATAGATTGAGAGTTGGCTATTATCTGCTGCCGTGTAGAGGGTATTGGGAGTGGGATAGGTGCTAACCGTACTTGAAGGGGGTTTAAAACTTTACCATGGAAGAGCTATATAAGAAATCTATCTGATATTACTGATTTATCCCCCCTCAGCTCACGAGTGGATTGAGTATCTATATCCGGTACGAGCTATAGAGACGGCAGGACCAGAGTTGATCTTGCGCTACTGAACGGCATCCAGCTGAACCTGGATGGGTAGTGACGCTCAAAGACGCCACTCTTCCTAGATACATTGTCCGTGATGATAATCGATTCTAGAGCCGTATGAAACAACGGTGGTATCGCCTTGTGCGGGCAGAAAATGGCACGGTGATCTGGGAAGAGTTGGAGAGCAGATCCTAACAGACCCGACTCAGCTCGATTTGGCGTGCCCTCGTTGTTTTGCCTTTCTTCAATTTTCTCTATAATATCTCAGCTTTCATCTTCCTGTTGCTTCACCTCTGTGAACCCCTGCTAATTTTGCTGCCTCGTCAACAAGGTCGTATAGAGCCCGGCACAGTCATATACATATCGGGTCATTCTTTTCTTCTCTGGGTTACAGACACACTGTGATGGTAGTTATCCCCAGTTCTTGCAAACCATAGAGCACGTTAATTTAGTGGTTCAAGGAATATCATAAAATACACCTCTTTTGCTTCGGGAATGTTCCTTTGGTACCGTTTTCCTAGATCAAACAATGGGAGTAGCCTTCGGCCAACCCATCTGGTCGCGAAACAGCCCATTATCGATGACGATCATATATTTATTACCACACAGTAAGACCGAACACAAGATCCAGCTGATACACTGAACGGCAGGGATGTAGAGGAGATGGGCCACCACGCAAGCACTAGTAAAGGTCATCCATATCAGTCGACTGATGCCAGAGTACTCATCTGTCTGCTTTGGCCGAGAGCACACACCACAGTATTTATAGACTCACGCGGTTGAACTATATATATTTAACAGTTAAACCTTAATATAGTCGACTTGAACGTTGCCGGGAAGACAAAGAGTCGGAAGAGTCTTGTGTCTCCTTATTTGCCTCTATCGAAATAGTCAGTTTTTATTTCTTTTCTATAATGACCTGCAGTTGTAGCCCCATACCTACAGGACTCCAGGGCGACTCCACGAAAAGAACCTAGGTAGGCTCAGATCAGCACAGCACCCACCCTAGGTATGGATAATATGTTCCTAGTATTCTTCCGCTATGTAATCCTCCGTTCATTTTACCTTCATTCTCTGCAGTAAATCATGCTATGTGCGGAGGCATTGTCTAGACAGGACCACCTGAGCAGACACAATGGCTATCCTGATGCAGCTGTTCCTGTGCCCCCCAGAGAGTATGGTAGTTGCGATACCAACGGCAGTGAGGACGATCTTTTTCAAAACACAGCCAAGATTTTAGGTGTAAGGTGTATTCAGCCCTGTACCTGGTTCTCGCCAGACGGGCCGTGCGGTACTACTAATGCAGCCAGCAGCCAATGGCTCTGATTCCAGAATCGTCCGCCATGTTGTAAATCAGGATTTACGCCCTCCACCCCACAGCAACCCCGCGCTTTGCTGTAGATGTGTCTGGATGATACGTTGAATTTATGACAAATTTCCCTCACAGGACTACGCTGCGCAAGGGTGGGAGAAGACAAGTCAGATACCTCCTCCCCGGACGGCTAGCGGTCCAGGCCATCGGAATTCTGTAGGCAGTTTTACTATTGGACATCTCTACAAACTGTGCTGGCCTCCAAGATCTAGAACAGTCGCCTCAGCTACACCATAAATGTTTCGTCGGCTTGACTCGGCTAGCCGCCATGTGCTCCGAGACCCGGCGAAGATTGACAACACATCAACCAGCACCTCACATCAGCGAGCAGTTATTAGAAGCATAAATAAATGACCATCGGAACCCCCATTGACTGAGAAACCAGATCGGCCTCAAAAACTGTCACCAGGTACAAACACTCTCAGCCACTTCTGATAAAACCAACCCAATATCATTCTCATCCTGCAGAAATGTCTGTCAACAATCTTCTCCGAGTCAGCATTGAATCTAAGCACTACCCTGGAAACTTCCTTCGCCTTGACGGGCGTGGTCTCACCCAGAATGCTGGCGGCGTCGTCAATGTCCAGGACTATGTTGGAAAGTACGAGACGTTGATTATTATCAACCATCCCGAGGACAACACATTCTCCATCCTTTCCGCTGAGTTCCCTAACATCTATCTTCGGATGGATGGTGGGAATGTCAAACCCGGACAGAGGTATGGCTCTGGCACTGGGGTGGTCAACTGTCAGTAAGTACTTCCTTCCGGCTTATTTTCTCGAAATACCCCTGGTCGTTGGCTGTATTGGCTGGCCTTGATATACGCTATCTGGAATTGTATACTGATGTGAACCCTTCCTCAGAGTGGGCAGCCGCAGCTACGAGAAATTCCGCTTCGTGGACCAAGAGGACGGATCGAAAGCTATCGTCTCTGTGAGATTCCCTGATGCCTATCTTCGCATGGAGAATGAGAAAAAAGAAGGTGGATCTGGTGGAGGTGGAACTGTCAACTGTCAGAGCTATGTTGGCACCTTGGAGAAATTTATTATTCATGTTGTGTAGGAAGGCAGCAAAGAGGATGTGTGGAGTCAAAGGAACCACGGTGCCCTGTACCTAATGCTAAATACACACCCTCAATATGCCTGTCGCCTGCACAGGGCCTGAATCTTCAACTCTGATGTATGTGCTTTATCCCGTGGGATGACTTCCCCTTCACCAGCAGAACAAACCGTAAAAGGTTTCCGGCATATGCAGCAGGCATGATCGCCACATTTTGGCCGGTTACATAGAGCACCGAACAAAGGCAAAGACCCAGCCTAATGATGATTTGCTGTAACGGGGGTAAACTATGTAGGTGCGATGCAGGACAATCTAAATCTCCGGTTTAGATTAGTGCAACATTTTGGTATAGTTGGAGGTGTATTTGCCTGGACGCATGCCCTCATATTTTCCGCGACAATGGGAATCATAGGACGTCCAGAAGTGTGCATGAACAATAATATTGAATCAAGCCATTGTGAGAGCAATGCTATATATCGGCGGCCCTTTTGTCTTCATTTTGCTAGTCCAATTAGAGCTAAGAACAGTGGCCATAGCATGAGATTGACTTCACTGCATACAGACTCAGCGCTAATAGAGCTTTGGTTAAAATTATAGTCAACTAAACTCTTATGCATAAGTAACAAGAGCAAAGGAAAGAGTGGGGAATTCGCCACTAAACTAGACTAAACTCAACCTTATTACCTTTGCTTCTGTTGCCGAGGCCGAGATTGATAAGCTCAATAGATAATCAAAATACAAGCCTCGGCAAACCGAATCTGGAGGCTACGATACGGATTCATCTCTGGCAACACAAATATTTTAGAACATTGACACGGGGAAGTATCATTAAGAGATGTCTCATTTGGCTAAACTAAACCAACAGAATACAGAACATTTCGCATGCAATCGGAGCGATAATTCAAGGGCTTCATTACGTCATGTGATGCAGATGGATATATAACCACCTTCGACGACGGCAATGCAATCCATAGTTTCTTATTTAGTGACAATCAAAGTCAATCCGGATCCGCCACTCAAGGACCCGAGGATTCCCAGCGTCGCATCGTTGACCTCTTTGTAGCCCGCGCCGGCGACCGCAGACACCATGTCACAGGCTGCGCTTAGAAGAGGAAGGACTGTATCGCCGTTAGTGGAACTATGTAAGACTGGGGAAGAGGTATTAAGAAGAAACTTAAAGGGGGACTTACAGGTTCGTAGTTCCTGTTGCTTGGCTATATTAAACCGAGGAATGCCATTTGATTTCAGGCGATGACTATCGCGCCGCGATGTGATCTTGATATTCCTTGTCGAAGAAATCGTAGCCAGCAAGAATTGACATACGGTAGCAAGGAGGAGGGCATGAACGGACGCCCGCGCAATCCTTGGTTTCCACTTCGAGGGGATCGTAAAAGCAATGGTGGAGAGCTAACGACCATTTTTCTGCTCAGTTTTATTTGTCTCTGCAGGGGTAACGATTCTGGCGGTTTCAGGGAAAGGAGAGAATATGTTCCACAACTCACGTAGTTGATAAGATCTCCTATTGCGAAAACTGTATATCCAAGAGCCCTGGCAACTCGTAGAATCCGGTGAAGAGCTGGCTCACTTTTAGAGCAGATCGCGTCCCCCAGCTGCTGTAAATGTCCTGGCACAGAACAGACGCGAGTGAGCTTGACTGCGACTCCGATCTCCGCACGTAGCCGCATAAAAAATGATTTGTCGAGCCAGCGAAGTCTACATTTGTATCTCCAAGATAGTGATATGGACAGCAGAAGTCGAATGACGTTTTGGACAACTTTGAGGAACTTATCCTGGCCAGCGCTCGTGTTGGTGATGGTATCGAGAAACGCGCGCATGGTGGGGGTCGGTGTAGGGCAGCTTCACCGGTCAAGAGGGTCCCCATGAATAAAAAGAATTGGCATTTGAGACACCGCCGTTGTTATCGGCATATCGGCGGTATTGGACTAGGCGTGGCGGCCCGCGAGTGGAGTGGATGAAGAAATCGCACGCCACGAACCGCTTCGGCAGCGTCATGGCCCGGGCGAGATGAAAAGTAGTCGGGGTGGGTCGCCGATTGCGGCGGTTTATTCGGACATTTGGGTAATTTGGACACAGGGAGATAGTGTTAGCGGTATTGAGAGATGCAGATGGGTATGTTTTCATATTAATAGACCTTATGATATAGATATAGTAGTCCTGTCCTCATACGCTATGTGCATATGCTGATCATTTCAAAACAACGCTTAGATGTGATCATCCACTAAAAGTATCACTAATCACAGATGCGGGGCTAAAGATCAGTCAAACTCAGATGATCAGTCATTTCTAGTTGTTTGATAATTTATGTTAGAATAAACATAGAAATAACGAGCTATATGCTTCGCAGAGTATTATGCCTCCACACTCTTTCCCCTTAGAATCGAGATCGCACTCCAACATTACTACAAGACAGTTCGATATTTTAGCTAAACAGATGATCTAGAACAAATCGAAATACATAGCATACTGCAAGCACAGTCATACTTCTCCCACTTGTCATGTGGTACAATGGAGAACTGCCTGTTGTAGATCGAAAAGGCTTTAGAGCTACCAAACCCTGTGATGGGACCAGCCCTAACTCCACACCTGGCTGAGACAGGCAGGCCATCACCCTACAAAATATATTGGTGGCCTGAATCTAGCTTATTTTCATGGTTTCATTGATTTCTTACTATTTCAGCTGTTTAAGCCCAAGCTATGGTTTTTTTGGGTGGCGCAGAACCTTTCATTAGGCATTTCAAGATTTGAAAATAGCAGTTTTCCACCACTGTCAAGTTCGATTTAAGAAATGGTACTTCGGTGCTCTAGGATACTGGTCTAACTAGTTCTATATTTGTTTTAGACCCACTGATTGAACCCTATTTACGCGCCTCAAACCGAACGGGCAGGCTGTGCACGACACGCAAACTCATATCAAACTTAACACCGTCGGAAAGAGCTAGCTCAGCCCGATCTCTGGCTGCTTCCCAGGTATCTGCGGCAGCCCCAAAATCGCCACCGTCACCTTCTTCGTCTCTGGTTAGCAGCCTCACCGACGACGACTTGAACACGATGGCTACGGAGGCACACAGTTCTACTAGAGCAAAACGATACCCCAGGCATGCTCGACTGCCCTCCGCGAATGGTATAAAGCTACCGGGGATTGGGCTTAAAAATTCATTCTTGTTACCATCTGTCCTTTGAATCCACCGCTCGGGGTCGAAGTCAGCCACTGGGAATGGCCGCTTCGTGCGATTCTCAGAAGGCATCGGGTCTGTACTGGATTCCCGACGTGGCCAATATTGGGGATGGCGGTGAGTGGCACTGGTGTTCACGAAAGCGACCATGTCCGGTGGCAAGGGATGAACCTGGCCATCAATGATGATAGAGACTGGAGGTCCTGTCGGGGGTACGTATTTTGGAATCACCGGCACGACGGTGAAAAGACGCAACGCTTCATTAATCACAGCCCCTACGAGACTGTTCATCAATGGATTGAAGTGCGCGTCATACGTCCACTGGTCTGGCGGTGTGTCCTGCAGGATTCGATCGAGGTCGGCTTGCATGGCGCGTTGGGTGACGGGGTGGCAGGCAAGAAGCAACATGATGAAAGTGAGGGTGTTGGCATTTGTTTCGTGGCCAGCGAACACAAAGGTCCAGATATTTCCCATTACCTGGTCCTGTCTAAGAACAGCTGGACTTCCGTCCGCGGCTGGGAGTCCAGCTTGTACGAGGAGCTCTAGAATGGGCCGTCAGATTTTGGCAGAGTAAAGTTGGATTCATCAATGTACCTAGGATACTTGAAGCGTTCTTTGATGGGGCAGGAGGCTTCTGTTGGAGCTCTGCCACCTTATTTTCCTTCATCTCGTTCATGTAGCTATGCATTTCAGCAAATGCTGTAGCCACTTGACGATGGGTGGAGAATGGCGAAATTCCTGATGGGTCCCATGTTAGGAATCCAAATGGAGGCAAACGCGAGGGAGTCACATACGGAGAAGCGCTTGCGGACAAAGAAACACGGTCGTATAGTTCGCCAGCAAGGTGAACACAGCTTCACTGTAGGTCATGCAGTGGGTGCCTTGCGGCTTGTCCTTGCATTGCAATGCATTCACCAAGTCTTCTTGGGTTTCCGCCTGATTGCAAAAGCGACTGAGCAAATGAAGCGAAAATTTGGCGGCCAAGTCTCGTAGCTGACGATGGGCCGCCGGCTGTCTCAACGCCCGTGATAATTCAGCACCTCCCTGGACAGCACCAACAAACACGTCCCGCATTGTGGCCTCGGTGAAAAAGGGGGCCGCCGTGCGACGGTATAACCGCGCCTCTGCCCCATCAGTACCGGTCATGGTCGGACCAAATATATTCAATAGGCTCATCAAATGAGCGGGTTTTCCAAGCCGACCATTATGGAAGAGCTGCGAGGACACTGCGGCGTCGCAGGTATAGAGGATCACGTCGCCGGGCGAGACGGCTAGAAAGGTGTCTGCTCCGGCCCGTCGGAAAGGTTCATAGCCATTGTGCCACCCGTCGTTAAAAAGAAGCAGTGGAAGCCATTTCTCCGTCCACAATTCGGGCAGGGCTTTCAGAAGAGGGAGCAGCACCGGTTGGGTCAACAGCCAGGGGGCACCGAGCATGGAACAAGGGACAATCACATACTGGAGGCCCGTCGCTCGAGCCCGAGACACGTTGGCGATCAACGTGGCCAGGCACCAGACCGCCCAGGCGACGGTTAAGACGCCCAATGCAATCAGAATTTTGGGGTAGAGGAATGCCATCTCCTTGTGGGAATACAGATCAAAAGCTCCCCGGGGGACGAGTGCATCAATGGAGATTTAAATAATCACCAATGCGAAGTCGGTGTGTGCGCAGGACAGGGATTAAATCGACTAACGCACACTGCCTCACTGGGGTTTTTCCTTTGTTCGCTCGAACTCGACTTTTGGTTTTTTTTTTTTTTTTCTTTTTTTTTTCCCCTGCTGATTTCCCTCTGCTGACCGACAATGCCCTATTCCTTCTGTTTAGGAGCTTGGATCGGCATGATAAAAAAAGCTACCGAGACCTAGCGTAAGTAAATCGGCGGCAGGGCGGAAATTCCTCGTGCTTTTCCTTCCCGTAATATAATCATCATTCTCTTCCCTTGTCCTAGGAGGATTGGTTCCTATTTGCTATCCGAGACCTTGTACGATGAAGATGTTGCATTGCAGTCATTTTGGCCCCCCGGGTGTCCCCTCCTTTCTGGACACCAGGGTTGAGTGGCCGGAAACATCTAAAAACCACAACCCTAAGCCTCTGCTGTCCCCCCATCTTCCCCCCTCCCCTCCCTAATCTCATGTTCTTTTGGTATCTGTCTATTTGGGTATATCGTCCGGCTCAGAAAGGAAGGACAGTATGAGCCCTCCTCCGCGCGCTGCGACCCCATCACTGATATCTACCACCCTGCTGGTCGTCGCGATCCTCTTCCCTATCCTGGCGACCCTTGCTGTCGCGGTGCGTATCTGGTCAAATATTTCCAAGGCGAAGCGACTGTTTGCGGATGACTGTGTCATTATTGTGGCCCTGCTATGTGCCTGGGGGGTCCCGATTGATGTTTATGTGGCTGCCGGGCTTGGGGGTGTGGGGGAGAGTACCTTGCCCCCGCTTGATGCCGCGAGGGTCTTTCTCAGGGTTCGTTCATTCCCCGACCGCATCGGCCCAGGCCATGACAATGGCTGACATTGCTCCATAGGCCCTGTGGATTGAGATATTTCCACTGATAGCAAGCCTGGTTCTCGTCAAAGTGTCGATTCTCCTCTACTATAGGAGGATTTTTGTTACCCGGTGGTTCCAGATTGCGGTTTGGGTCTATATTGCAATTCTGCTCGCATGGGGAATTGCCTGCCTCGTGGTACGGCTAGCCCTCCCCAGTCCCCATGAATGAATCCTGGAATGAACTCACCGAACTACAGGCCCAAGCGTTGGCCGGGAACCCAGTCACGGCAGCCTTCAATCCACTGGCGGACAATCCACTTCGCTACAATTACAGCCATTTTTCTATTGTCGTTACCGCGATGAGCATGTGCTTCGATGTGATCGTGCTCTGCTTTCCCATTCCTGTGATCCATCGTCTTATGATGTCCACGCGGCAAAAGGTTCAGCTGGCGGGCATCTTCTGGCTGGGGATCTTGTAAGTTGGGGCCGGGCACATGAGCTTCCCTGACCCAACCGTGCAATCAAGACTGACACTACGATCCAGTTGCTGCATTGCCTCGATCATTCGCTTCTATTACGTCTACACGGAGGTCTACGAATCCACGAGCTCCACTGGGACGAATCGCTATGCAGCCGTGACTCCAGGCATCACATGGGGAACGATTGAGCCCAGTACCAGCGTGATCGCTGCTTGCCTCCCCACCTACGGACACCTCTTCAGCGCAAGTCGGAATATTTCCAGCTGGGCTCGAAGTTTGTGGAGTCACGTAGCGAAGAGAAACACCGTCAGCGGCGATCACAGCAGCGGCTCTGGTAGGAAATCTACTACGATCCTCACGAGTATCGACTCTTCATATGGCTCCGATCAATCACACCGTGGGCATCACTGGCAGCGCTTAACACTTGATCAACGTGATCGAGATTTGGAAATGGGAGATCTCGCCTCCAAGGATCACATCCCCTTGGCGAGTGATGTGCAGCCAGTGAGTATCCAAGTCTCACAGAGTTTTACGCGGCAGGAACAGCCAGCTTCACTCCGAGACACTACGACAATGGGTAAGCCTATGGGATATGGTGAGGTCTTTTAATTGTGAGGAATGGCGACTGCATATGATCGAGTGGTAGAGACTATGAAGAGCTTGCAGCCGGTTGCGTGTATTAAACTTTGTAGGAAGATATATATATATAGAGTCGCTCAGGATATTATTTGAAGCGATTGAAAGAATGTCATAGTATAACTAATATTCCTCATGAATCTGTAGGTTCTTCCAAGCAGCCATGTATTCCCTTTTGTGTTACGAAACGCTTAATCTAGCCGGGTATTCTTCTGGCTCCCAAAATGTCCCGTTGTTCATGCCACATGTACCATCATTATGGGCCCTGCCAACTTGAGCTTTGACTGCTAGGGGTACAAATTTGGACCCCAACAGTATCCGTAAAAAAAAGGTGGGGGGGGGGGGGGGGATATAAGACGTCAATGATCCACCATACGGCCCCGTGTTTCACGATCTGGCTCGTTCGGTAAACCCCATAATTTTATCCTTCCGTCCGTCAGATGTGGGGGTATAGATGGTAAGCCCTGTGGTGTATTCATACTCCACTCATCCTTGTGCAGGGTGGGATTACTGCCCTCCCATGCCTCCTACACTCTCACTGTCGTGAACGGCTCCAACCCTTCAACAAATGCGTAGAACCAAAACCCCAAGTTCCTCCCTCCCCCTCCCCCAACCTTACCCTTCCTTCATTGATTAGGCCGGGGGGAGTTATCAGGGGACCTCTAATCATTTTTTTGCCCAAAGAGCCAGACGTTATACGCACAGTCCGTGATGTGGCAGGATTCGGAAAGATTTCATGCTTGGGCCAGCGATGGAGCATACAAGATCACAGTAAAAGGTTTAATAATACCGTACCTAAATCCATACAAAATTCTTCTCGCACGTCAGAGTAGCTCGGGGCTATCGTCTAGGTTCGTGTAATACTAGGGCTATCTCCATGTCTTATTGCACTCCTACGAGTGCACTCCCGATCAAATCAAAGCGAAGCCAGATGGGTGTCGGCGACTAAAGCTCTACGCGCTTTTCTTGACCTCTTTGTCATTCAACACAGAAATCACTTTCGCGACAGATGGTCGTGCCACCATCGCGTTCTGCCAGCGGGTAAAGTGTGGAAACTCCTCTGGTTTCCAGGCATGCTCGCCGGTCCGACTGGCCATGAAAAAAGGGACCTGGAAGTTCCACATCACAAATGCCAAGTCTGCATATGTGCATTTGTCTCCGACCAGCCATTCCCTCTCACTCAAAAAGGTATTCAAGACCCCTGCGACTCGCTTGACCTCTGAGCCATAGCGCACTTTAGCGGATTCCGGGGATTCCCCATACGACTTTTCGTGGAAGATATTGAACCTGTCCGTCCGGGGACCTCCGTTAGCATCTGGATCGACCAAGATGTGTCTATTCTAGAGCTATGCTTGTGTCTGATTGATCACATACCACGCAGCCTGACCAAAGTAGGGGCCCTGGCCTGACGCCTGGAAAAAGGACCACTGGGTCAACTGATATTTTTCGGGAAATGTAGTGTACGTCAGTTTGTTGTCTTTGTCGTATGTGTCGACGAGGTACTTGGTTGAACCAGTGAGCTTCTGTGCCAACATGACATTCTCCCCATAGCCTTACCTGAACAATTGCGCCGGATTCCCAAAGCGTTAATCCGGTATTGGGATCGATAATGGCTAGATTCAATCAGTTTGGAGCTCTTATTCCACCTGCAAACCCCTTGTGCGTCAGAAATACCGGGAATCCGCCCGTTAGGGTTCGCGTCCGTGAGAGGCGGCTTTTTAAACTCGTCCAATTCGACATACAAGGTCTCATAAGGCAAGTCAAGCTCCTCCAGAATGACCAGAACCTTGGAGGGATTTGGGACGTGATCTGGATAAAATGCACGAGGATTAATACGCCTGCCCGCAGCTACTAGAGAAAACAGGGGGAATTACCTCTCCAGAAAATCTTGATCGGCTTTAGGCTCGTCATGGTTCTTTCTAACTCTCGTGTTTCAAAGAAGCCGGTATACGTAAGGGTGAAAAAAAAAAAAAGAAACACATAAGGGAGAAGAGGATTAGGATCCTCTGCATATCTTGTTATACATAGTGGACGTAACCTGTCTGCCCCACCGGCGCGAAATCAATCACTTCGTTAGAGGTATAGTTCTAAGAAGTGGAACTATATCGACCAATCTGTCTAGCCACAGGATCCCCTGGCTAATGGCGCCATCTTTTTGACAAATAACCTACCCTATCGGGGTATTGCTAATCTCGTATCTGTGGGATGAACTTGTTGAAAGATGCCTTGTGTTGTATTCATGCACACTAGATACAAAGAAGCAGGTCGAAACTCGCGGTTTATGCAGTCAGCATTGGACATTCTGCCAGTCATATCACCAGCCAACCTTGGGCCCCACCGTGGTAGTAGGCGCTATAACCGGCCCATGATCAACCAAACCAGCTTCGCAGTTTGGTTTCACTTCTAGGGCCATACGAACTATACTTCTGGATTATTTCATCCAAGCAAACTCCAGTGGGAAAACAACCCTGGTGGCATTCATTAGCCCTTGGTATATAATCATGGACAGGTGGGGGGGGGGAGAGGAGAGGGAGACGCTTCAAACCCCCCATACCTCTCTTCTCCACAGGGTCCGCGTCCCAAGGGCAATCTGTCTTCCAACCGGAGTCTCACCAGCCGGCTGCTCTTAGAATATGGACGAGGCTGTAGGATCTGAATCCATGACCGCTTTAATTGATATTAGGCAGGGGATCTACCAATGAGACATCTCGTGAATGTTACATTGCAGTTGAGCTAAGAGCGGGTCTCCATCGGCCAAGCCGACTTGCAAACACCGAGTTTGGGCTTAATTTCCAGGGATCGTCGGAAATTACGGAAGGCACCCGGTCGATCGTGCTTGATTCTTCGGTTGGCTACCTACTTACTGCGCCTGCTATTGCGAGAAAGATGACGCGAGTCTTCACATGATTGAATTCCGAGAAGAGGCCGCGGATTGTATTGCACCGAGAGTGTTAATAGAAGCAAACAGCAGAATGGTAAGAATTCAATCACTGTACGTGAAAATACGTTGTATCTGTGACCTGTATTGTTGCTCTCGTACCCTGGGGCCTTTTTCAGTAGCTCCCGATAGTAACGAGGCAATATGAATGAGGCAGATCCCGGACAAAGGGGAGCCTTGGGTTATGGAAGCTTGAAATTTCGTTTAGCCTCTACATCCAGTTAATTTCAAGCCCTGAACACGAAAACAAAGAAAATTAGAAACAGAAAGAGAAAAAAGATATCCGCGGACCGAGCAATGGCAGCCGAAAAACGTCGGAAGATGGGGGTAGAGCCCCCTAACCTGATCCAAAGGGCTCAGCAGGTGGTGAACGGAATTTACCGTGGCTGCGAAGCGGTGGATGGCTTCAGTGGATTCAGTTTGTCGCTGTACGATACGGCTTGGGTGTCAATGGTCTCCAAGGCCGACGCTATGGGGGTCCGTCAGTGGGTTTTTCCAGAGGCCTTTGCGTATGTCCTGCGCCAGCAACATGACAACGGTTCTTGGGGAATCAATGCCTCACCTGTCGATGTGATTCTCAATACTATGGCGGGCCTCCTGGCATTACTAGAGCACAACGTGGTGGAGGCTGCTGCAGGCAGAGTTGGTAGTGATATAGGGCCCGCCAACTATGAAGAAAGAGTCTCGCGTGCAATTACAGCCCTATGCGGTGCACTAGAGGGTTGGGATGTTCAATCTACTCTTCATGTGGGATTCGAAATATTGGTCCCATGCCTGCTCCAGCAATTGGCACAGAGAGGGGTCAGCCTGGACTTCCCTGGCAAACAGGAGCTGATGAAGCTTCATCAAGAGAAGCTGTCAAAGTTCAAACCGGAAATGGTCATCTCGAAGCAACAAACCACCCTGCTCCATTCACTCGAAGGGCTGATTGGCAAGGTGGAGTTTGAAACGCTGAAACATCATTGTACGAAATATGGAGGCATGATGGGTTCTCCAGCTTCGACCGCAGCGTACCTCATGCACTCTCCGGTATGGGATGAAACTGCTGAACGGTACCTTCGCAATGTGGTAGAAAAATGCGGATCCTGCGGAGGCGTCCCTAGCGGATTTCCGACGCCAATCTTCGAGTCCTCCTGGACAATATCAACGCTGCTTGGAAGTGGTTATGCAATCGAGGACTTTGCAAGGGAAGACATCCAAGCCATCACCACGTATCTCCAAAAGCTCTTTGAAAAGCAGCACGGATTACTTGGATTCGCGCCGGGCTTTGTACCAGATGCGGATGACACAGCTCGATCTCTCCTCGCGCTGTCATACCTAAAAGTCCCAATGGATCCATCTTCCTTGGTGGATTATTTCGAAGCTCCGCGTCATTTTCAAACCTATAAGCTAGAGCGTAACCCCAGTTTTAGCGCAAATGCCAATACGCTGTTGGCTCTGCTGCGGTCTCCGAGCCCTGCAGCCTATATCCCACAAATCGAGAAAACCGCCAGTTACCTGATTTCCTGCTGGGAGGGTGGAGAGTTGTGCGATAAGTGGAACCTGGCACCTGAGTATAGTGAAATGCTTCTGGTCAATGCCTTTGTTGAACTCATTGCCGCGTGGGGTAAAGGGGATTTGACAAAGCTGTCGACAGAAATTGTTACATCGAAGATCCCGATTGTCCTTTCTCACCAATTGTCAAAGGCACTGGTTCACCAGCATGAGAATGGCTCATGGGACAACTCTGTAGAGAGAACTGCGTACAGCATACTTCTTCTTGCCTACACACTGAAACTACCATGGCCAATATCGCACCGTGAGCTTACCGAGGCCTCGTTGTTCAGAGGAAGGGACTATCTGAAACAGCACGCACATGACTGGTCAGAGGGAGATTATATCTGGATCGAGAAGGTAACTTACCGACTGCCTATGTTGGCTGAAACCTATAGCCTTGCTGCAATGAAGGTTTCAACGGAGGAGACGGCTTGGACTACCCAAGTTAGAGAAATATTCACTCTCCCAGAACAGAAAGGGAGGGCTATGTCGGCCTTCTTTGGACAGCTACCCATCTTTCGAGATACTCCTTGGTGCACAGTGCTCTTGGCTATTACAGAGGCCCATTACTACTCACAGGCTTTGCGGAAAGTCCGGCTTGATGTCTTTCCACGAGACAAAATGCGGATGACAAAGGACAAATACTTGGACTTTATTCCAGTAGCCTGGATCTGTGTTAACACTATTTCTGATTTTCCCCTCTCGAGTGAGACAATGTGGGACATGATGGTCATCTCGATGCTCAACTATCAAGTTGATGAGTACATGGAATCTGTAGTGGGACGCCTGCCAAAGTCAAGCTTGCCTGAGCTCAAACGTGAGATCCGGAATGCGTGCCTCGGTCAGGACCCATCTACTGAACACATGTTCGATGCGTGTACGATAGAAGGCCGACTGCATGGGTTGCCACCGACACCGGAGATGGACGACAGTCAGAGCCACTCAACCCCTCCACATGTTTCTGAGGTGGCTGAAGTGATTTTAAAATATATCAAGCATGTTCGGTATCATCCTTGTGTTGCAGCATGCCCCACGGCCGCACAGCGAGAAGTCCGCGAGGAACTGGATAAATTCCTTCGCGCACATATGGCGCACAATGCGGATAACTCTCGTCTCAGCAATAGTGATACCATCATTGAGGATCTTTTGAATCGATCATACTTTGATTGGGTTCGGGGTACTGGAGCCATTGACACGAGCTGTCCTTACTCGTTTTCATTCTTCGCCTGTCTCATCAGTCGCCAAGGGCGCTCCTGTATATCTTCCACCAAACAGAGATATTTTGCCCGGGCGTTGGCGTTGCATCTTGCCACTATGTGCAGACAGTTCAACGACTGTGGATCTCAGCTTCGAGACCTCCAGGAGAAAAATCTCAATAGTCTCGATTTTGCAGAATTCAATGGGGACGGCCTATCTAGAGGACCAGGCCAACACAAACAGGATCTGATACAACTTGCAGAGTTTGAGAGGTCATGTATGGAGGTTTGCTTTGCAAACCTATCAGCAGAGACCAGTGCCACCATATCGGCACAGATCCAAGCGTTCATCAAAGTAACTGACTTGTTTGGCCAAATATACATTGCGCAGGACATTGCTAGTCGCTTGAAAACTGACTGAGGCCTCTACTAGTGGTGAGCAATCTCGCATAAGCTTGCAGTGGGTTGGGTTTTGTTATCTTTTTTTTTTTTTTTTGTTTGTTACTTTCCGCCCTCGCCCGGTCATGAACATTTAGATACCGCGCGTCTGGAGGAAGTATGTATCCGTGTATTTCATGTCATTACCTGATGCGCACTCGGAATGGGGCAAGCAGTCTATTTTTATTATACTCCGTAGATGCATGTAAGATGATAAGTAAAATTAACCCCCCAAAGCACTGACTCCGTTGTTAGCGCTATAGCTGATGTTACACTGCAGGCTTCGGCGCTGCAGGGGACAGTCACACGAATCCTGCCTCGTCTATATTGCAGGTATCTAGCGCCAACAGTTAAGAGGGCGAGTATTTGTGTTTGGGGGGGGGGGGAGACCAGGTTGCATTGGAATAGTACTGATATTGGTTAGGGTCCCCACTGTCTCTCCACTGGTAGCCACGTACGCCGAGACACCAGGCATTGAAAGATCTATGAGTATTCCTGAATACTCCATTCTCTGTAAAACTCTACACCCATTCCTCCCGGCTATCTCTTCGGGGCTGCTGCTACGCCGTTCATCCACATGGCGAATACAACCCAGCTTTTGCTGGACCTTCATCAGACGTACCCACTTCCTAAAGATACGCTTCTTTCACCCACACAAGCAGTGATAGCCATGGCCATTGTGACCTACCTTCTTTCGTGTGGATGGAGTCAGATGTTTGGGTATGAAGTGCCTCTAATTGGCATCAAGTCTTTTTGGGAGCCCATCGTGGTCTCCAATTTCCGGTTCTTCCTACATGCAGAGGAAATTCTCGCAGATGGATATCGCACGGCAAGTCCATCCCCTTTCCTCAGTCCAAAACTGCGGCTCATCGTACGCGTACCAGTGCAAGGACAAGATATTTCAGTTTCGCCGTGCCGACACGGACATGCTGGTCTTGCCTCCCAAATATGTTGACGATATACGCAAGTTGCCGAATGATGTGGCTAGCCCAACGGTGGCCCACGTTCATAACCTGATGGGGTCTTCTACTAATATGCACATCATCCTGCGCAGTAACCTGCACTTCCGTACGCTCCAGCTCAAACTCACCCCTCATCTCAACACTCTCACACGCCCCATGCAGGATGAGGTGAACTTTGCGATAGAGCAAGAACTCACAAAGTCGGAAGGCAAGTATATAAGGCCCTAAAAGCACCAGACCAAGGAAAAGGAAGAAAGGGTTAACCGGACCACAGATGACTGGGTGACCATCAAGCCATATCATACACTCCTCGACTTCGTTGCCCGCGTCAGTGCTAGGATCTTCCTGGGGAAACCACTCTGTCGGAACCCGGAGTGGCTGGAAATCTCGACGCAGTTTACTGAAAATGGTATGATACAACTCTGGATTATCTCTTTCTTGTTCTGTTTCGTTGAACCGCGAATTGCTCATCATATGACTTAGTGTTTGTCTCACTTGTCTTTCTTCGTCTCTTGCCCATATGGACCCACAAGATTGTCAGTTGGTTCATGCCTTCATCATACCGGGGCACTGCGTATATCAAAAGGGCGAAGAAGCTTCTGGTTCCCGAAATTCTTCGTCGCAGGGAGACAGAGGCAGAGAGAATTGAGGAGCCCGAGGAAAACAAACACAACCTATTGTCTTGGATGATGGAAATTGCCATGCCACACGAAAGCGACCCAGCTTCTTTGGCTCACCTCGAAGTGGTGATGTCCCTTGCATCTATCCATACTTCTCAGATGAATGCTGTTCATGTGCTGTATGACCTTCTGGCACACCCGGAATATCTCGAGCCTATCCGCGATGAGATTCGTGACGTGGTCAAAGAACTCGGTCCGTGGATGACCTGGGAGAAGCCAGCCTTTTCGAAACTTCGCAAGCTCGACTCCTTCATGCGTGAGTCCCAGCGGTTTAACCCCCCTACGCTTCTTTCCATGCATCGCGTCATCCTGCAACAGAGCCAGCTCTCTGATGGAACTGTTTTGCCGAAAGGGGCACATATCAGCATGGCCGTCAATGCCATTCAAAATGACCCGGACGTGACGCCTGCACCTGAGGTCTTTGACGGCTTCCGCTACTATAAACTCCGTCAGCGCGAGGGCGAGGCACATCTCCATCAATTCTCCACAACTCAGGACCGGATTCTGAATTTTGGTCACGGTCCGAACTCCTGCCCCGGTCGCTTCTTCGCCAGTCTGGAGATTAAAGTGATACTTGTCCGTCTACTCATGGATTATGAATTTAAATTCAAGCAGGGCAGCGAACGACCGGAAAATTTGCGGGCGCATGAATTCATCTTCCCCAACCCCGACGCAGAAATCCTGATGCGCCGCCGCCCTGCATCTGAACGACTGGAAATATGACCGAAATATGACACGAACGATTCCCACTTTATGAGACAGAGGGATGGTATTTCCTTATCATCATGAGGCAAGGCGTGGAGGGGTGCAGAAATACAGAAATACAGAAATACAGAAAGAAAGAAAGAAAGAAAGAAAGAAAGAAAGAAAGAAAGAAAGAAAGAAAGAAAGTAGATTACGTACTCGGTATACACCAAGCACACATGGATAATCCAATACTAGTATAGACCCGTAGTGGCATACTCCCAACCAGACTGGGTGGATCTAACAGAGCCACTAACCCCAAGGGTTGGAAATAAATGCCATCCAGTGGATCAAAATAATTTACCTTCGGTCAATCTTACAACTGGCCTAGTAGTCAAAGGGCCAAAACCGAGCAGGGGTTCGCACCAACTGGAAAAAACTACCCTCCGGCTCCTCCTCGAATCCCTGAAGCCCACTTCGGACAGGGATTAGACACTAGCTATCCCCTAAACTGCGACTGTAGTAGAGCTGACGAGTTCACACAGGTCGTGCCATTCCTTCCTCCTGCATATGAGTCGAGGGCGGGTCCTCTCTTGTGATACTAACGTACCTCGGAGTCCGCCTATAGCCAGCCCGCCCCCGAAATTGCGACTGTCCCTACAGCCAGGGTCATTCATACCTACCACTTCAGTCCTCCCTCGGGGGTATAAATGAATCACGGATTCTCCTTTTCCGGATAGTCTAGCGCAGAGTCACCATTTTCCCCATGTCCATCCTGCTACGTTTCATTGTGCTGACGGCAGCGACAGCAGCGTGTCTGTCACAATATGCCACGAATGGTTCGTTCCAGGCTCCTTTCTCCCTTGCCCCTTTTTGCCCTGGAAGATATGGTCCTGATCGTGTCAATAAACTCTGTAGGTCGCTCTGCTTGGGGCACTTTACCATCGCAACATTTCCCGACATTTCTCACCGACGGGGTAAGTATTGAACCTTGGAGAGACAGCTTGCATCGGTTCGACCCCATCCCGCTAATGCACCTGCACCTCAGCCCTTGGGAGATGGACTACCCTGGGGCTCGGCAAATCCAGCTGGAGAACCGCCCAACACAGGGGTGACTCGGCACTACCATTTCAGCATCACGCGTGGCTTCAAGGCCCCGGACGGCTTCAATAAGAGTGTGATCCTCGTCAATGATCAATTTCCGGGTCCGGCGATTGAAGCCAACTGGGGAGATATTATCCAGGTGACGGTCGTCAACAATATTGACAGCCCCGACGAAGGTGCCACCATGCATTGGCATGGTATGACCCTGAAAGACACTCCGTGGTATGATGGTGTTCCTGGTGTTTCCCAATGCCCGATCACTCCCCGTGGTGGTAGGCTCACCTATACCTTCCAAGCGGATCAGTTCGGGACTGGGTGGTACCACTCGCATTACAGTGCTCAGTATGATGACGGGCTATACGGTCCAATGGTGATCTACGGTCCCGTCCAGCCCGAAGTCACCTATGACTATGATCTGGGACCGGTGATGATCTCCGACTACTTCCATATCAGCTACAACAAGGCGTTGGAACTGAGCTTTTCGAAGCCACCGGTGCCATTGAGCGTCGACAATAACTTGATCAACGGCAAAGGAGCTTATGACTGCAACTCTACCAACACACATGGGAGCTGTCTTCCTGGGGCGGGACATGCGAAGTTTCAATTTCAGTCGGGGAAGCGCTATCGACTGCGGCTTATAAATACTGGATCACTTGCAAACCAGAAGTTTAGCATTGACAACCACGAGATGACAGTCATTGCCAACGATTATGTTCCGGTCAAGCCTTTCAACACCAGCGTTGTCACCCTGGGCGCTGGTCAGCGGACAGATGTCATCGTCCATGCTACTGGCTCTCCCACAGACGCCGTGTGGATGCGATCGGATATTGACATGGTCTGCCTCCAAACGACAGCCAGTATCCCTACGGCGCTTGCAGCTATCTATTACGAATCAGCGAACCCCGATCATCCTCCGGAAACAAAAGGCTCGTCATGGGAAAGCAACAACTGTCGTAATGACCCATTGAGTCAGGTCGTCCCATATTACCCATTAGCTCCTCCGGAGCCCGAGACGGTCCAGGCTGTAACAGTCACCGTTGGGTTAAACGGCACGGGATATGCAGTCATGTTCATGGACGGCTCATCCTTCCGCGCCGATTATCACCATCCCGCACTGCTTGATGCCAAAGCAGGAAACTTCTCTTTCCCCACAGAGCGGAACGTCTACAACTTTGGCAGCAACTCCAGTGTGCGGTTGATTCTGAATAATATGTATGGCACTGTGCACCCCATGCACCTACACGGCCACAACTTCTGGGTCCTGGCAGAGGGCCTGGGGACATGGGATGGTGAAATCACAAACCCATCGAATCCACTACGTCGTGACACGCATAATCTCCAGCCCGGAACCCCCGACCAGCCATCCTATGTCGTCCTCGAATGGAGGCAGGATAATCCGGGTATTTGGCCTTTTCATTGCCATATGTCTGTGCACTCCAGCGCCGGAATGGTCATCTTAGCCCTCGTATGTAGCAACCTTTCCTCAACCTGGATATCTAATTCTCACCCAGTTGTGTCTCTTTGTTAATACCATACTTTGCTTTTCTAGGAACAACCGGACTTGATAAAAGAGCTACACATTCCTATGGTCATCCGCCAGACCTGTCATCATTGGGAAGAATTCAAAAGTCCGTCGCTGGTCAAACAGATCGACTCCGGTATATAGGTCGTCGGAGATGATGGGGCGGTACCCTGCCAATTCGTTGGTTGTATCCTTGTAAGATAGACTCGACATAGTTCGCCCTCGCATCAAAATCGCTCCTATTCAAGGACAGCCATGAGGTTAATCGGTATGCGTGCCCAGTATAAACAAAAGATGCTGGCTTACTGCCTCGCTCCAAGAGAGAAGTTTAACTACATACATGCCTCTGAGACACGGTAGGTACTCCCATACAGCCTGCCATTGAGGGGAATTCAGTGTCAGTGAGTCAATAGAATGACTTACTCGACGCGTATAATCTTTTAGGCACCCAAATTTACTTCAACGATTTTATTTGATTTCTTGTCCATATTCAGCCATATATATTTAAAGAGCCAACCTGTGATAGGACCGCTTAGCGGTCGCAATGCTAGTAGTCTCACCACTTGGTACTATACCAGACGAGACCAATGAGCAATATAGAACGCTAAAACTGCTCCATACTAACAAGATAGAGACCCACTCGGCAGAATAAATGCACCATGATCCGAGCACCCCTATTGAGGATCAATCAACAACCATGGCGCTATTAACCGATCTGCCCGTAGAGGTTCATCATCGAATCCTGTCCTCGCTGCATTCTCATCGCGATGTTGCAGCACTCTCTATACAATGTCGCTCACTGCACGCCATTTGTGACATGCCGATGCGCAAGAAATACCGGCGATTGTGCATCGACAGCAATGACAGCAGCTTGAATGAAGCCTTTTCGCTGCTCATGGGAATCCTCAAACGGCCCACTTTAGGCCGGTATGTGCGGCATATTGAATGTATCAAAGGTCCTCCGTGTTTCGATGATTACACCGAGAGAACAAAATCGCTACGAGACCTCAGCGACAAGGACACGCAGCTGCTTCGCAACGCAATCTGTCAAGCAGGGTTCACAGGTTCCGAAACAGGTCGGATTCTCAACATGGTTATGCAAACAGAAGCTGGCGAGGAAAGGCCATGGCCTCCATACTTGTAAGACGCAGTCCGGACAACGGACCCCCAATAGATCTTTCGTCGCTTGCCATGCTAACACTCATCTAGTCCTACGAAGAGCCGAATGGCCTACATCTCACAAGCTTTGACGGCACTGCTTATCTCCGTTTCGCCAGATTTAGAGGCTTTAGCAACACCCCCGCCGTTTTTCAACTACACTGGCTTCTACTGGCCCGAACAAAGCCATGATTTCGAAACAGTCAAATTCCCACTGGAGAGGCTGCTTCGCCAGGTTAATTCCGCGCCAGATGAGATGCCATTCTTGCAGAATCTGCGAAATTTCTATGTCATTAACAATGGTGACGACACCTTCGACGAGGACCGGTTTTACATGCCCATGGACTTTATGGGAGCGATGCACCTGGTCCATCGCTTACCGTCCATGGAGATGATTGGTACGGACATTTTGGAAGAAGACGAGAACGGGGCGCCGAGGCTGGAGCCCAGATCATCGAACATTAGTCGGATCGCCATTCACCATTCGGCGCTAGATATATTTTACCTCGCCAATGTCATATCTTCATGCAAGGTCCTGAGGGAGCTCCAGTATTCCATCGGGGGCAGGGCAATCTCGGACGGAAGTACCCAGAGACTCAATCCCAAGACATTGTTCTTCGCCATCTTGCCGTACAGAGAGACCCTGGAAATATTGGATGTGGATGCGGAGTATTATATTGGTGAATTCAGCCCCGAGACTGTGGACGCTGAGGAATTAGATGAATTGTTTGAGCAAAGTGGTGGCCGACGCGATGCCGACCATGTATGGACAGGGACGCCGTCGGAATCCTTATGGGGGCAGAGCGGATCACTGCGGGAGTTTCACGCATTGAAGCGATTGAGTGTCGGTGTAAACACTCTGATGTACTATGCTCAGGGTGTCAACCTAGCGAAGAGACCGTGTTTTAACCTGGTTGATGGCTTACCGCCGAATTTGGAGTCTCTACTCATTCGGGGGTATCAGAAGGGTGACTGCGATATGCATGACGCTCAGATTGATTCGCTGGTCGCATGGATAGCTAGTGGCTCATCCCGTCTCACAGAGGTCCAGGGCATTACGGAGTGTATCCCGCATGCGGAGGATGTGGACGATCCTGATGATGACGAGGCTCCATTGTGGGCACGAACGACATGGTTTTCGTGAATGAAATTTCAAACTCCTTATGCTGTACCATTGGAGGGAACGGTCTTAGCTAGATGTGTTTGTGTGTTCTTTTAGATACTCCTTGCATGATGTGTGGATTCTTCTACGCCTCAGCTCGTCCCCCCAAACCTGAAGTTATCCAAGACGATGAAAATCCAAACACGACCAGCCAATCATGTTGGAGCAGTGACATGCCCTCGAAAATCTTGGCATTCGCCATGGGCCCTTTTTTTATTTTAAATATCTCGAACTATTTTCGTTCATGATGTCCTGTATATGTGCCAGAAGCGTCTCAATGCGGACTCGCTTCAGTCTAGCATCAACATTCAAGGCCGGTTGGACGACGTGCCCCCGGCAACCTCGACTACCACGCGTCAGATATACAACAATGGCACAGCCAGTTGTTGAACCGGTACGAACGACGGATACCCTCGAGAATATCCATCATCGAGGAGACTTACCAGTTGCTACCTCGCAATCACTCGCTTTACCGGATAGTGAAGATGATCCTGTGATTCGGCAAAAGTATCGCCCGTTCATCCTCGACCATACAGCAACCGAAGGGGACTGGGTCAGTGACCTGGAACTGACGACTGCCCTGAAAATTGCCGAAAACGATTTGAAGAATACGAACCAGAGACTCAAGGTCCTAGTGCTATACGGCAGCCTACGCAAGAGATCATACTCACGACTGGTGGCCTTTGAAGCATGTCGCATCCTCTTCCGACTTGGCTGTGATGTCCGCGTTTTCGACCCGGAGGGCCTCCCCGTGAAGAACGACGTCGAACATGGCCACCCCAAGGTCCAGGAGCTCCGTAGCCTCAGCCAGTGGAGCGATGGACATATCTGGGTCTCTCCTGAGCAGCACGGTAACCTGGTTAGTGACCAGATCACTCCCCATGTATGTTTTCTCTATCATCCGCTAACCTTCTGATGGTAGACCGCAGTCTTCAAGAACCAGATAGACTGGATCCCCCTTAGTACTGGTAGTATTCGCCCAACACAGGGCCGTACACTGGCTATTGCCCAAGTCTGCGGTGGATCGCAATCCTTCAACGCGGTCAATTCTTTGCGTATCCTCGGTCGGTGGATGCGCATGTTTACCATCCCCAACCAGTCCTCGATCCCGAAGGCATACACCCAGTTTCCAGATGAAGGTCAGCCGGAAGACCAGAGGCTGATGCCCAGTGGCAACCGGGACCGTTTGGTGGACTGCATGGAGGAGTTTGTCAAATACACGATCCTGATGAGACCTCACATGGAGCTCTTTGGGGATCGCTTCAGTGAGAGGGAAGAGAAGAGGGCAAAGGAGGCAAAGTTGAATGGAGCCAAATAGGATGACTATGACATGGACATGATCGGCATCAGGCCAACACGTCGACAATCTGGAATGGCATGCATGTGTTAGAAGCTCATTGAAATCATACTCTCTGTACATACATATCCGAACGCATGAATATACTACGCTCGCCAAGTCTATTGCCCTAGACCCAAGGCACCAGATCATTGCTCTCAAAACTATCCGAGATCCCCACTAGCCACTCAACAAGAATCACAGAAGACGATAATTTATATCAGTCCACTACTGAAAGTTGGAGGAAAAGAAACTTTTAGCCGTCTGCAACTGGCGCTTCTCTTCCGGCCGGCCCAAGGCATGCGCCACGATCTTCTTCAGCTCAGTAGCCGTGTTGATCTCGCTCGGCTCTTCACTGAAGTAACGGCCTCCGGTGTTCTGAGTAAAACCGAACATGAGTTTGACATCCTCCAGCTCCGGGATTCCATGAGTGTCGAAGGCCTCCCAGTTGGGCAGAATCGGTTCGAACCGAGACGGTTTACCAGTAACTAAACGTTCTTTTATCAGTTGCAAGGCTTAACCACCGTCTGGACCTTTTCAAAAAACGTACCTTCTTCAAATGTGGCGATCAATTCATGGAATCCAATAAGATCGCTTGCTCCGTGAATAACACGACCGTTCCATCGAGTGGGTTCCAAGAATATGCCGTGCACAATGTCGCCATAATCTTCGGTGATGTTCAAGAAAGGGACCTTGTTATCTCCGCCCCAGTGAGGCACGCGAAATGTCAGGAAACCCTCAGAGTCGGGGCAATATGGGAAGCCTCCAAAGACGGGGGCAACCTCCTGGACAAGAAAGTTTTCGAAGTACCAAGCCGGGTTTACAATAACAATCGTCCGGAACTGGCCAGTCTGTCTCGCGTATTGCTCAACCCGATACTTCACTGCTGATATTTAGGATACGATCCTATCGCGTACGACTGTCAGGCCACTTACTGTCCATTGCCTTCATGCTGACCTTGCCATCGGTCATCTCGGTGCAAGGGGGGCCACCACTGTACACGAAATCTTGCACACCTGCTGCGATTGCTGCATTGACAATTGCCTTTCCCAGATCGAACTCGGTTGGGCCATTAGGGTCTCTCCAAGCCTTGTCGTCGGAGTTGATATTGGCATAGAGCCTGATGCTCCTTGCAAGGCCGCCACCATTTCTGCATGGTTGAACCCGTTTGCCTGGACGACGTCCGCCCCAGCAGATGCCAGGGACTGGCTGGCGTCAGAGCTTCTATCGCGCGTAACAGCGCGGACCTTGATTGAGGGGTTCTGGAGTAGCGAACGGGCCACAGACCCACCTTGCTTGCCTGTGGCGCCGATAACAGCGATGGTTGGAGCCATTGTTGCGGCGCGAAAGGATTGATGGGGAGAGGAGTGAGTAGGCGTGTTAGGGACTTTTTGTCGTCAAGGCAATGTATCTTCTGAGCGGGAGTGGCAAAATGCCATCTCGGAGAAGAGAGACATATGTTTTATCTCTTCTCTCAGACTCGTCCTGCGTCTAGCGGAGTGGTCCTGCTTGATCCACACGTTTTACCGTTCCTGCATACACATTGGAAGCCTCGTTCTGGCTCAGATGCAGATCTCTTTCCTGTATGTACGTAAACAAATGATCACTGCCTAGTCTGATCTTCCTCACTATCGAAGCTACGCGAGACTATCTCGATTTGCCCCCACTTGGCTGCATGTGTATCCATAGCTTGGCGCCAAAAGAGTCATTCTTGGGATTATTATTAGTCCCTTTTTCTCCTTTCAGTTTTCTCCATATTTTGGACCCTTCCCAAAAAAGGCTAATGATCGGATGCAGCCTCAATGTGACCTTAGTTAACTTTAATCTCTGACGAAGTCCTCATCCAGAGCATTCTACGCCAGAGATGCCACGTCTTCTGGAAACCCAAAGTGGAAACTGAAGTGAAAGAACAGTAGAGGTCTGTAACTCAGCCACTGTAGGCGTGCTATCTGGTTTGTGTTGATCATCACTCGTTCCAACGCCTTTCCAGGCTGATCAAAGTGCCCGATTCTCTATACGATCCTGGCTTGGTGACCAGCAATTCCCACTGGCCCGAATCCCACATGTTAACAGCACCATGGCTTTCGAGGATGTTCTGATGGCGAGATTGTAGAATTCAATATCCCCCATGCCCCGCCACGCATCGTAAAAGGAAATACGAAGTGGGATTACTGGCCAACGCTAGGAGACACACGCACACCGCTGCTTTTCAGCTAGAAGATAGACTCCCAGTATCGAGGAAGATGTAACCTCACTCCGCGGTCTCCGAGGATCTGTTCCGAACCACTCCGTAGCCTCAGATCCACCATGCTAGAATTGAGCTATACGAGTGGGTCCCTTCAGCTGATGATGCACGATACGGAGTGTTTACTATCGTATTACGATATACCGCGAATGGCAGTACAGAGATCGAAAACTGAGTACGTACAAGCATCCTAAATGAAGAATGTAGGTCGATAGTTCAAGGGTCTTTGGCTTTGAAGAAAACAGAGAGCTCCACTGATGAGGGCTCGCACGCACAATTCAAGATAAAAGCCCAGCTATGTCCGACTCACCGGAGCTGGTCTTCTTCTTAAGCAGAATATTCAAATACGCATTCTGAATTATTTATATGATTCACGGCAGTGTTCGCTTTTGTCGCTGTTCGGGAGAAACGGGCATATCCGCATGATGCCTTCGACTTACATCAGTCCCCAGGACGAGTATCAACTTGCGGTCAAACGCAACGAGGGCCTTGGTCAACTCTTTTACGAACAGGTCCAACGGCAATCCTCATCATTAGCTGTAGTTGATGGTGGCTCCTCGCTCACATATGACGAGGTACACAAACATGCCTGTCGCGTTGCGAAAACGCTCTCTCTCGCTTCTCTAGCCCTTGAGGAGCCTGTCGGTATCATTGTCAACCATGGTCTGAACGATGTGCTGGCCCAGATGGGGACTCTTTATGCTGGCGGGACCTGTACTCCAATGGATCCAAGTCTTCCGGACCAACAGATACGGAATCGACTGGAGAAGCTTCAAACGCGATTTGTCCTGGTGGATGGTCTAAACAAAACCCGAGATCTGCCATTCACTCAGATCTTACTGGACGATATGTTGACTTCGGACGAAACCTGCACGGAGTCTTGGGAGGAAGATACCTATCCTGTGCTTACGGATCTGTCTCACCGGGCACATATCATTCATACCTCGGGCACAACCAGCGAGCCGAAAGCAGTACAGATCGCAGCGCGTTCCATCTTGCAAGTTGTCTTTCATGCCCCATTTGAGCCAGTCAATGATGAAGATGTCGTTGCCCACGTTAACAAGAGTAGCTTTGACGTTGCCCTGTTTGATATATGGGCTCCGTTACTCCGGGGAGCCCGCATCGCGGTACTGAGTACCCCAGTTCTGTTGGATCTGACTCTTATGACGAAACATATCGACTTACTGGGGATCACTGTCATGGCCACCACAACGGCACTTCTTAACCTAGCTGCGTCGACATTTCCTCGCGCCTTTTCCAAATTACGCCTTTGCTTTATCGGTGGTGAGGCGGCGAATGCTGCAGCCATTCAAACCATCTTCAACGAAGGGCCCCCAGCTATGTTGATCAACGCGTATGGTCCCACTGAATGCTGTATCTTTTGCCTTGCACACCAGATCACCCCAAAGGATCTACGAGCAGGCTCTGTCAGCATCGGCAAGCCGATTGGTCAAACGATTGCCTATATTGCCGATGAAGCAGGGAAAGAAAGCGATGAAGGTGAACTTTGGATAGGGGGAGCTGGTGTTTCTCCGGGCTATGTCGACCAGCCTGAGAAAAATGCCGAGTCCTTTATTATAGTTGACAATACAGACACACCTTCCAATGGCCCCGTTCGGTTGTATCGTACTGGTGATCTTGTTCGCCGTCGCCAAGATGGCCAAATTGATTATATCGGCCGAAGAGATCATCAAGTCAAAATCCGCGGATTCCGAGTTGAGCTCGGAGCCATCCAGTCCAGTCTGCTCAGAACTGGTCACTTCTCTGAAGTCGCTGCGATGAAGGTCGAACTCCCACAGGCAGGCGCCGGATCACTGCTGGCTGCCTACGCTACTCCTGCTGATCCAAACAGCCCTCCGGAGACCGCTTTGGTGTTGAAAGACCTCAGAAATGTTCTCCCAGATTACATGATCCCTCAGCTGGAAGTGATCCCAAAAATGCCTCTCAATAGCCATTGCAAAGTGGATCGCAGATATTTAGCGGCACTGTTTTGCCAACGGTGGACGGACCAACAGCAAGATGCAATGTCTTATTCGCTTTGTAAAGATACTCGATCGATTTTAGCCGGGCTTTGGGCCAACCTGTTAGCCAATCCACGGCCCACTTACGAAGATGAAGATGACTTTTTCGCCTTGGGTGGCACTTCCCTGCAAGCATCGCTACTAATTAGCCAAATCCGACGCGCGTTCTCGTGCGAAATTTCTCTTTTGGCTCTGTACGATAACTCAACCCTTGGTGCTCTTACCAATATCATCGATCATTGCCCTAAGGACGGGAGCTTCGCGACTGTTCGCAACGAGACTGATATTTGGGTCGCCGATTCAATGCTTGCTGACGACATTCCCATCCCAGTCGGACCACCTGTGAACTGGCAGAGCGATATTGAAGGTCGGGTGTTCTTTACCGGTGCTACGGGGTTCGTTGGCGCTTTTATGCTGGCAGACCTTCTGCATATGCCGAAGGTCCACCAGATTGGTTGCCTGGTTAGGGCTAAAGACGCAGAGGTGGGCATGAAGCGCCTGGAAACTGCCTTAGCCAAGTACGGTCTCTGGGACGAGCGGTTTCGCTACAAACTATTGGCCTTCCCCGGTCTACTCGAGGAACCATATTTGGGTCTCGGGCAAGCGCGCTTTAACGAGCTAGCTAATTGGGCAAGTGTTGTGTTTCACCTTGGTGCTCGTGTCAACTATACCCAGCCCTACTCCCTACATCGCCCGGCCAACACACTTGGAACCGTGAACGTGGTTCGGTTTGCCTGTGCTGGAAGGAATAAGCCCGTTCACTACGTGTCTAGCATCTCCTGCTTTGGACCTACCGGTTTCGTGACCGGCTCCACTACCGTCGGTGAGGATGAAGCCCTCTTACCACACCTGAAGGCTCTTGCCTACGACCATGGTTATGCGCAGAGTCAATGGGTTGCCGAGCAGCTTTTGCGGCGTCTGATGGGCCGTGGATTCCCGATTGCAGTGTACCGTCCTGGATTCATCACCGGACATAGCCAAACCGGCGCCTGCAACCCGGATGACTTTTTCAGCCGTCTGATCTTCGCCTGCCTTGAGTTAGGATGCTACCCCCAGCTCCCTAACCAACGTAAGGAATTCATTTCTGTTGACTATGTCAACTCCGCCATTCTGCATATTGCTGGCGATCCGGCCAACCTGGGCCATGCTTTCCATATTGTGCCGCCGACCAAAGACAACATCGATATGGATGCGTCCATGGAGCTCCTGAATCAGAAGACTGATTCTGTCGTCGAACGCGTGCCCTATTCGGAATGGATTGACCGTTTATCGTCCAAGACACCAAAATCATTGCAGCCGTTGCTACCCATGCTAGCCGAGAAGGTCCAGGCCGGTTTGACGAGATGGGAACTTTACGAGAATATGCCACAATACCAGACAAAGAATCTTATGAGGGCCTTGCAGGACTATCCAGGAGGCCTGGAGTTTCGTCCCCTTGACTCTGCCTTGATGGAGAAGTACGTGGATTATCTACGGAGGCATTCGTCTTGGGTGGTATGAGATCGAGGTCCGAGCTTGGTATGGATCACATACCTTACCTTCTATTGCATATAGTTCGTTACTATTGTTGAATTACGGGTTCGGCTTTGAGATCCCTCTCTGCTGTGTTCCTGACTACAGTTTAAATTCTGCACATAGTTCCTTTCAATCCTTTTCTTCTTTCCATCTTTTGCTGTATTGTTAGAGTAAGGCGTGACAAAACGAGGGCTAGAGATTGGACTAGAGGTATCTCATATGATTGACAACTGGCATATTTAATTGGTTGCCATTAGGTGCGACCCAAAGTGAGCGCAAATTAGTGAGATTCGAGTAAGCAAATGCTTAAGCTTTACGATGTAACATAATCGATACCTGCAGGCTTGCAGCCGTACCCACTGTAGCTCAATAGGATCAAGCCATAATGTACGAAATTGATAGTCCCAAACTAGTGCCACTTCATACATCTGTAAAAGCATTACCGGTCTATCAAACCATGGAGGTGAATTTCCGAATGACGTATACTGTCCTTCATCCCGAGCCAGGAACCAAGCGATACCCTATATAAGACACACCTGGGACTGCCTCACGTCTTACTTCTTTTTATTTTGCTCGAGAATCTGGACTTCCACCGTTATACCACTAGCTATGGAGTCTCTACCGCCATCTATTGATTCGTTCTTGCCCACAGGATATCTGGGTTGGCTTTTGCTGCTCGTAGGGATTGTAGGATTGGATTGCCGCTCCATTATATGGACTTTTTTTTACTAACGTTAGTCTCAGTGGGTATGTTTCCATGTCGGCCTTGCCTTCTATAATATCTTCCTCCACCCACTGCGCAAATATCCTGGACCAGTCCTCTGTGCTGCTACTCAGCTTCCGCATTCATACCATTTGACCGCCGGCGACAGCTGCAGGTGGATTGCCAGGCTGCATGAGAAATTCGGCGATGTCGTCCGCATTGGACCCCGAGAGCTCTCATACACCACCACCTCCGCCAACCGAGCTATATTCAACAATCGCCCCACAGAAGCAACAGTGTACGAGAAAAACCCGGTAGTCTGGCTGCAGGGCTCCGGAGTCAGCCTCAATATATTCTTTGCCCGCCACAAGGAGCACATGCGATACAAGAAGCTGATCGCGCCGGCGTTCTCGGAGGCAGCAATCCGGGAACAGGAGCCGACTATTCAACGCTTTGTCACGCAGCTCATGGACGGGCTACGCGTGAGGTCCGGTGAGAATATGTATCCCGATGCCAACGGGGTAGTGGACTTGTATGCGTGGTTCAACTTCATCGTCTACGACGTTCTCACCAAGCTCGCGTTCGGTGCCGCAGTGGGCTGTCTTGATCGCGGCGATTACCATCCCTGGGTCCGGGCCGTGTTTGGCGCCATCAAACACTCGCACTTCGAGCAGGCTGCTCACAGACTCAAGCCGTATCATCGCCTCCTGGAGAGGCTCATCCCGTCCGACGTCAATGAGTCGTACTCTACCCACCTTCACTTTTCCCATCAACAGCTGGAGGAGCTACAGAAGATTGTTGAAGACCCCAGCGCCAAGATCGGGAGAGCAGAATTCGCTTCCTTCATGCTCAAGGGCATGAGTAAAGAGGAGCTGGAGGATAACGTCAACATCATCGTTGCAGCAGGCGCCGACACCACCGTGACTGCTTTGGCTTCTGTCACCTACTATATCAGCCACCATCCGGACAGCTACAAGGAACTGACCGCAGAAATCCGCAACACATTCACGCAGGAAAGTGATATTACAGCAATCGCAGTCGGCCAATTAACATACCTTAAAGCCGTGATCAAGGAATCTCTACGCTGTCACCCCTCAGTCCCCGTCGGGCTCCATCGTGTCGTTCCCAAGCAGGGCGGCATCATTGATCAAAAATGGGTGCCTGGTGGTGTAAGCAATATCCCCTATCCCCATCCACACGTGTCAATTCTTAACCTGAAACCTAACCCCCTCGCAGACATGGGTATCAGTCTCTCCGTACGCGGCATACCGCTCGTCTCGACACTGGCGCGACCCGGAACGGTTTATCCCAGAGCGCTGGCTGGGCGAAGACGCGGCCTTTACAGACGATGATCGGGATCTGTGTACTCCGTTTTCAATCGGTCCGCGGAGCTGCATTGGAATCAAGTGAGTGACGGCGGCAACCGGCCTTCCCTCTCCGAAGAACCCGATCCACCTGCTTAGATGGACGCTGACCCAGGATCCCAGCCTCGCGAATGTCAACATGCGGCTGATCATTGCCCGATTGCTGTGGAATTTTGATCTGCACGCCCAGCCGGATAATGCCGATCCCAGTGAACACCAAGAGTTCGGTGTTTGGGCGGGTAGGCCATTGCGTATTCGACTCACGCCTGTGAATCATGCCCCGTGAGCTGAGTGTTTTTGCTGGCTGGGTTTTGGGCACTTCCTGCGTGACGTACCGATGCTATTCAAACTGAAAGGGGTAACATAGGGGCGTTGCGGCTAGGGAGGGAGACCGCAGTGATGATCTGCGTATGTTAAAGGCGTCGAATGGCCGTCAGTGAGGTGCTGTCTCCAGGCTTGGTGCCATTGCACCCTGATACAAAGGAGGGAACTGGTGGATTGATGAGTCTTGGTGCCGTTGGTAAGGTGTTTACTGTCAAAGGTCTACTACTGTCGAGGAGTATATTGTTTTGTAACGGAGGACCTACTGCACAGGGTAGATATAGCCTGTCAACTAGATATAGGATACATAGGCGAATAGGAAAGAAAGTGTCTATTGGCTGAATAATGGAACGAATACAAGAGACACCGACTCTTGCCCCTTATTCCTACGTCTGCGGTACTCCTTAAATAGCTTCGAATCCTCCCCTTTCCGCTAAGTCTATCTCGTTGTATGAAGGACTAATTGGTCAGATGATACCTTTCCTAGCTAATTCTAAACTGTAACGGAGGCCAGAGTCTCTGTAGGGATGACCAGGAATCCCGTGTCCATGCAAAGGGCACCGGGCTGTAGGGGCCCGGTAGCCCTGCCGGATATACCGGCCGATTCGGTATCGGATCCGTGACAGATATGCCGATTATGATATAGGCTACTATGTAGAATGGTGGCCGATCAGAATTCGTGATACAGGGTAACTAGAATAGGATGAATTATGAAGAAATTGAGAGTCGAGATTATTCTACGAATCCCTACATTATCTGTCTACAAAAGCGTCTTCTACTAATGTATGAGTCTGGAACTAGATTCTAACAAGTTACAAGATATATATATCTAGGCATGTGCAGATGTAGCTAGAAAGACATAGTATCTGATTCTGGGTTCTAGTGCAGTTACTCTATTTGTCTGATTTTAATCTTAGTCAAGGTTTCTGGCACCTACTCCAAAAGATGCTAAAGAAGGTCTGTCCTGGGCCTTTTCTAGATAGGGTATTAGAAGTAGATATTGGAGTGCTTTCAGCAGCCTGATGAAACGTATGGAATGCTTCGACTTCGGAAGAATCCATTATGGGTTCAAGCTTTGGCGTCTAGACACGAAATCCAACCCAGGTAGGTTTTGGGTCCGACCTTCTATAGCCCAACCCATGCAAAAATCTATGATGGGTTGGGTTGGGTTGGGTTCGGGTTTGAATGGGTTCTGTCGAATTCTAGGAATACCCTTGATCAGGATACTATAGATTGTCTATTTCTAGCCTGGCCATGCAGAATTCGAGCTGTATATAAGATATATAAACAGTGTGCTAAGTACTGAGCTCATCAATCTATCGAGCATATCTTGAGCTCCAAAGCCTTTAATTCAGTTGAGATATCGAGGTTTAAAAGCGGCGCCTCGGAGGCCGACATCCGGGGGTTGCAATACTTTTGACCTATCACTTAAGCTAGAACGAAACAACCGAAACGTGGATCTGCTTCAGTCCATGTCTTGAGAAGGGCCATTCCTAACCCTATGCTTCTACTAATGCCTCTAACAGTCTCAATAAGAATAAGGTTAACGTAGTACATTGTAAACACGTTGTCCAGAGGTAGCCAGTGCATTGAGGACATTGTTCGCGAGTCGTCCGAAGGGACGTCCGTGTCGGAGGCCACTCTGCTTTTGTAAGGATGACTTTGTGAGAGTAGCCACCCTCTCGATTATTTCTTTTGACAAAGTCAAGCCTGATTCAGTAGAAGAATTTTCTTAGAAATCGTTCTTTGCATCGAAATGGAAGCGATGCGTCAGCTGTAAATGTCGGAATGGGTGCGCGAGGTCCATTCCCAATTAGACCAATAGTCGGACTGCAGGTCTGATATATCACATTGAAGGCCGTTGTTTAAGAACAAGTATCTGGAAGCCCAGCCATAACGCAGCAACTTCCAAGCGGCTCACGCGATATGTGGCTTAGGTACGGCTGAGCGGACGGGAAGCCCTGTTCTCCACACCTTATGGCCGGATGCACCGTGCTACTCTTAGAGAGAAATGATATATTGCCGTGCCTAGTTGAAGAATTATACGACGAGTTGTACGTATCATGTGGAATTTATTATCACCATGACCATCAACAAATACAAAACAAGTCTCAGAACATCGCCATCCTACTCACATCCAGAAGAGAACTTTGCCCAAAATGAGGCATCATATTCGTCCATAAGCTCCGTATATTCCGGGCCTGCAGCAGCCCAGCCTTTGATCCCACCTTCCAGGACCAGGCTCTTCAGGGCCGTGTCTCCTTGATCCTGAAGATAGTCTGCGAACCAGCCGCCGGCCCGCGTGCCACGGCCTGCGGATGACCCTGTAGATACATCAGTAACACGTCCCCACGTACTACTATAATCGTCTAGTGAGAGAACGCACCACAATACCAAATGATATTCTCCACCTTACTCGCCGATAGAAGCGTGTATAGGGTAGGAATGGTGGGATAGAGACTCTGGGCGGGGAGGTTTAAGGAACCCCGGATGGTGCCTCCCTATGTATCTTTGTCAATTGATATCCGTATGAAATGTGTTAGGTACCCGGCTTACCTCGAAATCTGCGCGTCGCAGATCTACTAGCACAAAGTCCTTTCCCGGTTGTTTACCCTCCTTGAGCCATTGCAGTAGCTCATGGCGGGGTAGCTTGGCTGCGACGTTCCTGGGGGCCGGATAGGCGGCGTGCCATGGAGTTTGAGGTGTGGACATATTGAGGAAATATGATTGTTGCTCACGAGGGAGGATAGTGGAATGTAGACATTATCGTAGAAGGTCTTGATAGCTGATAACTTTAGTAGTTGATCCCCATCTCCAAATAGGGCTAGGGCGGGGTATGTCACTCCTATGCTTTCATTGGTTGTTTGAAGAGCAAAGTATCCACTAGGCATTGACCAATCAGCAGTGACCAGTGACATGCCTTGAGCATCAAAAATCTACTACTACTATACTAGTAGTACTGTACAAGGGATATAAGTCACAGAAGAAGACTCCCATCTCCAGTACTTGTATAACTCCACTCTATACGGAGAGTGTGTTTATTTTTAATTTTTAATTCTACTACCGAACGGTGCTTCTGGCCAACAAACATTACGACCAAACTTCTCTAGCAGGTTCACCTCTACTCTCATGCCATCTCATCACGAACAGTGAATCAACAATGGCATGTGCGAAAGGCCAAACACATCCGAAATACTCTGCGGATCCCGCTATGGAGACACCAGGGCCAACAACAGATGTGGAGAAACAAGCGGACGCAGAGTCCTCAGAGAGGCCTCAGGAAAAGCAATCGGCCTTCAAGAACCTCGGGCTCCTGGACCGATTCCTCGCAGTATGGATCTTTCTAGCCATGGCAATTGGAATAATCTTGGGCAACTTCGTCCCCAACACCGGGCCTGCGTTACAACAGGGGAAGTTTGTGGGGGTGTCAATACCTATTGGTGAGCGTTCCTGGTAATCTTCTTCCTTGATCGCCCAATTGCTGATCCCATTTTGACAGCCGTCGGTCTGCTCGTCATGATGTATCCCATTCTATGCAAGGTCAGATATGAAAGCTTGCATCATGTCCTCGGTGCTCGGGGGATCTGGGTCCAGATTGGCTTCAGTATAGTTGTGAATTGGATCATCGCTCCCTTTTTTATGGTATGTCTTCTTACGCTTCCCAACTTGTTCAGCGTCTAACAAGATTTTTAGTTAGCATTGGCTTGGGCATTTTTACCCGATGAGCCCGAGTTACGACAGGGACTGATTCTTGTTGGACTGGCACGGTGTATTGCTATGGTAAGTTAATTCTCGCCCCTAAACCTCAGAGCTTAAGGATCTGTCCCCAGAACGTCGAAGCTCACAATAACTAGGTCTTAATCTGGACAGGCCTCGCCGGAGGTGACAACGAATACTGCGCGATCCTCGTCGCCATCAACTCGCTCCTCCAGATGGTCCTCTTCGCACCCATGGGAGTATTCTTCATCGAAGTAATCAGCGGCGACACCATCACATTCGAATATAGCACCGCCGCCAAAAGCGTCGCAGTCTTCCTCGGAATCCCCCTTGGCGCTGCAATCCTGACACGGTTCGTCCTCCGCTGGACAACAAGCGAACGATGGTACGACCAAGTATTCCTGAAATGGATCAGCCCGCTGTCCCTTATCGGACTCCTATTCACGATCCTAGTCCTCTTTGCCTCGCAGGGTCGCCAGGTGGTGCATCAGATTGTCTCTGTGATCCGGGTTGCGGCACCGCTCATCGTTTATTTTTCTGTTATCTTCTTTGCAACGCTTTTTATCGCGTATAAAATGGGCTTTGGGTACAGGTTGGCAGCCACGCAAAGCTTCACCGCGGCGAGCAATAACTTTGAGCTGGCTATTGCTGTGGCTGTGGCGACCTTTGGGGAGAATAGTAATCAGGCTCTTGCTGCTACTGTCGGGCCGCTTATTGAGGTTCCGGTGCTGCTGGGACTGGTTTATGCTGTGAGGCTGGTGGCGAAGCGGCTGGGCTGGAAGGATTGATTAATATGTAATATAGATTAGGATCTGTAATTAGACTAAAATCCTTCATTTCCCTGATCGTGTGCAAGACCAGTCTGAACTAACAATGTAGCCATGATCCCCTGCTAGAGAGTATTGGTGGTCAAGCATTTGGGGGCATGTAGTCAAACACTTCCACTTCATCCGTGATCGGGAACCCGTGAAGACCTTCGAAAATATCGTTATTCCACGCTGTATCCTGGAAGAGGATTTGCAGGGCCGGGTCGATGGCAAATGATGTCGGATTTGGGTCATCTGTTACCAGAACAGGCTGTAGCTGGGTGTGGTCAGCGCGAACATTCGCATTGGGCCTTGTGCCCGAAGGAGTCATGGAAGACTGTTGAGATCGCTCCGATTGGTCTCTGATTCTTTCCAGAACAGCCAAACATCGCGTTGCAGCCTCGTTATTCTCGCTCAGCTGGGCCAGACAGTCGCGCGCCCTTGATAGAGAGAGAGCCCACAGTTCCTGGTTCACGGAATCCGAGCTCGTATCCAGGGGCTGATGCGGTCTCAAGTAATGGATGCTCAGAACAATGGTGGCCTGGAATAGAAAGTATGTGGCATACCAGCTCAGACCGACGTGGATGTTGTCGCGGTAATCCAAGCAGAACGTTGTAATGTCTTGGATGGTCTCGATCGCAACGTAGTGACATATGTTCTGTGCTTCCTCAACATCCGATATTAAGCTGCACAGGCGCTGGCTCCCCCACCATAGCATCATTCTTAGATTTTGTTCTTTCCACCCGACAACTGCACGCGGGCCTCGAAACCAATCTGGCACGTCTTGTGCGGTGAAGTACACAGGCAAAGAAAGCCTCCAAGCCTTCAGTCGATGATCCAGTGAGCGAGAGATTCTCAAGTCGAGGATGTTCTCTTTCGGGGCGGAAATCACATTACTGTAGATGTTGTTTCCGATGGAGGCTAATCGCGCCTGTGCGATTATGGCGGAATATGTTGTAGGCCGGTCTGATGGTGTCGGGAGTATCGAGGTTAATGTGCATGCCTACAAGTCCAATCAGCCCTTTTTTTCTTAGCCAAGGATAATGTTCTATCTTACCGAATCGTCTATGTTGCGGGGGAGGCAAGTCTCGATGAAGCTATCAGAGGCCATGACGGGTCTGCCAGTAGTAATGCCAAACCCACTATCGAAACAATACACGACCCACCAGATGACCCTTCTTCGCTCATGGAACAGTGAATCAGTCTTCGCTGCGGCGGGCGGCTCGCGATGAAGTCCCAGGCCAAGGGCCATGCGGTACGCTATTCCGATGAAATTGTATCCTGTATTCGGCCGATCCCGCTTCTGGAGGTAGTTCCCCTTATTCTTGTCAGTATACTAAGCGAGGTGGTTATCATCGACGGAAACTGACAAATAAGAGAAACGCTTGCACCGTGAGGAGTGTTCCGGACTCCAACATATGCATTGACATACGCGATCGTGCGGCGGAATAATATTGACATTCTCTAGAGCCAGACGTGCCGCCGAGAAGCCAGTTCCCTATCGCCAGGACGATGTAGAATATTGAATGCCAGCTTGACCGATCTTGAAGCTGATGGCGATCTTGATACTGTTGTCGAAATGTACTCTCATGCAAAATCGGGTACGATGTATTATAATACGTGAAATATGCGTTGACTAGACCATCAAGGATGGCGGTGGTACCCAGATGTGCTGAACGCAGAAGATCCGGACCCCTATCAGAGTCTTCAGCCACGACCTGAGTCCGCTGATTGGTCTCTACATCAGAACTCTCAGGGATCAGACCTGGCACGTTTCTCAAGATACTAGACCCTGCGCTGTTGCCTAGAAATACGATTAGCTCCACGTTAGTAGACGTAGATTCCGTGCAACCCACCGAGATAGCCAGCTTCCGCGCTCCCTGTGGGCAAAGATGCCATGCCATCCAGACCCACTCTTCGAAGCTCAGCAGGAGACCCTAGTGAAGCTTCGGTCCATTCAAACTCATCTACCGAAGCGGGGCTCATTCCGTCAAAAGCCGAGGCATGCAGGCTACTTCGCGGAATAGTCGTCGTCTTCAGTGCGTCCTCGATATCAACATCCGGGTTCAGCCGATGCAAAAGCGCAGTTAAACTGGCGCAGCGACGTTCTATTTGATCCATATTTCTAGATACTTGTCAGATAAACCGCCCGACCAGGGCATGATACAACACCCACTTGCGCGTCAATGGCGTTCGTAACGATGGACGGCCGAAGATGCATGGTTTATTGGCTCGGGAACAGTACGAGCATGGCGGCGTCCCGGAGCACTGTGGGGCGTGTGAGCAGGTAAAATCCAAGTAAGGAATTGACTTGGTGTAGTTACCTTGCTTTTACGTTTCTATAATGTCTCGCACAATATGTAAGTCAGATACTCTTTACTCCAGTAATGCTTTTTCTCACCCGACATTCTGTACACTATCGCATGTTAGTTGCATAGCCAGACAAACACCGCATGGCAACTTACTGCTCGCAGCTCGTGCGGACCAGGTGGAGAAGTAGAGCATTTCGGCATTGTGGGTGCAGGGGAATTTCACACTAAAAGGCAATATGATCGAATGTCTCACAATATTCTAAATCGAACTGGTCATTGATATGGCTAGTATGGAGATCGATTAGCATGCCGGAGGAAACGTGGGTATGAAGGATGCAAACATCCCGAGACGCCCGAGAAAAAGGCCTGCGCTTCCAGGTGACTAAGTCGAACCCTAATAGCCATCGTCTGGTTCTAGATTTTTGTCTTTCAATGTGCTATTGCATTTATACATATCTGCTGGTCTGTGGTTACTATTTGAACTGCAATACTCAAATAGTATAGTGTGTGCCTAATACTGAGCTAATCTCATGTCACAACCTCCGGCTCTGAAATATAGAACGTTTATGAATATATCATGTCACAATAGTAAAAGTTACAAGCGCAGCTACTTAGTATCCCAGATATTGGACCTTCATTTACTTTCTAAAAGAGAATTTATATTAGAAGCTTTCACCCAAAAAACATAACAAAGTCGCCAGCAACTAGGTGTTTGGCATGGCGGAGCGGTGGATAGGTGCAAGATCTTGATTGGGATTGTCGTGCCGAAATGGATGAGCTCAAGAGATCGAAACAAAGAGAAAACGCGAGAAAGGGGACTAATAATGGCATTGCTACGCTTTAAGAAAACAGAATCACTACTATAATGTACTAGCATTTCATCGCGCTCATCACTATCTTCAATAGTCTCCGCTGCCACGACAATCCCATAGCCTGTGATACCCCACGGGGATATCCCGACGGAGAACAGTTGTCCGACGCTGACAGACCAGTTCATTTTAAATTCTTGGACTAAGGGCAACAGTATCGTGGAGTTTTCTTTTCTGTCATTAGAGGGACTCGTGTTCGGGCGACAGGCAGCCGACGGAAGTTGTAACCGGTGGGTCTAGCTCCTCTGGCGAGAGCATCGATTTGTTCAGTTCTGAAATAACCGAGAGCCAGTCAGACAGGCACACACCACGGAAGGCCTTACATGGGAATATGATTTGTTACTGCTCAGCATGCTGTCGCACGGGGATGTGCTGGAACGATGTGGAAGCAGCCGGAAAGTAGGAACATCGGAAGGCGATTAGAGATATAGAACTCGTGTTCTTTTGTTATTTGTGCTCGGCTTAATCAGAATCATGCTATGCGAACAATAGAGGAGTAGTGTTACTAAACGTGGTCTATTAATATTCATTTAATGCTAAGATCTGCTCAAGGAAGCGTGTATCCTCCATCAATAATGACATCACTTCCAGTAGTATAAGTAGAAGCATCACTAGCAAGGTAAAGGTATAAACCCTTGATTTCCTTAGTATGTCCCTGGCGGCCGAGAGAGGACATACGATAGGCCTCGTTAATCGCAAGTGGCTTGCGCCCATCTTAGTGTCGAAAAAGCCGGGCGACACGATATTAACGCGAGCGAACTCCCGCCATTCCCGGGCAAGGGATTTTCCAAAATGTGTAATGAAAGCCTTGGTGGCGTTATAAACCGGCTGGTCGGTGGGTACATTGACAATGTGCGCGCTCATGCTGGATGTTATTATCAGGTTTCCGCTGCCTTGACGCTGGAATACTTCGCCGGCGTACTTGGCGCAGAAGACAACGCCGTCAACTACGTGTTGGGTTTAGTATGGTGGACGTCAATTCTAAGGGTAGTGAAGTCTTACCGTTGACTGACATCTGCTTCTGATATTCGTCTAGCTTTTGTTCCAATATGGGCTTTGAGATAGCCATTCCTGTTCAATGTCAACTTGCCGTCCCTAACATCGTTGTTACAGATTGAATGTCTTACCAGCATTAGCAACGAACACATCGATCTTTCCGAAATCCCGAACAACCTCTGCAATAGTCTTCTGCACTTGTTCGGCGTCCGAGACTATAAGACTGGAGTCAGCGGCCGGTGTCGACCACCGAACATGCATACAACTTACTATCAACTTTGTAGGCAATGGCCTTAATTCCGTGGGTTTGGGCAAGAGCCTCAGCTTTCTTAATAGCGGCATCATTTCTTCCCAGATCATATTAGCCCGTTGCTATGCGCATTGTTTGATAAGTCCATGACTCACGAATTATACCAGAGGGCAACGTCCGCGTTCGCCTCCGCCATGGCCTCTGACACCGCATAGCCGATACCGTCCGCCGCGCCCGTCACCACGGCTACCCTTCCCGACATCTTGAATTGTTCCAAGACATTGGCAGGTGTGTTCGGGAAGGGCCGGGGGAATCCATCACGGATCTTTGCGCAGTCGGCTACGGTCATAGACATTTTGACGGTTGTGGATGGAAATTAATGAATGTGTGTAGTGTTGAGAGCTTAGATACAACGACAAACAAGCTACCTACTTATAGCTGGCCTGGAAGAGTTTCATTTGAATATAACTCATTCCACTGAGGAGTAAATCCGATGCTTGTGGCTCACTGACGGGTAACTGTGTACCGATCCCATAGGTGACTGGGTGAGAGTCTCTACGGGCCACTGTACCCCGATTACCGTACCAGGTGATTATCATAAACATATACCGACGAAAATACCTTGGTGTTGTGGGTTATATTTTCTCTTTTTGGTACCGCTATGCTCCATCTCTCATGGTCCCTAAGTGGACCTGCGGTCAGGGCGTCCATACCGACCTTCACAAGAATGAACCTACATGCTAAAACCCAAGATGCAGATGAGTATCAAGAAAGCCCTCTGTGTTCTTTTCTACACAGAAACGAACAATATATCTACCCTGATAGCTCTTTCCCAGGGGCGTCCGGCTTTACCAGACCTCTAGGAATCCCCATAGGCAGACTATCCTTTGCCGTGGGTATTCTGAGTTGTTTATTTCCTACCAAGCAGCATGGATGACATGCAACTGTTCATTGATTCGGTTGAATGGATAGAGGAGCATTGTTCGGGTCCGGTAGGATCAAGGTGGATATGGGAATTTGGGTTAGGGTTTGTGTCATGCGTAGTGGAATCTGTCGGGACACAGTGCGCCGATGCATGTCGGCGAAGGCTAACCTGGCCACTAGGCGTATCGACATTGCGAAAATCTAGTATTATACCTAGCATTTACCTTTCTTAGTTGTAACAACATTGTACGTAACAAAATGAACGAAATAGCTACAATTCTATTCTAAGCTGAGGTCTGGTTGCCAGGAGGCCTGATTAGAGGGCCTCAACAGCCCTACATTTATGTGGACAACTATTCACCAACCCACTCCGGTTCAACATAAAGATAGCTATTAGCTACTAGGTTATAGAAATGTACATTCCTCTGCTGGTACGAGCATACAAGCCACCGTCTGTGATCATGCTTCAACGTTTTCCACATGGCTATCGGCGTCCTTTTCTTGCTTCCCATCAAATCCAGCCCCAACACCAAGCTGTCTGTAAATATTTGCCAGTCGCATCGCGTCTTGTTCCCCCTGACTGCCGCCGAAAATCTTATCCATTTCTTCAATGGGCACACCATTTGTTTCCGGAAGGAAGAAGTACACCCAGACCGCGAGAAAGACACAGAAGGCTGAGCGGAATTAGTGCTGTACTAAGGAAGACATGGAAGAGATTAACGAACCCAAGTAGAAGTAAAACGTGCCGAATTCAATCGACTCCAGCATCCGAGGCGTGATAAGCGCCACAATGAACTGATCCAGCAGGTTAGTATTGTTAGCAAGTATTATAACGGGATAATACTTACGTTACTCAACCAATTTGTACCGATGGCGATACCAACAGCTTGAGACCGCACCCCCGGAGGGAAGATCTCAGAGGGAATAACCCAGTTGACGCAGCCAATGCTATACGCGAAGTTACATACGTACAGCCATATAAACACCGCCGTGGCCCAGCCAGCACCCTGGTTGCTGGCCCAGGAACTCTTGTATACGGCATAGAGGGTAGCTACTATGAGCTGGGAGATGCCCATTCCGGCAGCACCCGCAAGGAGGACCTTTCTGCGGCCCCAGCGATCCATGTACATGATTGCCGGGATAGTGCAGAGGAAGTTCAGAATTCCGATTACACCGGTCGCGAGGAGATCTACCGAGCTGCCAGACAGGCCAATCTTCCTGAAGATCTGGGGTGCGTAATAGATAATAGCGTTGATACCTTGCGGTGGTTAGTCTAGCGTAATGTTATAGTGACGAAATGATTTACCCGTGAATTGCTGGATCAATTGGAGGAGACAGGCAAGCAAGAGGCGGCGATTCAAGTGGCGAAAGGTAAAAAGGGACTTATATCTTTCGTAGCTCAGACGAATAGGTGAGGTGACTCCTGGAAACATGGCAGCAGTTGTCTCGTCGTCGAACATCGCTGACGCCTTGATCTCAAGCATTTCCTGGATGATGCGGTTGTCGCTTATAGGCACACGACGCACGCGGGAGAGCGTCGACATAGCTTCGTCTTCTCTGTCTGAAGTTCTGTTAGCCACTTGTCATGCTCCGCTTGTTACTTCGGGAAGCGTACTCTTCATCATCAGCCAGCGTGGAGTGTATGGCAAGAAGAAAGTTCCAAAGCCCAGTATTAACGAAAATAGACATTGCAAGGCGAGAGGGAAGCGCCATGCAGCGGGCGACTGCCCGTCCCCTGTTCCACCAATATGCTGGGTTCCGAAATTCAGCCAGAAGGCTATCATGATGCCACCCGTAATCGCGAATTGCTGTAGAGCAACAAGTCCACCGCGAAGATTGGGTGGTGCTAGCTCACTGATATAGAGAGGAACCACCATTGACAGCTGACCAATTGCCAACCCTGCGATGAACCGACTGATAAAGATCATCGGCACATTGACCGATGCAGCCTGGAGAATTGATCCGATAAGGAAGATAACATTGGCAAGGAGGATGGACCAACGTCGCGAGAGGCGATCGGCGATGGGACCATTGGCAAGGGCACCAAACATGGCACCCAGTGTGAGAACAGAAACCAACCAACCTTGGAGTGTCGAGTCGTTGGCCAATGTGGGAAATTCCTTGCCCTATGGAAGGTTAGTGGCGCAGGTCTCTGACTACATCTCTCGCAGAGAAACACAAACGAAGTTGTTCATCACTAAAATCCCACTGATGACTCCCTGGTCATACCTGCGAGTACGATAGTTAGGTCATGCCCAGGTAGCTAGGATTGGACTGAAAGACACACCCGAAGAGGACACCTCCGAGGCTCGCAAACAAGGATAGAAATAATAGAAATGGCTGTTCCACAAGGCCTTTGTATCCTGGAATACAGTCAGCAATCAACCAAGTTGGGAGACTTCACCTTGAACATCGACCTACCGGACTGTCCGTACGAAATGTCCAAGCCCGAGCCAGCGCCGGTAGTACTGTCGCCGGCAGCAACCATTGTGATAAGCAAAGTATTTAGTGGGAAAGAGAGAATAAGCTTCTACCGTGATAGTGAGCAGAAAGTCGATCTTCTTTAGGCGCAGGCGTCTCTTGTGATTGTAGAACAGCGGGGCGAAGGTAGATATACCCTGCCACAACCAGTACCAATGAACTGCTCCATAACCAGTAAACATTCGTCACAATACAAGCCAGGAGGCCATGTGGAGAATCTGGGGTATGGGGCTACAGGTGACGCATGGGACGATCCCAACAATGTATATCGGCACTTCTTGGACCGAGGGCTGTCGGCGCGCAGTGCCCCGACAGCTGAAGCCAGACACTTGGACCATATACAGAGCAGAGACAAGGACTTAGGGCCGCTGTTGCAGTCTTCTCAGCTAAATCATATCTCTAAACTTATTAATTGAGTTAGAGTATACACTTAACGTCCAGAGTCCTGGCGTATTGGGAAAAGTAGAGAATATAAAGCAAGTCGTACAACAACACCACTTCCTAGTTCCTATATGAAAAGGTTATCACTATTTATATATTTATATCAATAGGATTCCTGAGTAGACGTTAGAGAAGAGCTTGACGCAATATTGGATTAGTTACTGTATATGTTCCCAAGCCATAGTTAACCAGACCATAGACTTGGCCAAATGTCCTACTGTAATTGAATCCCCATGTAACGGCAGTATACTATATAGGTACCCTCAGGGCATTCGGGATCGTTGATCCCGAATTATATGACCTTTTGGCCTTGTGGAATAGGGTGCCCTGGCTCTATCTCTTACACCCCATGTGCGTTTTCGAACTGTCTTAGATCAAGTCTGCTGATTTTGAACGTGTAAAGAAAGACCTTAAAAGCAAAATGATGACGGGCAGGATTTAGAGCAGGCAATTGAATAATTTATAATACGAGACTTAAGCCCAGAATGCCACGAAAAGCTTCCCCTTAGTAGGAGCGCACTCCCGCCAATTTCAAGACCTGATCAGTCAACTCCAGCTTCTCCAACGATTCCTCACGTCCCCCAGGACAAATCTGATCCCCCCTCATAACCTTCCCCTGTGCAAAAATATTGCAACACAGCCAATGAGTTGTGCCTTCGTAACGGTGGAAGATACTAGCCTTAAGGGCTAGATCCTCAGGTGTAGCCAACTTGGCCGGGGTGTATGTAGCGTAGATAATTGTCCGAATAGTTTCGCTCTTTGGCAGTGAGGCATAATGCACTGCTCGTGAATCCCAGATAATCAAGTCTCCCGGTTTCGCCTCTACTTTAATCAGCGCGCACCCATGATTCTCGGACCATTTCACATCTTCCAATGTAAATCCGTACCAGTCAAACTGACCGGGCGCGTCGACGGCTTTGGGCTTAGGAGGATTCTCCTAGAAGAACTGTTCGAAGAACTCTGAGCTTCCTTGAAGGAGCTGTAAGCCGCCATCCAAAGGACCAGACTCGGAAAGATTGATAATTCCCTGGGGGCAGGTCAATCCCTTGCGAATGGGAGACTGGTCGATATGAGGCCAGGGAGTCAATGTAATGGAAGCTTCTCGACGAGGCAGACTAGATACACAATTTATATGTAGCATTTCCTCCCCGTGCAAACTTGACTAGAGTCTGGTCGTACTTCCTGTATTCTGCTTACCCCTCTGCATAGAGGAATACAGCCCTTACTTGCAGGATGTTTTTGGGGATATTAGAGTCCAGTAGAATTAGTAAACAAGGATAACAAATGGTGAACCGGATTGAACTTCGCCTCCTTATATGCTTGACTGGCACAAGCACAAGTATCTTTTAGATACTATGCACGCTTGTTGGCTTCCCGTGAATACAAGAATTAGTAGCCGGCTGCCCTTGCCTAGTACTCTGGTCCGAGAAACAGAGTCCACCACTCTACTAGAATACACCCATCTCACCAAATTTCAATGCCGACCATGCTTTAGTAACCAGTACAGATACCCCTCCCGATGCTTACACATAATTGGTAGTTGGGGTCCATGCTGTGACCGCTTGCCAGTGGCTATTCATGGTATCACTGGCTCTGATGCTTCACGAGGTGGATGTTACTCTGTCGTCTAAGTCCTTTAAGACACAGGTTCATCCTGTGTCATTCAGTACTACTCAGGCCATACCACAAATAGCATCATTGATCTAGAGAAACAATCTGGCCCTACTCCACGGAGACTGCAAGTGTTCGCTAGACTATCCTATGTGTCCAGGATAAATAGAAAATCGAGTTAGCAGGCCACAGTCACCGAATACAGCATATACTCAAGCTAGAACGTCTCCTGCTGGCTACATCGAGTAGGATAGCACTATTCCTCTCGGAGGGATGTAACACAAGGCCGTGGTCAAATATCTCTTTCTTTCTATATAACTAAGTCTATACCTCAGGGGTTACGACCTGGTGTTCCATCTATCAAGATTTTCAGAATTGGGATAAGAGATGAGATGTATATAGTCGGTACACGGTAAAGTATGTGATGTAGGTTGAAGCAGATGCTCCAATTGCCCCAAGGACAACCCAGGGAACCAAACGTTCCCCATGCGTAACCTAAGCGTGCCAGGATAAAGACCCTGCCCGCCACTGGGAGTCTGGACCGAGTAGGCGGGGCTTCTAACCCACAGCTTAGCGGGGACTAAGTCGATCTACTCTTTAGTTGGGGTGATCTAGCAGGGTTGAGATTCCTTCGCGTATGCGAGTCACGATTAGTCGCATATGCCTAGAGCCAACACATGAATCACTTTACGATTGGATATGCCTTGCTCTTCCAGTGTGTTAATTTCCCGATGTCCTGCTAGGTAGGGTCATGGTCCGGGTTGAAATTGGGTCATGTTGTAGATGTTCAAATGGAGAGTAAGAATACGTATTATGGGACCTCGAGTTTAGTCACACATGGGATCATGATATAGTTGGGTTGTAGAAATAGTGGAAGAAGCTTAGGGCGCGAACGTATTGAACAAGATTCAGTATATTGGTGAGTTACACTTATTATATCAACATGCACCGGGGAAATAGGGGTCTGTAGGTTGAGATTGTGTGATCGGAAACATTTCTTCGCTGGGACAAGAATATTGGCAAGGAATTAGCTGGTCCAGTTACCATTCTTATACGCCAACAATCTAAACTGGCCAATATATTATGCCAGGTGATCCAGATAGACTGTCATGCATTTGTACATCGGGTAAAATATCAGTACAGTGTGCCCACACAGCTCCCCTCCACGGACAGGTATGGCATGGATGACGTTTGCCTTAATATAGACTAATGGATAGGGGTGGATTGAAGGAGGTTAGGGGTTAGTATGTTGTCTTTTCTTTCGGTAGACGAAGCGTCACATCATAGCATTGTGACTGCATTCGCTTCTGTCGGGAAGGTTGTCATTTGAGAATATGACGCAGGTAGTTGCTGGGCTTGATTCCAATCACTGGCGGTTGCAATAGGTTTTGTGTGTACCAAAGGTTGATCGCTGAGCTTCTCAGTCGGTATCTCGTATATTTTAATACCCTTCAAATGTGATGCCTGTAAGATCCCCCCAATCAAATGCATCAAGGAAAGGATCTAGCTCCCCAGATTGCTGTATACTATTAGCAAAGTCCATTCGAGCGATGACTATGTGTCTTACTGTGATGCCAAAGTTCGTTGGTTGTAGCATATTCATATTAGGAACGAAAGGCTGTGCCATCCCCGAGCTCGGGTTCAAAACTGGGACCTATACAGAATACTGAAAGTTAGAGATTCTTCTGCTTGGCGAGCAATAGAAATGGCAGCATTACTGACCTGAGTAGTTTTGAAACCTCCCATGCCCAATTCCCCTAGATGATCGCAGTTGGCATGTCGCGTGAAAAGCGTTTGCGCGAAGAAGATTACTCGGTCCACGACCTCCTGCTTGTAGCCAGTCGCTTGCGCCGGCCATAATCTTGCCTTCACCAAAGCTAGGATGGTTGACATGAAGAAGTACTCCTTGGCGCCTTTTACCACAAGTAGGAGTTGTGTTTCCAGACAAGTCAGCGTCATCTCCGCTAGCGTGATCAAGGACTCTGGCAAACCGGGAAGTGTCTGGGGCAAAGACGTCCGGGAAGATGCTGCTGTACTCTTAGCCTGGCTCTATCCACATGTTACATTGGCTAGAAGCCTACCTGGACTGTTGGTACTGGCGTGGAGTAATTGACACACCGAGCAATAGGCCTGCACGGTCCAATCACCCAAGATGGAGAGGGATAGCTGTCTTGAGGTTTCATGTAGCTGTCGTTGCGTAGATAAAATCATGGTGGCCACTTCGAGGCGAATCCGAGATGATGGTGCAAAGAGGATTTCCTGTGGAGCTTCGATGGCAAATGGCGTGTGGATTGATAAAAGACTATGGCCGATCTTAGTTTGGAGGAGGGATCTTATCAGGATAACTTTGTGCTGCGTTTGTAAATCTTCCTCTTCCGATACCGTCCAGGTGGGAATTTGTGAAAGACATCTATTCAACTCCCAGTCCATATGAAGGATTTCATCATAGGAACAGCTTATTCGCGGAGAATGCATCAGTTTACACGCCTTTAGTCGCAAGGGAAGGGACTGGATCAACACTGATTGGAATGAGCAGCCAGTAATCTCACTTAGTGGTCTCTCGGCCGGGAGCTCTTCACTGGTCTCCTGTAGTTCATTATCGTTTAGGTTGAGTGCTGGGGCTGTATCATAATCTCCATATTGCAAAGAAGGTGGCATCCCTCGCTCGAGTGACACCTCTAGGTCAAGCTCGACAATCGTGGTCCAAATCCGCCGGCGCATCTCCTTATTGAACGGAGAAATCTTCGTGTACCTGCTGGGATCCCGGTGGTACCCTGCCAACATGGCTTGCTTAATCAGTGTCCCGGTGTCGAGCCAAGCCTTGCTGCGCTTCATCCCATGCGCGTTCTTCGCCACAAGTAGGAGGATATAAAGCCGAAACGCCATAATGTCAGGCCGCTTGATGTGGGAGTTCTCAATCCACCGCTCTGCGTGGAGGACCCACTCTATTGCTGT